TCTATTAAGTTAACAAAAAATAATCATATGCACACTTTACATCTAAATACTATTAATATTGATAACATTATTATTAAAGGAAAAAATAGAAAGGAGAAAATATTTTAAATACTGTTCATTATATATGTACAGTACAGATGACGTCCAACCAGATGGAAAGTGGTCACCGTCGCCTATAGACATGAGCAGTACCATGGACATAACATAGTATACTGTGTCGTCTATACATTGCCATTCTTAAGGACTAAAGTATGATAATACTGAAATAAATCATCCTAAAATAGATGGATACCCTTTTTTGTTTCCTTCAAAAGATTACAATAGTAAACTTATTATAAATATAAACAATTACAAGAAATAATCACAATGAGAAAACAATGGGCGAGCTTTACGTTAAAAGCGATCTCTTCCAGGCTACATTAAGATGAAATTTTAAAATTCTCTAATTTATAGTAAAAACAATATTAAGGTCTACTAAGCTAAGCGAGCAAATAGAGAGAAAGACATACATACAGATAGAGAGAGACATACATACAATACACACATTATATTATTTCTAGTGACAAAATACTCTACACAATCCCTTCCATAAATTGAAAGGAATGGACCCAAGCCATAAAATTGTCAAAAACGAGATAATGTGACCAAAATAATGTGAAAAGGTTTAGTTCCTTATGGGTATTCTTTACTACACCAATTTAGACAAAATTGCTAAAAACTATAACCAAATATTAGTTTTATTTTACTAATATTTCTTGCACACACACCCACTCTAAGCTACATAATGTATTCTAGAGGAGGAGAAGGAATTGTCAGTAATGGGGAGTAACAGTCCCACTGCTAGCAAAATACCCTATCACATGAATTTCCACACGGTTTCCCTTGGAAACCATCGTTGTTAATACTTGTGCAATTCGTCACGATTCGTCACGTAACTGACCTGCTTTCATCCTCACCTATCATCTCTCACTGGTGCCTCACCAGCGTATATCGATAACGCAGACGGTGTTACCATTCTATTCTCACACATTTAAAAAAATGCATTTTATAGACTTATAATTATGTTTTACCAAATTAAAATCCGATATTGGCGGTATTTACAAGATACTCAGCGTGTCAATTATTTTGTAAGAGAGATATTATTTATTATATTAATAAATTAATTAATTAATATATTATTTATTTATTTATTTATTCTTTATTGTACACAAAAAATTACAACATATAATATATATAAAATAAAGATGTACAACAGTCGAGCTTAACTCTGTAAGAGTTCTCTTCCAGCAAACCCTGAGTGGAAAGGAGCATTAATTATTAGCGGGCAATATGCGTACAATAATAGAAGGAAACTTTATAGATGTTTCTATTAAAAATAATAAATATGTTGACATATATAAATAACTCATACATAAATAATATATATATATAAATCTCGTATGTGTCTTAGGGTTTATTATTGAACTCTTCCAAAACATGACATCCGCATGACCGATTTATGGCATTTTATGTGTATTTTGGTAGGTCTGAGGTCGCAGGCTATTTCTAGAATTTTTTTTTTTTTGGACAATCAATTTAAATTTTTATTGTTCAGCATCAAAAAATATTTAATTATGACTGAAAAATCATACAACCAATCCTCGCATACTTACATCAAGTTAGTTATTTGTGATTTAGCTACCAAAATATTCACTATAAATAATTTATATGGCAAAACTACATTTACGGGGTCAGCAAGTAATATAATAAATTTGACAACCCTACTTACACTACAAAGACAGACAGAGACGGCCTGATGCAATACTTCCCGTATTTCACTTCATAAGTAGCAACTCTGTTACTTTAAAAGTGACTCCCATAAATAATAAATTTGACATTTATGGTGGAGTCCTACGTGATACTTGGCTATTCTTGCGTCTATTATATATGTTTACACAATTGGAAAAAGCGATCAAGAACGTGTCAGGGCATGTTTAATGTTAAGTTCCGTACGTTACAGGAAATAAAATAAAAAGTTTTAACGATCTAAGTTACTCTTTTCCGCATCTTACTAATAGCGTCGGTATATGGGAAATATTTAAGGAAAATTAACACGAGTGATCCTTAATAGGATTAAAAGTGCTTACTTATTATATTACACACTTATACTTATATCATACAATTTTATCTTTGGCTGTTACACAGGTTACACTCTGGGTTTGTTGCACGCGTCCGTGAAGCCTAACTTCAGGCTGCAGCTGAAAATCAGTGCTTTGCTTTTAAGCAAAACCATCATTGAGCTGTAGCCTATTTGGGTCACTGCGACACACGTGGCGAGACGATATTTTCATATTTTATCCTTTGTTGTATATTTTGAAAAGTGTAAATAATTTGATTGTATAAACTCATTTGTAAATTTACGTGTGTCATAAATGGCTCAAATAAAAAGTGTGTCTATCTATCTATACTATAATAACAAATGTGTATCATGTGGCATGCTAATAAATATATATAAATAAATAAGATTAATAAATACCAAAACAGTATTTTTTATAAATTTTGTTTATCTGTCTTTGTAAATTTGTTCTTCAAGTAAAAATTACAGCACCAAAATGAACACTGTTCTCATTACTCTATACCTAAAGGTCTACCCTTCGTCAACGCTTCTATATAGCGTATTAAAATAACACCAGATTTTAAGTTTGACCCTTAGGGATATATCTGTGAAAATCACATCCAATTTAGTTCACAATTTTGTATGATCCCAGAACAAACATACACACATACGTAGACAGGCTACATTAAAAAAAAACGTTGTTTTTCGTCTAGTTAAAATCTTATTATATTATGAAGATAAACATATTAAATTTATTGCATATAAGCGAAACCGGTCGGGTGTTTATTTTAACGATTTCTGGAAAAATACAACTGTTTTTTTTATATTTCAAATAATATCCTTTCTTATTAATATATATTTATATCACAAATTCGTTTGTCTTGACGGTGTATCAGTTTATAGCCTCGTATTCCAATGATTATCACAAATAATAAAATCTATTTTGTTAGTGGCAACATTATTTATTTATTATAAACAAAAAAATAACTTTTAGACTTTTAGCCTGTATGTTTTATATTTTATAATAGACGGGAATTAACGCGATCATTTAGATATACTATGATAATTTAGCTAAACTATGTTAACGTTTCGAGTATGTTACACCTACCGTGGTCAGGAGTAGACTGATGTAGACTATCGTGTCTTCGTTTCCATGGCAAAACTATTTTCTACTACCCACTCGTTGTGCCAATAAGGGTCTTTGCACAAAACATTGACAGTGTTTTTATTCGATACACTTCGAGATAATTCACGTAAATATACTTTATTTCAATATAATCGCATTAATTCCTGTCCCTTATAAGAAATAAAAAATATTTATATATCAATTGTCTAGTATCCAATGGTGTTTGTCAATAAATCTACTGTACATGACCAAACAAAATGACCAACACGGGAGTAAATTTTGTCAATTCCAAAAAGAGTAATCGAAATCGGTTCATAATTATTAAAAATATTGCGTAACGTATTACAGTTTTATTACTACATACACGCCACCATTTTAAATATCATTTTCGAGCTTGTAAACTGGCGAATACTTCACCAGTAAATAAATTTTAAAAACATTTTACAATAAAAACTTTAAAGTACAAAAAAAAATATATTACCTACTCTTAAGTCGATTAGAATTATTTTGTTTAATTCCGCTATCATTAGTCTGCATGTGACTTACGTATATGTGCTTAATGCAATACATACGTATATGTGCAACTGCCAACACACACGCGTGTGTTGGCAGTTGCACACATACTCATGGTAGCGGAATTAAACAAAATAATTCCAATCAACTAACCAGTGATATGAACTTCCGCAAAATAACACCTAATTCAGTAAAACAAAAAAAAAGTATTTTAAATAATATAATATGAAATCGGTTTGATAATATACGATCGATGAAATTCTTTCACAGAATCACAACACAAACAGTGCAAAATAGGACTGAAATTGCGAATCTCTTCTTTTAAAGTCGGTTGAAAAAGAAATTATTAAAATGCAAAGTATTCGCAGACAATTTTTGATGACGTCATACAATCTTCTCAACCTTGAACTTAAATCTATGTCTATGGCAATTTTCATCTAAATAGGTCCAGTGTTTTATCCATGCTAATGCAACAAACAGACAGATATTTATATTATTACTGAAGATTTCGTAAATTAAAGTAAAGTAATTAGTGTCAACTGTCTCCCATCTCTACATCTTCAACTGCCAAATCGATTACTACAGCTTTCAAGTTAACCCGTTAACAAATTTACGAAAGACAGAACGTTGTGTCATTAGATGAAATAAGATAAGGTTTGCCGGTTGCTCGGTAACATCCGGATAATCTCGGAAAAATCCGGATAATATGGATGTAATCTCAATGCACAAATAAACTTACAATATGTCACACTGCATAAAATAAAATTTACTAACCTCATTTAAAAATTCGATAAAATGTCACCCTACAAATAGATAGTTAGGTCAGATCCCATAAAAATTGCGATAATTCAGACGTCCCTTGCCCTAAAATCTACGGCGCATGCTTAAAACCCATTCAGGAACATCATTAGAAAGAGACATAACGTATAAGTGTGAAAGAGACAGATTCAGGGATTCCAAAATTCAGGGAAAAACCATTACGGCGGTCAATTGAGTCACATAATTACACTTTATTAGTTCACATCTCTAGTTATGACACTGTGTTCCATTTTTAAAATACCAACGCGTCGCACTTGACACTAATTTAAAATTAGAAATTGAAAATATTTTTTTAACACTGTTCCACACTTCACAAGGTATATGATATAACTGGCATGCTAACTAAACGAGGGCCGGCCACTAACTGCATTAGGTCTGGATTTTAGGTCATAGAACTACATTAAACTATTCAACTAAATTGATGGAAGTCATGCCTTATATACTTACATATACTTGCCGACAAAGCTGTAGTCACAGAGTAGCACGTATAACAACCACCAAACATGAAAAATCATTTGTTGATGTACTAAAACTTGAAAAATTAATATTACAGTATAATTTTATTCACTCAATCGGCGCTTAACAGGTTATAATTTAGTGCTAAAGTGTAATTAGGTCGCGGCGAGTTGCGGAACTGTTCTATTACTGTAACGTGACAATTTAAATAGTTGTTTGTTGCTTTTGTAATGTTATAACAAGTGTAATGGAAAAAAAATCAATTGCAAACGCGTTAGTCGTCGGCCATTTTAATATCTGGCTAGCTGGGTTAGCAGGGTGGACGGCGGCGCGCATGCGTGGGGCGGTCGCCGCCGCCCAAACGTCTGGCATAGGCAAGATCACTTGCTTTTTAAATTCATTAGACCAGATTCAAAATTAGAACATATTTGAATCATATTTTATTTTTATTATTATTTTTTATTCATTCAATTATTTATTTGAGAAATTACTAACTGTTCTGTTTGATCCTAACTGAAATGTTTCGTACCAACTCTATGGACAATACGGTTGAACTTTGAATGAGATGTAACATTGACTATGAATAACACACTGACATTAGTTTATTCCTTAGGTTCATTCATAGCTTTACTGTGGTTGATATTTGGTTCAATTTGCATTGACTTTTACATTCGTTTCCGAAACTGATGAATAGTTATTTTGTTTAAATGTACTTAGTATTTTGCTTGCTGGCACTGACTTTGTACCTACGTCATACTGCCCACATGACGTTATAGCAATTTGACTTGTTCCATATATAAACGAACAAACAAAATTTCTATTTTTTACGTACGATGGAATTTATGAAAATGTCATGTTGAAATAACCCACAGTCTCCAAATTACCTAAACAGAAAATTTCAGTACTTTTTTTAAACTCATGATTTTAACCTACGTTCCTGTAATACTCTCTAATTCTCTATCCCCTCTAAGCGTACTGGTTGTGTATAAAATTCTTTTGTTATATATTCTTTATAACTCTAGAACGCGCTCCTGATACCATCAAGAGAGGGGGAAAGGGATTGTTAGCTATGAAGTTTGCCCCATTGCTAGCAATATGCTCTATTAGGTTGACCTCCACGCTGTTCCCCCTGGAAACCATAGTAGTTAATTCTTTTTCAGTTGATTACTATAGGCCAATTGACCTGTCATCATCCTCACCTGTCACCCTTCACTGGTGAAGGGATATATCGGTATACGTCAACGTATACCGATAGCGCTGGCGAGGTTACCATCTTGTTACATTCTCATGGTTGTCGTAAGAGGCGACTAAGAGAACTTAATGGTCGAGGGATAGGCAGCAGCGTCTCTCTTAAAATACCACCAAAGCCTAACTGCGGTTGTCAGCCTGCCTGCCAAGCGTGGCAGTTACTGGCAAAACCTCTCTTATTGGGGTAGCCTATGTTCAACAGTGGGCAGTTAACGGCTGATATAACGATGATATTTATTTATTTATTTACAGCAAGGCCACAGATTACAAATCAATACATGAATAAAATAAATATTACATAAAACAGCATTAAATTTGTTCTCCAATAACTGCTGCATAACATTCTCTTTTACTTACTAATAACATTGTATATTGTCCACCTAATTATTGTGAGCATATTGTTGGTGTGTCCTTTATAAATAAATAAATAAAATTATATACATTAAAAGAATGACGGCTATAGATTTAAAGTAACAAATTGGCAGCCTTAATGTAACATTGCAAGGATTATTGGAAAATATCAAGGTGCTTGCATACATTGTTATATTTTCTGCACATGCGGATAATTGGATTGTGATACGATATATTATTATTACAGCATATTATACATATATACATGATATTCTGGAATCGTAGAGTCACACAGCAAATTAACTCTCTCTCTTTACCACGTCTTTCTAAACTATTAATCTTATTTAAAGATCAATTAAACCGTTTGGAACCCAAAGGCATATAGTGTTTGACGTCACACATACATACCTACTGTTTTATAAATTTATCTATTAATAGCTTAGTCACAGTTTGAACTAGGGGTGGGTAATATAATATATGGCAATATCTATATTTTATATATATATATATATTATACAACTTAGAATGGTAAACAAGCTGACGGCCCACCTGATGGAAAGTGGTAACTGTCGCCTATAGACATAAGCAGTACCATGGACATAACAGAGTATACAGTTTCGCCTAGGACCCCCCCCCCATGCGTTGCCATTCCTGAGGACTCAGGTATTATTGCTCTGTACCCAGTAAATTCACGCCCTTCAAACTGAAACACAGCCATGCAAACACAACTGCTTCACGGTTGAAACACAAATGGGACAGAAGTACCCAAGCTGAGAGGTACTGCTCATGTCTATATCTCCGTCAGCTTGTTTGCCATTCTATGTTTCATAAAAAAAAAAACAATTGAAATGAAAGCCCTATAGAAATATACTATAAATATCCGACTAATATAGTAGACGATATCGAAATAGGTAAGGACCTTTTTAGTTATTTTAATTATTATTATTATCCATAGGAACTCAATATATAGATGTCGCGGCGCCACCAATATTACCCATGCCTAGTTTGGACACGAATAACAAAGTGTCAACTTCCCATTATGACTAAATAGTGAAATACATTTATGTCATTGCAAAATAATAATAATAATATAATATTGCAATAATAAATTGAAAATGATTCTATTGTTTCAGGAAAAGCACATAATTATCCTGTTTTATAAATATATGCCGATTGTCACTATTATAGACACCATGATTTTGTAAACGTACAGGACATCATTGATAATAATTTAAAATTTAGTTCCACAAAAACATTTACTTCTATCGTAACAAAAACAATTATGGTTACGTGAAAACTAACCTACTGAACCGATTTTTATATATTATATATTTTTTATTCAACGAATTTGGAAGTATATCCTTTTAGATAAAAAAAGATTCGCCAAATCGGTTTTGTCTGTCCTACTTTTGTTTTTACCTTTAAGTAGCTGTTCTTATATGGCTGTGTTTTAGTCTGAACAGAGAGATAATGGCAAAGAAATTACAGGGTACAGAGAACATTACAATATATTTTGTACTTTTTGTACTCGTATTTTGTAGGCGGTCTTTAGTGATCGTCTTAATTATTAATGAAAGAATTATGTAAAGAATAATACCAAATTAAGTTTACCAGAGGGAGACTTTATACAAAAGTCGATTGTATGGGTACCTCTGTCCCATTCGTGTTCCTACCGTGAAGTAGTTGCGTTTGCATGGCTGTGTTCCGGTTTGAAGGGTGGGATATGGCGTGTATTTACAGAGTACAGAGGAATAACATCTGAGTCCTCAGAAGTGGCAACGCATGGGGGGTATCATGGGCGAAACAGTATACTCTGTTATGTCCATGGTACTGCTCATGTCTATAGGCGACATTTACCACTTTCCATCAGGTGGGTCGTCAGCTTGTTTGCCATTCTAAGTTGTATAAAAAAAAAATGTTAAACAATGTAAAATATTTATAATGTAATAATAACTTTTCAAATGTTTTAACATAACAATTAAAATGAATATTTTTAGCTTGGTAATAGTTATAACTATGTAATGCACATATATATAATACACAACGCATAGTCACCCTAACTCGTGACATATTGACATTTATATTATTATTATATAGTCGATACTCATAATGAACACAAGAATAATGTATTAATTATTATAATTATTTTCTGTAATGGCTAAATATTTGTTTGGGTGTCTCCTTCTATGCTGTCTATCATCAGTGTGTAGTAAGTTATTTAATAATATTTAACATCGCTATATTGACCTATTAATATTCCTTTATATATTTATTTACTCTTTATTGTTCCACTTAAAGGATAATACAAAGGATATATATATATATATATATATATATATATATATATATATATATATATATATATATATATATTTCACTTATGAAGTACAAAAGGAGGTCTTATCACTAAAGCAACCTCTTCCAGACAACCTAAGTTCTTTCTAGGAGAAAACGTAATATTGTTACGGCCACGCCTGGCTTGATTATATTTCAATATCTCAGCAATAAGACCGCCTTACTGTACTTATACAATTGTATCGTTATATTTATTAATTGTATTATTTCCCTCTAATATTCTATAATGCAAATAAATTATACTCATTCATTCATTAAAATTTTCCTTTTTGCTTCTCTTGGTTTTTTTATGATACTTAGAATGGCAAACAACCTAGGAACCCACTTTACTTCACCTATATACCTAGTCCAGTTTTATAATACGCGATAAGCAACAGAGTCCTAGCAGGAATCTTCAATTCTGGCGATAAGATTTTTTGCTTCCTAATGGGGTTTCGACGAATTCTGGCTTTAACAGCATTAACAGCCTTTGTAGTTCTAACAACACGCGGCCGCTCTGATTTTTTCTGGTCTTCGACAGAGGAAGTGTTGTTGTATCTATTGATAGTACGATATACGAACATACGGCTGATACCAAGCTTTTGAAGTGTCTGGAATATGACCGACAGCTCCATACCCACTTTGTGCAAGGCGATCACTGCAATCCAATTTTCTTTAACACCCCATTCCATTTTGTAATTTGATAATGAACACGAAAAATATGTGAAATGGCGCGAAACCGAAAGAAGTTTTTAAAATAATAAACGTGTTCCAAATTCAAAATAATTAAAAAGTTGAAAAAAAGAAAAAAGAAAAGTTATGTAACAGTATTTATGGCCAGACTAGTTATATGAATAACATCTTAAATACCATCACTGTATGCTATAACCCATGGTACCCTTTATGTATTACCATTCCTTTAACGATGATAACGGGATTGTAGCCACATCTGAGGATGGATGAGAGGCATTATTAATAATAGGGACTAACGACCCCATTCCTAGCAATATGTATATCCAATCAGGTGGACCCTTACGCGGTTCTCCCTGGAAACCATCATGATTGCTTCTTATCCAATTCGTCACGATGAGCTAACTAATCTGCTTTTATCTTTCTTTTATAATTTCTCACTGGTGCCCCGCCAGTGTATATGGATAGCGCAGGTGGAGTTTTTTTTTTATGGGTGATAATGGAATGGTAACCCCACCCGCACTATCGGTATACACCGGCGGGGCACCAGTGTAAGATGATAGGTGAAGATGAAGCAGGCCAGTTAGCCCATCGTGACGAATTCAACAAGAATTGTTCACGATGGTTTCTAGGGGGAACCACGTGGAGGTCTACCTGATATTGCTAGCAATGGGGCTGTTAGACTCCATTGCTAACAATCCCTTTCCCCCTTGCGCAGGCGGAGTTGTCATTCGATGTTCCCCCAACAAAAAAAAACTATCGTGACTACTATGCACTAAAGATTAACCATGATAGTTTCCAAGTGGAGGTCAACGTGGTACATTTCGCTTCCTAAATTAACTCGACCGGGTATTGAACCCGGGACCTCGTTTACACAAAAGGACGTACCCACCATTACGTCAAAGAGATCCTCAAATAATCTTTTTTTAATATTATAAATGTGTAACTGAGTTTATTTGTTTGTTACCTGCCTATGCCTTAAATTTTTATCCCGGTCAGTGATCATATACTGGTCACGCGGACAAAGTCACGAGTAGAAGCTAGTATATAATATAGTAGTAATAATAAGAGGAGACTTTGTACAAAAGTCGATTGCTTGGGTACCTCTGTCCCATTCGTGTTTCAACCGTGAAGCAGTTGTGTTTGCATGGCTGTGTTTCGGTTTGAAGGGTGGGATATGGCGTAAATTTACAGGGTACAGAGGAATGACACCCGAATCCTCAGGAATGGCAACGCATGGGGGGTATCGTGAGCGAAACAGTATACTCTGTTATGTCCATGGTACTGCTCGTGTCTATAGGCGACGGTTACCACTTTCCATCAGGTGGGCCGTCAGCTTATTTGCCATTCTAAGTTGTATAAAAAAATATATGTATAGTTTCAGAATGCACTAACAAAAATAGTAAAGACGGTGCCACATTAATATGGAAAGATAAAAAATACGAATGCAATAGTACTTTAGACGTGGTCGTGAAAGAAGGAGACGTAGTATACATAGAAGCTGAAAGGAAAAATCATATAAACCATGCCTGGTGAGTAATTCTAACTAATATTATAACTAATAGTATAAGTGAAAAGGAGGGAGAGACTGTCAGCAATGGTGACTACCAGCCCCATTGATAACAATATACCCTATAATATTTTATAAATGTCAGGTCAAGCTCCCCGCGGTCCCCAATGGAAACCATTGTGCTGAATTCCAGGTGTGTTCATCACGATGGGCTAACTGTCTTTTTATCCTACTCATCATCCCTCACTGGTTCTCCACCAGCGTATACCGTTAGCGCGGACGGGGTTACCATTGCATTATCACCCATTTAAAAAAAATAATTAATTTTGTATACTTATTAAACAAGTAGTATTTGAGAGGAAGAAAGGCATGCGAAGTCGCAGATAAAAACTACTGTATAAATAAAATTTATTATAAAATTTACAATATAGCCAAATTGACATTGTATTGATTGCAAAAAAATGTATTAAAATCGGTTCATAATTAACGAAGATGTAAATAGCATTACTTACTTTTTGCCAGTTAATAGAACGATAATAATTTGTGACACAAAATTATTTTTTATATAAAAAACTAACGACCCGCCCCGGCTTCGCGCGGATGTTATACAGGAGGTCTACCATGAAACAAAATCCGAATTTTCGGACTCAATTTCGCCTTTTTATTTATACCATAATCGGCCTAATAAATGGAAATTAATATTTCGTTCATCATAAATTCTACCATACAAGTTCAAAGGAATGATATCATAACATTTTTAATATTTTTAAACTGTATGTACTATGTACTCGTAATTTTAACATCAATTTTGTATTTCGCTCGGCCCCGAAATTTCGGAAATCATTTCATGGTAGGCCTTCTGATACTAAAAAGCACCGCCAGTCCCCCATTATATTACGATATAACATTAGAAACCTCTAAAATTCTCGGTGTCCCTCTACTATATTATACATGTATTACACTTATAAAGCTTCCTCTTGAATCGCTCTATCTATTACTAGCTGACCCCGCAAACTTCGTACCGCCTAAAGCACAGACAGTTTGTGTTTGACTATTGTTACCATCGTATAAATATTGACATCAATATTACGATATTTATACGATACTAACGTCACTCAATTGTTTTGCCTTCCCGGAACCTCTCCACAAACACTTGAACTTTATGGTATCGTATTAAAGTTCAAATTCACTTTTAAGTATTATTAAGAATCGTTTGTATGGAAGTGTAAAAAAGTGAAGACTTTTTCAGGCAATTTTTCAAATTTTTCTAACCGTATGAACCATCCTCGTTCTTTAAGGAACATTTTAAAAGAGAATTAGCGAAATCGGCTCAGCTGTTCTCGAGATTTGCGGTTAGCAACACATTCAGCGATTCATATTTATATATAAGTATTTTAGATACAAACTGCATTAAAATCCGTTGCGTATTTTTAAAGATCTGAGCGTACATAGGAACAGACAGACGAGAAGCGACTTTATTTTATACTATGTAGTGATAATGATACATATTATATATCTGGAAAAAAAGGCTAAGATGGCTTCCAAAAAGTTAAGAGTGCTCAATAGAGTGAGACAGACATTTCACGCCGGAACACCGCTTGAAATTGTACAAAGCTCAGGTCAGGCCACATATGGAATACTGTTCTCACCTATGGGCAGTAGCATAATACTAACATTTTTTTAATTAAATAAAAATTAACACAATAATATTTTTTTAATAATAAAAATATTACTTTCTTTTAAGCATACAGAAATATAAAAGAGTGTAATATTTTTTTTTTAAATAAAATACATTTTAATAATTCCAACTTCGAATTAAAAGTATTTTATTTAATTAAAAGCATCATTGAATTAAAAGTAATTCATCAAATCCTTATTTAACGCTATTGTTTGTTTCAGGTGTTTAATTGGAAACAAAAAATACGATTTGGATAAACTGTATGACTGTATATGGAGAACATATGTAATATATTTTTTTTTGTCATTTGCACATATTTATAGAAATTAGAATGGCAAACAAGCTGACGCGCCGCCTGATGAAAAATGATAACAACACAACCAACTCGTTCTCAATTCGCCTATATTTTCTTTTTGTAATATCACAATCAAAAAGAGAATGTTACGCAAACAATGAAAGAAAAGAGAATATTTTTAGCGCCTTAAAGAAAAGAAAACCGCATGTATCTAAAAAATTAAACATCAAGTTTAAAAAAAAAATCCGTAAATTTATTTATTTATTTAAAATGTACTGGATAGTAAAATTCTATGTATATTTGGCGGACTTAACACTGGACGGTGTTCTCTACCAATCAACCATTGGGCAAACCGAAATACATACGTAGGCGTTGCATTATTGAATAGAGCAAAAATAAATATATATATAAATAGACTAATATAAACATACACATAATATATTATATATATATATATATATATATATATATTCATTATTGCACTTGTAAATTACATTGTTAATGCATTTATAAATACTGTGAGCAAGGGTGGAGTTATCTCTGACAGAGATCTCTTCCAGCCAACCCAATGCAGTTAGAAAGCATGTTGTTAGCGGGTAGCTGAAGTGCTACAACTATTAATATTTAAAATACATAATCAAATATACAGTACAGAAGTACAGAAGGGAAAGTGATTTTTCTAAGAAATTTACTTCTTCTTTATTAAGTACTATACCATTATATCAGCCGTTAACTGTCCACTGCTGAACTTTAAGCCTTATCCAAATGGGGAGTTTTGCCAGTTGTTACCACGCTTAGCAGGCGAGTCGTCAACTTAAGATAGGCTTTTAGTGATGTTTAAAGAGGGACGCTACTGCCCATCCCTCTACCATTAGTTACTTTAGTCATCTTTTACGTATACGACATCCTCGGGAAAGGAAGGGGTGGCATTTACATTTAGTTAATTAAATTTACTAGGCACTGGACTAGACCAGGTCTGTATCATAGTGATTTTTTTTTTGTTATCATAGCCTGACATGTCAACACCTAAACTGACTACATCCTCACGACCAAATACAGAGACAACATAGTCCGTAAGGGTGGAAGGGATTGTTAGCAATGGAATTTGACAGCCCCATTGCTAGCAATATATATAATATCAGGTCAACCTCCGCGTGATTCCCCCTGGAAACCATCGTGAACAATTGTCGTTGAATTCGTCACGATGGGCTAACCGACCTGTTTCATCCTCATCTATCATCCTTCACTGGTGCCCTATTAGCGTAAACCGATAGCGCGGGTGGGGTACTATTTCATTATCACCTATAAAAAAAAAAGCATAGTCCATAAAGACGATCAACCGAAAAGAGAACGTTATACTCCCAATGGTTGGTCGCACTATGGCGGTTTACTAAATGCTTTTTTTTACATTAAATATTTTTAGACATTTATAAAAACGTTACAATATCAAATATAAATACATACACTCAAGTTTACAAAGATAAAGTTACGTTTGGTGCAATGTAATTAAATGTGGGTAACATCATAATTATTACCCCTCTTACTGATCATATTGAACTTAGAATGAAATCTCAACTAGACCCGTCACATCAAACAAACTCAAACTCGATTGGAATTTCGTTGTTTTATTGTAAAGTTTCAATGGCCACATTCCAGCTCTATCATCATTCACAATAAGACATTGTCATCCAACTTTTATACATATGCAATGAATACTAAAAAGTGGGTCAAATTTAACATGTATAATCTGAATATCGCGTCCTGAGACACGCGACGTTAAATAAAAACTAATTAAAAGAGTTCATACTAAATTCGTCGCAATTGTTTCATTAATACAGTAGAACCTCGATTATCCGAATCAAATAAACCGTCCGGGATATTCCGTATAATCGAAAATGCGGATAATCGATTTCAAAGTAATCAAACAATACATAATTATATTTAATATTTTTTTTTTAATATGTAAAAGGTTTTACATGCGTCATTAAGATATAAAAAAAATACGAGCGATAAAGATAATAAATTACATAATATCTATTTACCCAATTAATACAAAAGAACATTTCTAAATCGGTAATTGGAGGCGTGAAGAATATATCCGGATAATTGAATATTCGGATAATCGAGATTCTACTGTATTTTTAAACGTTTTCGATTAATTATTTAATGAATCAATAATGAAATCAATTCTTTTTGAAAATCTATCATTTCTCAAATCTTATTAGTTATTTAAGAAACGAACTGTTAGCGAATTAAAATATTAATGTTTGGAAATGGAATTCTTACTAATGTATCACAAATGATATTGACGCAATATATTTTGTTTATCAAAACAAAATATGAAATATTGAAAATTGTTTTTGAAAATTGACATATAATTGGAAAGTTGGCACATATCGGTAAGGAAAAATTATGAACGTTCTTAAAAAAAATCCACAATCTCAACACGATGAGATTCGAAACCATATCTCCTGTTAGCTATGTATTTTAAATTTTTTAACACGCAGTCCTTTTCCTTCACTTAGATATAAATTTATTTCCTTTATTACAGGTTACAATTAGTACCGAAATGTCGACAAAATGGATAATCACAAGTCTGGCCAATGTAAACACGACCAACGCCAATTTCACCCTAAATAATATGACATATATATCTACTATTTGCGTTTATAATATTAAAGGTAAATATACATACCTATAGCTTTAGAAGTACAAGGGATTGTTAGTGATAAGATCAAACAGCCCCATTACTAACAATAAACCCTATCAGGTCGACCTCCACACGGTTTCCGTTGGAAGCCATTGTTGTTAATCGTAGTAGAATTTGTCAAGATGGGTTAACTGGCCTGTTTTCATGGGCATCTGTCATCTCACTGGAGCCTCGCCGACGTATACCGATAGCGCAGGCGGGGTTACCATTACATTATCACGCATTAAAAAAAATAACACTATATATAAAAATTATACTATATGAATTGAGCATTGAGTGTCAAAAACAATTCAAAATTAAGTCAGTCGAATGTCACTTTGGACAAATATATATAATGTAATGTAAATGTAAATAATATATTGGTTTAAATAACCAAAACAAAAAAAAAACATTTTTTCAATGTTACAAGTAAATTAATCAAAAATTTCCCAAATCAAGTCATTTATTTTAAATTAAGAACTTACAGACAAAATACGATTTATATAAAATAAATTGTATTTTGTCTGTAAGCAATATAACTAGATATATTGCTGACAAATTGATATACATGTATTAATTAATTAATGCTGGCCACTATCAATAATTTTATAACGATTAAGATTATTTAAACAATATAGATAAAGAAGTTGACCTGTTTTTGGGATGCATTTGATAGGTTACATACGATACATAATTTAAGCCTATTACAAAAAACTGATTACGCCCCGTTTTTCAATTTAAAATTATAACAATGTTTAATGTACATGTTTTTGTAACTTTAAAAAAAAGATCGATTCAAATACTATTATAGTCTGACCCTATAAAATATTATATCGTATCAAATTCTGCAGTTTGAAAGTTTATTTATTTATTTAAATAACCCTAAATATGGTTCAAAATGCAGACTTAATATTAGTAGCATTCTCTACCTTTAGTATGAAGAGTGAATCAGGTTAAAAGTATCTTAAATTAAATATTTATAAGCAAAAACCATATAATTATTTCTTTAAATAAATTCTCTTTAGTCGCATAGATTAATTTTTAAAGTTTTGATAAAGAGAATATTCTGAACAAAACTATATTTTGGCCAGTAACATGTTATTTATTTATTCTTTTTTTAAATTTATATTTTAACACTGGAAATAATTTGAAACATTTTTGTTTTTTCAGTAACTGCCAGAGAGATTATGACAAAGAAGATAGATTATGAGAAAGGTAAAAAAAATATACCAATTAAAATATAATATTCTTCTTTGCGTCCCACGCCTATCAGAGATTGAACAATATAGGGGCAATCTTAGTTTTTGAAGCTGCCGCTTTGAAGCGTGAGGTGAAACTACACTGCGAAACCACTCCCGCAGGTTCATCAGCTAGGAAGGTCGCCTCCTCCCGGCATTTCTTTTACCAGCAATATTGCCTTATTTGGAGTATTCTGTAATTTTCATTTCTCATAATGACGTGATGGAAATACGACATTTTCTGACACTTAACGGTGTCCTTTAACTTCATTTTTTTCTAAACCTGTCTAATGGTTCAATATTGGAGGGAAAAAGATTGTTAGCAATGGAGTTTGACAGCCCCATTGCTAGCAATATGCCCTATTAGGTCGACCTCCACGTGGTTCTCCCTGGAAACCATCGTGAACAATTATTTTTAAATTCGTCACGATAGGCTAACTGATCTGCTTCATCCTCACCTATCATCCTTCACTGGTGCCCCGACAGTGTATACCGATAGCGCAGGTGAGGTTACCATTCTATTATCACCCATTAAAAAAAATGTACTCAATATTTGTGATTCGGTCACGCTATGAGATTTTCAAAACACGACGGTATGTTCACATCTCAAACGCCTCTATTTCTTCATCGTGCTCTGTATGAGAGTCTTTCTCTCTAGGCCGCAGTCAATAACACACAGAGTAAATATAGAAACGCAATATCTGTAGTCTTAGATTAATAAATGACAATAAAGAAATTTGAGAATGGCAACGCATGGGGGTATAATGAGCGAAACAGTAACTCTGTTATGTTCATGGTACTTCTCATGTCTTTTTTTTTATACCACTGAAGTGGCAAACAAGCATACGGCCCACCTGATGGTAAGTGGTTACCGTAGCCTATGAACACCTGCAATACCAGAGGTATTACGCATGCGTTGCCGACCCTGAAGAAACCTCTTTACCCCCTTTTTGAAGAACCCCATACTGTAGTCTCTTGGGAAAACCTCGGCAGGGAGCTCATTCCATAACCTGAGTGTTCGTGGGAGGAAACATCTCTGAAACCGCGCAGTACGCGACCATTGAGGCTGTAGGACACAAGGATGAACTCCCTGTCGATGGCGAGCCGTACGATGGTAAATGATGTGATGTCTATAGGCGACGGTTACCATTTTCCATCAGGTGGACCGTTATTTGCTATTCTAAGTAGCATTAAAAAATATATTTAAATCACAGTCACACAGAATTTTACTCATTTTGAATAAAGTCGAAAGATCCATCTCATTGCGGACTTTATTTTCTCGAGCATGATTTTTTTTATACAACTTAGAATGGCAAACAAGCTGATGACCCATCTGATGGAAAGTGGTAACCGGCACCTATAAACATGAGCAGTACCATGGACATAACAGAGTATATGATTTCGCCCATGATATCTCCCATGCGTTGCCATTCCTGAGGACTCAGATGTTATTCCTCTGTACCCTGTAAATTCACGCCATATCCGACCCTTCAAACCGAAACACAGCTACGCATACACAACTGCTTCAAGGTAGAAACACGAATGGGACAGAGGTACCCAAGCAATCGACTTTTGTACAAATGTCACCCTCTGGTAAGATCTCCAGTTTCAGTCACCTATCTTCACAAATACTTAAACCTATTAACCTGATATACCAATTGTAACCTTACGAAGTACTTCGAGTTGGGTCTCAGGCTCTAAGAGATCAACAGCTTAGTTTTTACGGCATTAATGCTTTATTAGATAAGGGCTTACCTTATCTTTATTTGTCTTAATTAGTCTATTAGGAAATTCTTGTAGTGATTCTAAATTATTAGAGATTAAAGTCGTGTCTTCAGCATACCTATAACCTTGGATCCTTTAAATGTAAAATGAATTTTTTTACAGAACTTTGGATCTACTTTGGAGTAGCAGCCTTAATCGTATCAATTATTATAATTGCGCAAATCTACGCTATTGTGTACTACAAGAAAAAAGGTAATATTTATAAAGAAATATTTTTTATGTCAACTAAACTAATGGTAACGGGAACGAAAGGTACTTGAGTGGCGACTTCCCAACTTCCTACTAGATGAAGTGACGACTACTATAAACTATGCTCAGCAGACAGATTACAGAGGGCCTACCATGAAATATTTTCCGAAATTGCGGAGCCAAATGAAACAGAAATTTGATGTTAAAATTACATAATACATGCCGTTTGGAAATAATAAAAATGTTAAAATATTGTTTCTTTGGACTTTTATGATAGGATGTATGACGAACGAAATGTTAAACTCCATTTATTGGTCTGATTTTGGTATAAACAAAAACACGAAATTGTGTCCGATATTTCGGAATTTCATTTCATGCTAGACCCGCTGCTTCTATGATAATGATGATATAAACTTTATATAAATACTAAATAATCCAGTGAACTACATTTCATCTATTAAATATAATCCAAATTCCCATACCAATAAACATATATTTTTTATTGCACTAGAATAAAAGATACAACAATTAGTTTAACAACTTGTTACCAAGGGCGGGCTTATCTCTAAAAGAGATCTCTTCTATAATAGATATAGTATATTCTATATCTATTTTTTAAAATTTTTAGATTCTTCAGCTGAACTTTAAAGTTTTTTTTTTTTTTTACTTTTTTTTTGCTTTCGAACAACCCTATGTTATAATGAACAATACAAAAAAATTCAAACCGTTAAGCCTTTTTTTACTTTAAGTGAGACAAACAAACAGCGATTAATTTATATATACATATTAATTTGTATATACAGAAACAGATAAACTTAAAGCATTTGAAATATGGTGCTAAACAAGAATGGAGAAAATTAGCTGGAAAGGTCGAATTAGTAATGAGGAAGTCTTACTTAGGGTTAAGGAAAAGAGACAAATTATAATACCTGCTGAGGTCAGAAGGCAGAAAATGTTGGAACACTTGATACGACACGCCAAACTTATGTACATTGCAATAGAAGGTAAGATAGGAGGAAGGAGGAGAAGAGGGAGACCAAGGCACAGTTACATCATGCAGATCAAGGAAAAAGTTGGTATCCTGTCGTATCAAGAGGTGAAGAGATTCACTGAAAATTGTAGTAAGTGGCAAGAGCTCCACCGACAAAACGCAGTTCTTATTTTTTTTTTTTTTTTTTATACAACTTAGAATGGCAAACAAGCTGACGGCCCACCTGATGGAAAGTGGTAACCGTCGCCTATAGACATGAACAGTACCATGGACATAACAGAGTATACTGTTTCGCCCATGATGCCCCCCATGTGTTGCCATTCCTGAGGACTCAGGTGTTATTCCTCTGTACCCAGTACATTCACGCCATATCTCACCCTTCAAACCGAAACACAGCCATGCAAACACAACTGCTTCACGGCTAAAACACGAATGGAACAGAGTTACCCAAGCAATCGACTTTTGTACAAAGCCTCCCTCTGGTAAATAAATAAATAAATAGTAAAGTATTGCATTAGTATTTTTTTTTTAAATTACAGGTGCTTTGGTGAGCAGACTAGATCAAGCATCTGCAAGCAAAGATACTACGAAAACTAATAATAGAGGTAAACCCAATATATTTTCATTCTCTCCTGTTGTATGTGTTCTATTATATATGTGTATATTTATGTATGTGTGTATATATATTAAATTAAAATGTATCAAAAACAGTATGGATGTATTGGACCAAATTTAAAGCAGATATGTAACTTTCGAAATAGTATCTAATAATAATAATAAATCTTTTATTTTCAGGTATATACCCATATTTTACAGTTATTATAATTAAAATTTCATTTTAATTAATTATTTAATTTAATTACAATGCATAATTTTAAAGTTAACTTCATAAACTAGTAACTGTGTATTTATGTTATTCGACTGCACCAAATTGGACGCGGTTTTCACAATTGTATTCCCTATTGCGTGCCGAGCAAACATACGGAAAGGCGACGAAATTTCGAAAAATATTATTTTGGCATTTTTACAATTTTATTTACAATTTTATTATTGTAGTAAGAAATGCCTACGCGCCCAATACGTGGATGAATGATAGATGAGAATGAACAGGTCAATTAGCCCATCGCGATAAGTACATCCGGAATTAAGCATGATGGTTTCCAGGGGAGACCGCTAGGAGATCAACCTAACAGGGTATATCGCTCGCAATGAAGCTAATAGTTCTCATTCCTAACAATAAATCCCCTCCCCCCTTCCAATCGTCCATATTTTTTAATGGATGATAATGGAATGGTAACCCCGCCTGGACACCAGTGAGGGGTTATAAGTGAGAATGATAAAGCAAATCAGTTAGCCCATCGTAACGAATTCAACGTTAAATTAGTCACAATGGTTACCAGGAGCAACCGCGTGGAGGTCGACCTGATAGGGTATATTGATAGCAATGGGGACTAACCTCCCCATTACTAACAATTCCTTCCCCCAATTGTTCGTATTTGTTCGCTTCGCTTTATTGATTGGTCTACACAGAATATAATGCCTTTTTAGCTCGCTACATAATTTCACCACACATCATGGGGTTGCTTACAAGAAAGGAAAAGAGAGAACAGAACGTGGAAACAGACGACGACTCTGGATCCCTGTACGAGACGTTGGAGGACATCGCCTTAGGTTAGTGCTAATCCCTTACGCTTGGGACGCCCGATATATTACTATACTACAAAATTCAGCACTAACATTTTTTTATATTTTAATGTAATATCTACCGATTTAATTTACGTGTAGTTAGATCAAAAAAGCTCGACTAGTTTCGGAATCAATGTGTGATCCTTGCACGAGCCTGTCTGCATTGTGTTATACTATATAAGTATCCAAAGCAGGGTTGGCCGACTTGCCAAGACCAGCCCAAAATCCACTGTTTACTAACGAAACCCTGTGCGATCTATCAATTACACACTTCTTGAAATATCAAATGAAACGATATAGTTTCAGTGCTCAATTATGTAGTATTGTAGTTTTTTTTTTATTTTATTAAAAGAGAAACCATAAAATTGAAAATTATTCTTAGTAATTACTTATTTATATTAGTGTCAGCATTATATTTTTTGCCTTGCCAAGATCGACTGGACTAATAGTCGCGATCGACCGGTTTACCACCCCTGGTCTACAGAAATATTTTTATTTTATTAATCTATTTAATTTTTACCCAGGATCCAGCGATACTCCGTTGCCTCCTCCTATAACTACATTACCCAGTAAGTATATTAGCATTAAGTTCATAAACTACATAATCAGCTAGTTTGCGTAAGAGTATTTAAGTGGAAACGGATGGATAATGCCCACCCTAGAATAATCTTGTGCCCAACCCATAATGCGAGCGGCGCAAAGGCATGTCTGAGAGAGAGAACATATTCGCCTCTTTTAAAGGGAGCCCAGGGGAAAAAATCTTAAATTGTTGGATTGATTTTTTTTAAATAGGTAGATCTAAAAATCGAAAAAAAAATTAAAAAATCGACATCCATCATTTCCCATTCTATAGTAGTTGTTGTATGTTTCATTTTTTTTTTTGAAAAATATTGTTTATTTCTCTCTGCAGTCTCCTTTTTTTAGTAATCAACATGCATGCGAAAGAGTCGAATCGATTTTCAATGGGTGTTATGAACGTCGGTATTCTCACAGATCGATCTGAATAATCGACTTATCGAATCGAATGTATTCAAAATTTTATATTTTCGTCTAAGATTATGTTATATATATTATGTATTGTTTTATTATATCATTAGTTAATTCATTTAGAGCCAGCTCGCAAGTTTCTGGGTGTTGATACTCCTTGTACTATAGAAGAAAAAAAGGAATCAAAATCACCAACGAAGAAGAACCCTAAAAAAGACAAAGAAGGTGAGCAAGTGCCCTTTTCTCAGTTCCTCGCCTACTTTCATCGTTATACTATTAGAAGAAGAGAAGATAAGTTAGAAATTGAGCAATGTTTTTCAATAGCATGAAGTTATTTTTTTTAAATGCCTTCAAATGGCACACAAGCTGATAATCTAACCTAATAGAAAATGGTAATCGTTAACTATAAAATGAAAAAAAACTTAACAAATACTAGCAACGAAACGAATAGTCCTCATTACTAACAATCCCTCCCCCTCCCCCTATCTAGGTAGACTTTGTTACTTATCTCTTATTGTTTCCCTAGGACAAATATTTTTTTTAATAGGTGATAATGGAATGGTAACCCCGCCAGCGCTGTCTATATACATTAGCGGGCCATCAATGAGGCATCCCTCACTGATGGCCTGCCAACACATTTATTGTTAACGCACTGTTACAATAATGAACTAGCGACCCGCCCCGGCTTCGCACGGGTGCACTTTACATCACACCATATTAGAAACCTCTAAAATTATCAGTGTTCCTCTATAAACTATATTACGCATGTATTATACATACAAACCTTCCTCTTGAATCACTCTATCTATTAAAAAAATCGCTTCTAAATCAGTCGCGTAGTTTTAAAGATTTAAGCATACATAGGGACGGTCAGATAGCGACGGCTACTTTGTTTTATACTATGTAGTGATAGTGAAATGATTAATCATCGCATCATCATCATTATATCAGCTTTTTTTAATTGGGTGATAACGAAATATAACCCCGCCTGCACTATCGGTATACGCTGGAGGGGCTCCAGTGAGGGATGATAGGTGACGATGAAAGCAGGTCGGTCAGCCCATAGTGACGAATTTCACTAGAATTAATCACGATAGTTTCCAGGGTCAACCGCGTAGAGGTCGACTTTATAAGGGTGTATTGCTAGATATGGGGAAATTAGACACCATTACTAATAATCTCTTTCCCTCCTATCATCTATTAGCTGTCTACTGCTGAACATAATGCTTCCTTATAAGAGAAGTTTTGCCAGTAGTTGCCACGCTTGGCAGGCGAGTTGGCAACCGCAGTTAGTTTATAGTGATCTTTTCAAGAGGGATGCTGCTGACAATCCTTCGACCATTAATACCCTTAGTATATCCTGTTACGACACCCACGGAAAGGGAAGGGATAGCCTGTTCTATGCTGGGACCACATGGCATATGAATAATATTATTATTAGATCATAATAAGAATTAATTAATTAAGATTTGTTTATATTTCATACAGTTGAAATAAAAAACCGGGCACCTCTGCCACTGCCGCATGAAATGTCGAATGAAGGTAAACTATCTTTATATGTTAATTATAAATCTATTTATTTATTTATTTAAACTTTATTGACCAATAAAATGTGATACAATAGGCTGGCTTAATGCTATAGGTATTCTCTATCAATCAATCTTTAGAATTGACAGAGATACAAGATGGCGGTTTAAAAAAATAAATTATTTATATTTCACTATCAGATGGTAATTACATATGTACATCTGTACATATGTATATATATATATATATATATATAGTAACGGATATAAACGTTTTGTTTTAGCTAAAAAATCTTCTTTTACAGCACCACCCAAGAATTCTTCCGTTAAACCACCAACCAAACAGAAGTCTACGCTGTCAGAAAAATCGATTAAACCTGGCAAAGCTTGTTCTCCGGGACCGTCGCCAAAGCTTAAAACAGAGCAAGGTACAGTCAGCATCTAAATAAATGAAAAAATGTCAATATACGAGTACTACTGTACTTTCTTTTTCATGGGTGATAATATAATGGTAACCCCGCCTGCGTTGACAGAATAACTAGCGGGACAACAATGAGGGATGATAGGTGAGAATGAAAAGTCGTGATGAATACACCTGAAATTCAGCACGATGGTTTCCAAAGGGGACCATGAGGAGGTCAACCTGTCAGGGTATATTGCTAGAAATAAGACTGGTGCTCGGTACTACTAACAATCCTCCCCCTCCCCCGTACCCATGCTACTGTTCTAGGGCGATTTTCAGAAAGAGTGACCCCTGTCCAACTTCAGTAGACCTTTAACTGTACTTTCAGGGCGGAAGGCATTGTTAGTAATACGCACTACCAGTCCCATTGATAGCAATATATCCTGTCAAGTCGACCTCCACGTGGTTCCCCTTGGAAACCATCCTGCTAAATTCCAAATGTATTCATCAGAATGGGTTAACTGACCTGTTTTTTTTCATTCTCATCTACCAAAGATACCAAGAATTAGAAATTATATACCAGATCAGATTTTGTTTTAAACTATTTATGTAAGGAAACAGCTCGTTTTATTTGAACGACGGTTACCACTTTCCATCAGGTGGGCCGTCAGCTTGTTTGCCATTCTAAGTTGTATAAAAAAAAAGAACACTCTTGATAAAAAAAACCGTATTTGAAATAACTGAACAAGTTCATTTGAATTTAAAAAGTTGTTTATGAAATTTCAGAGGTCGTATCGCAAGCCCTGAACGACATATTCAAGAATAGGAGTGACAGTATTCTCAGTAAGTATTAATTTACGTTTCTTAGGATTCAGGTGTTATTCCTCTGTACCCTGTAAATTCACTGTCATAGATTTTGTAAATATTATACGAGTAATAAATGTCAAAATTAAAATTTTATGGGAATATATCACAATCACATTGGTAGCATTCTTTAGTCATTTAAAAATTCATTTACATAATAATGAGATTTTTTCTATAATCCATTATAATACACGTTTTTTTAAATGTCCCATATTATAGGCATTGTTTGAAAGTGATGGCTTAGCGGTAAGGCCGCCTTTTATATCACTTTTCATTAAAATTGACTGTATTTATTATTTTTATAAATGGTGCAATAAAGTGTAAATAAATATATTATATAGCTGTCAAATTTCTTACGTATTTTTCTAGGGTAATAACGATAACTCAGAAACTAATAGAAATATAAAAATAGTCAATGTAATTATTAGTTTAATAATAAGATTACATCTATTTAAAGATTTTTCAACCGACTTCAAAAAGAACGAGGTTCTCAATTCGTCTGTATTTCTTTAGCTTGTTACCTCATAACTCCGTCGGTTCTAAAGCGATTTGAATTTTTTTTATCTGATTGGTGATCAAAATCGGTTCAGTAATTTAATTTTTAAATCAAAATAACTGGTTGTGTCATAATTAAGGTCGGTTTTTGTTGTGGGACAAAATTTATTTAATTATTTTTATTATAACAGATAAACAACAGCAGAAGCCAACACCGGTGTCGAAATCAGCAATGAATCGGAAACCAACTGCAACTAATATTAACACAAACCCGTCTTTAAAAGTCAAGCCTAAACCACCAGTAAAAAAACCAGGTAATTGAATATTCATCATCGCCATATCAGCTGTTCGAAGTCTTTTTGCATGATAGAATCCGAAACGAAGATATCCGCAAAAGGACCAAAGTAACCGACATAGCCCGAAGGATAAGCAAGCTGAAATGGCAATGGACTGGTCACATAGCCCGAAGAACCGACGACCGATGGGGACGAAAGGTTCTTAAGTGGCGATCCCCCACTAGATGGCCTGAAATGCATTGCAGGGAATCAATGGATGCAAGTAGTAAAGAACCGTTCCTTATGGCAGTCTATGATGACGATGATATCAACTGTTAACTGTCCACTGCTGAACATAGGTCTCCACTGTAAGGGGATCGTCCATTAATCACGTGAGGCTTGAAAGGGAGAGGAGGGGTTCAAAAAAAATCACTAAATCTCACAGGGGGTGAGTAGGTGTAGTGAGATATCACGTCTATTTATCTGATTCACTAGATGCTTATTCACTTGTTAGTGTTGAAGAAAGTCTCGGTAATCCGTGGTCTGAGGACAATATCCATTGAATAGTTAAAAAGATGCTGAAAACACCACGTGATTAATGGCCGACCCCGAAGGAGGGGTTCTGCTAATAGTGGCCACGCTTGGCAGGCGACTTGGCAACCGCAGTTAGGCTATTGGTGATATTTAAGAGACCTTTAATTTCCCTTAGTCGCCTCTTACGACACACACGGTCAAGGAAGGAGAAGCCTATTCTATGCCGGATTACCCGGTATTGAACATTATTATGTATCCCTGTAATATTACTCTATGGTATAAACGCGAAAGTAAATTCTTAACACGTCAGTCCTCGAAAAAATTATGGGTATTTTTTTAATGGATGATAATAGTATGGTAACCCCGTCTACGCTATTGGTATACACTGACGGGATACCAGTGAGGGATGACAGATGAAGATGAAAGTAAGTCAGTTAGCCCATCCTGACGAATTCAACTAGAATTAGTCACGATGGTTTCCAGGGGGAACCACGTGGGGATCGACCTGACAGGGTATATTGCTAGTAATGGGGCTATTTAACTTCATTACTAACAATCCCTTTCCCCCAGTTATGGGTATTACAATTTTTACTTTACTTAACTACCTTTAACTATTGAATAATTACTATTTTATTGGGGAGAATCTGGTGTCTAGAATACGGTTATAGCTTAGTTTAGGCTCCAGATTTCCCACAAATTACAATACTTATATTTTTTTGTATAAAAATAAATAATCGGTAGGTACATATACTGTAATTTGTGGAAATTAAATAAACTCATTATTATTATTATATTGACGGAATGACAAACATACTGACAGTCCCCCTGATTGAAAAGCAAATGTTATTAATACGTGAACAATATGAATTGCCATTTGTGAATATTAAGCAATTTTTCCTCTGTATAATACAATTTTTCTATTTTCAGATATCGTACCAAAATCCTTTTTAACAAAGGTAAATTCGAAACGGCCGGAGCCCACCCCCCAGGCAGGGCCATCTGCGGTTACACCGCAATCCACGCTACGCAAACACCAACCAATCCCCAACCCAATAAATAAACCCCCCATGCCACCACCACCTACTGTATCGAAGGCTACTCCACCACCGTCACCACCGCCAAATGAAGTCGAAGATATAGAGCAAGGTCTGTTTTTTTTTTATTTAATTTAAATAGACATAGGTAACGCTGCGCTACGTGGTACCATGTCAGATGATCTTCTCGCGTTTACCCTGAAAACCATCGTAAAAAAACACGGCGCCAACTCACTTTTAACTCGATGAGCCAGTGCAATAAAGTGCGCCTGAGTTACTGAGTAGACGCAAGGAAAATCGTTAAGTTGCCCATGTCTAACTTATCAAATGTTGGGCGCGAAGGAGTGTTAGTAATGCGGACTACCAGTTCCATTGCTAGCAATATACCTTCTCAGGTCGACCTCCACGCGGCCAGTCTTGGAAACCATCGTGCTGAATTCCAGGTGTATTCATCACGATGGGCTAACTGACCTGTCTTTCATTCTCACCTATCATCCCTCAATGGTGCCTCGCCAGCGTTAGCTACCGTTTCCAGGAGAAATCGCGTAGAGGTCGACCTGACAAGGTATATTACTGGCATTACAAGTGATAATACGCATTACTAACAATCCCCTCCCCCTCCACCCAGTTCTGTAAATAGTACACGCTATATGGCATTGTTAATATCTTTCTCTTTTCATTTTAGACTTTCCTCTTATTGGTGCAACTAATTCATGCATTTTCCTCAAGCCAGTTCTATCCCTTGTCGTATCTTTGACCTCTCTATATGACATGACATCTAGTATTAATATATTTATATTATTCCTTTTTTCAGAAATATATACTCCGTGGGGCGAGGACTGGACGTACGAATCGTTACAACCATACCAGTTATATTCTAACTTACAAAATATATGAGATGAAACTACTTCACTAACTTAGAGCGACCAAGGATAGCTTTAAAGACGGCAACCAATGGACTCGATTCTGGAGCGCCTTTTCTCTGAACCTTTTTCATAACCTAATATTTTAATTTGATAATTTTTCTAAATTACTTTTTTTTAAACCACTGAGCCTATCAACGCCTGCAATACCAAGGGCATTGCTATTATCGTCATAGTCGTAGAATACCGACGGATCTATATATGTAATCTTTGTCAGATCCGTCAGTATTCTACGACTATGACGTTTTAAGCACCATCACAAACAAAATTTATAATAATTTTGACTTAAATCAATTAGAAATTTATTTCATATTGGACCATAGATTAAGAATTCACTGTGATATCAAATTGAAATTGGAATTAATTTTATAGTATATAATAAGTTTAGATAAATGGTGCCTCAGAATGGGAGCCATGTTAAATTTAAATATATTATTTTCCAGAGTGAATCTGGTCCCTTAAAAAAACGCATATAGGTACTCTTAGACATGTCTTTCGTAACTGAAAGCGTTCACATTCTGGGTAAAGCACTAGATGATTCCGAAGTAGGCACGCCCTCTTCCCCTCATCACCCACAGCCCTCCTAAATACACCTATATCAGCAGAATAAATTTCAATTGCTAGCAACTACAAGGGATCCTTGGACCTCTAAAGCCAAAGATTAAGTTATTTTTAAGGGTATATCAAGACGTATCTTTTTAATTTTAGACTACATACAAAGTTATATGGTATTATCAGTTTTTATTTAGTTATTATTATTTAGTTGGCTCAATTAGTAAATAAACTTGGTATTATTAGTTGATTCGACTTATTAGACCCGACCCGCTTATTTATAAAAATACAGAACATCTTATAAACTTATTTTAACCTATTGATAAGTTTATATATTTTGTCCTTTTCTTTCGTACTAATTTTTCAATTTGAAAGACAATGACAGACTGCTGTAATAGTTAAAATAAGTTTGTAGGACGTTTTAGTTTTTATGAATAAGGGCTTAGTCGATAATAATATTATAAAGATGTAACATTTGATATTTTGTAAATTTCTTTATTTGTAATGGGTAAACTATAACTGGGCCGATTTTAAAATTCTTCAAGTTATAGAAGTACTTACTTAAGTTACTTTATAAGCGAATAACATAGTCTATATATTATTTTATATCAAACCGTGCGAAGGCCGGGCAGGTCTCTAGCACAAAAATAATCTAAAACATTGTCTATCTAAACAGTTTTTAATAACTCTTATTAAAAAAAAATGTTTATATGTACTTTTATGTACCAAAATATACAGATTATTATAATAAAATTATTATTTTAACCAACTTTTATTTTTATTAAGATGGATTATTATGTTTATAAGTTTTTCACATATAGAAAGCTAAATTACCATCCACAGTGTTAAGTAACATAAGTTGAATTTTGTTATAAAAAAAATTCACGCGAAACCGGAGCGAATCGTTAGTTTAGACATAAACAGATGTTAGACATGGTTTTCTGATAAGACTTCTAAACACGTATTTAACATCTGTTAACCACATGTTTCACTTTTTTAGTTTAATTCTCTTTATCTACGACTTTTACATTACATTCTATAACTATCAAACGAGAACACATAGTCTGACTAAGAACAAGGTAGTCTGAGCAATGATTTTGGTTTTATAATAAAAAAAAATAAAAAAAAAAAGTTTTTCAGCCAGAATCAAATACAGACATCAAGGTGGAAGTAAAAATGAACAAATAACAACTTTAATATATATTTTTAATAATTTACTACAATCTATTTCATGTCATCTTCAGTCAACTGTACTTTCTTAGTTTCTTTGACTATTTCATCAATTCTGTGCAAATCTTTGAGGGAAACTTCGCCGGAGCCCCTCTCCAACGGTTTTGGCTGTGACGGATCTGGTTTCCAGCCAAGGAAGTTTATTATTTGGAAGGTTGCTGGTACCCCGCGAGAGTTCCTTTCAGGAAAATCCTGGAAAAAAGTAAAACATGTTTTCTTAAAAAAAAACTTAATTTTTACCAAATTACTATGGGATTAATACCATTTTCAAATAAAAAAAATATTGTCAAAATTTTGTGTATCCTAGAGGCTAAAGACCATTTCATGGGAGAGGTCTACGTTCGACATGGGATAATTATCGTCTGGAACAATAAAAATGATTAGGACAGATTTACTAGATGTAATAAAAATCTTAATCAAAACTACCAAATCTACCAAAATAGTAGTAAGTTACAACATTGTAACATTAAAGAAAAAAAGATACTTCTTGAAAGGCCGGTAGAACACTTGCATTTTTGTCTGGTGTTGCGGGTGCGTATTTTCTTAGCCATTAGGGGAGAAAATAGGCAAAGACAAGTGGAACTGGCCCATTCGATGGCCGTATTCACTACTCATCAGATGAGCTATTTACATCCTATTACAAAAAAAAAATTATCAATACCTTGCCATACATCTCGTCGTAAATGGCGGCGGCGGAGAATTGCACGTCGCGGCTCAACCGTAGAGGGCGCGTGTGTGCCGCGTTGGACTCGCCCATGGCGCGCGCGTCCCACATCACGTGCCACGCGCTCGGGTACCACAACGTCATTGAATCTACATCCACTGTTTGTAGAGTGAAACCGGCCCTAGAATAATCATCTCTATGTATTAATACTATTAACTTTTCAGATTAATTTATCATATAATCTATTTCAATTAATAAAACAACTTAATAAAAATGTCAAAAATGAATAATTGACCTGTCTATAGACGGTCTACTGATATCCAACATTAGTAGTAGTTGTATGTGTCGATACGTTACTAATTTCATTTAGAAATAGGAGAAGGGTAGGAATTGTTAGTGATGAGGTCAAGTCAACCTTCCCGTGGTCCTCCCTGGAAACCATTGTGCAGAACTCCAGGTGTATTAATCACGATGAGCTAAGTAATCTGCCTTTTCGTTCTTACTTATCACTGGTGCCTCGCCAGCATATACCAATAGCGCAAGCCGGATTACCATTTCATTATCAACCATAAATATAATTTTCCTTCTTATATAATTATGGAAAGATGGCAAATCATGTTTAAAGGTTTTATTTTTAATACTATTGGTGCTTTAGAAATAAATTTACGGTAGTAAAATGTATAAAGCAGAGACTTTGTACATTTTACTACTGTAAATTGAGCACACTTCGTACAATAATTTATTTTGATACTAAACTACTCAACAGATCTTGATGAAATTTGTATAGAACCAATTTGAAAGTATATTCTTTCAGATAAAAAAAGAGTTTTCCAAATCGGTTCATAAATGACGAAGTTATGAAATAACAAACATAAAACTTACAACTTTGACACCTGTTCAAAAATAGTACTGTGCTGATGAACATGTAAATTGGCGAACTCGCTAAATACAGTAATAACATTAGCTTTAAACTTACGCCGTCAGTAGGCCGCCAATGTCTCGTATCCTTGTGAACGGGGATATGTGCGGTGCCATACCACCCAACCGTTCGGTGTCGGCCAACTGTAACGCCTGTCGGAGCTCCATCAGCGTATCGCCGCCGAATACTGTTGCCATGAAGACCTAAGAAAATAGAATAATCTTTAAAATATATCTAAAGGATTTTTTTTATTTATTTTTTTATGCTACTTAGAATGGCAAACAAGCTGATGGCCCACCTGATGGAAGTGGTAACCGTCGCCTATAGACATAAGCAGTACCATGGAGATAACAGAGTATACTATTTCGCTAATGCTACCCCCCCATGCATTGCTATTGTAAAATTTTTTTATTGCCATTTATTTATCTAAGACTACAGATATTGCGCTTCTATATTTACTCTGTGTGTATTTATAGACTGCAGTCTAGAGAGAAAGTCTCTCATATATATATATATATATATATATATATATATATATATATATATATATATATATATATATATATATATATATATATATATATATATATATATATATATATATATATATTCATATGTATTAGTTTATCCATATATATTAAAAGTAATGTTTATGTATTACATGTGCATTTCTTATGTGTATATTATATTTATATTGTGTATTGCCTTAATGTGTTACTATAATTGTCACATATTTTTCACCACATCTGCCCTTCATACGCTTTCTGTTTTTACCCAATGGTTAGCTGGTAGAGAATGCCATATGGCATTAAGCTCGCCATTTGTACAAAATTTTATTGTGCAATAAAGAATAAATAAATAAATAAAATATTCATCTCTAAGAAACAAATGGATGAAAGTATTTGGTCTATCTATACCTATACTTAGGGGAGACTTATGTCCAGCAGTGGACGGATAATGGCTGAAATGATGATGACGATACATATATAAAGAGGAAATATTTGATTGTTTATAACAGATAAACCCAAAAACTACTCAAAAGATTTTAAAAATTCTTTCTCATATAGAACGCTACATAATCGACGAATAATTTAGCCTATATAATTTGTATATAATCAATAAAAACCAAAAAAAATTAATGTAGAAATATTTACCCCATCTGGCATTAGCGACTTCATAATTTTGTCGAAGCAGCCCGGCAGGTCGTTCACCCAGTGCAGCGCTAGTGATGATACTACTAAGTCTAAACTGTTCTCTGGAAACTGGAAAGTCATAAATAAACAGATTTCTCTGTATTTATAATGAAAATTAAATTTAGTATCTATAAACATATAAAAATCAATTAGTATTAGTTAATCTCGCCAAAAATCGCTAGCGCTTGACCTATTTAAATATTTCCTTTTTATTTTGTCCATTATAATACAGAGGTAGTTTAAAAGGAAAGAACAAATTTAAAAAACCCTAAAATTCAGCAGAAAAATTAAAAATAGGTAATTTTGTATGGGAAGCGCTACTTCGGATTACTTTTAATAGATGGCGTTGTAAGTGATACGAAGTTCATCATATCATCTAGCCAGTAGTTGCTGCGCTTGGCAGACAGGTTGGTAAAGGGGTCGCAAGATATTTTTACATAATAAAGGGGTCGCATCATGAAAAAGATTGAAAAACACTGACATATGCTATATATTATTGTCGAAAAATTCTATCTACCCATGAAAATCAGATCCTCAATTTTTACTCTTTTGACGCTTACATCAATATTTTCTTCATCCATAACAAGTTTCTCAACCTGTACACCGTCACCTACTATTGCTTTGTCCAGATGAGTCTGTGACGTATCACAGAGTGTGATCTTCTCCACACTATCTGGTAAGAAATGCCTGGAAACATAACCTCGACTGGCACCTGAAATTATCCTAATAATGTTACATAAAAGTTTATAAAGATGTTTAAATTTTCACTACTCAAACACACTTTAATAGTTAGATGGATTTAAAATGTCATGTACTAAATAAAGGTAGAGAGGTCATATCATAGATTAACATATATAATTCATTGATATAGATTTTTATAATGCAACTATGGTTAATAGTAAAAAAAAAAATATAAAGAGATGTATGCATGTAACACCTGAGCCTTAGTTTTTTTTTTTTTATATACAGATACAACTCTGATCTCCCTCTCTCTTCCTGAATGATATGTCACAGTAAACTGTTTTAGTAATTATAAATCTAATCCTATTTATTTGTATTAAACATAAGAAGATTTCTGTGTTATATTATATACAATATTTACTCTGATTATTGTAATACAAATTTTTATTAATTCAATAATTATTAGATTTTAAATTAGATAAATTAAATTTTTTGAGAAAAGATATGGGCAATAACTGAATATAATCTACCTTGGTTTGGAATAAAAATGTTTTAACATAATAGAAAATTACTGCTTTTAATATATAAAAACTGGACTTCTATAGATAGCACATTGCTTTACTGAAGTGGTCAGCGGGCTTAAAAATTCAATCGAGCCAAATTAGGAAGCAAACTCTTTGAAAATGTCTTGGATCCAGGTGTATCATAGTTTATACGCATAAGATGGATCACTAAGCTGTTTTCATCATCTTAGGGGGTATCTTGGCTTCAATACTAAATAATTCGTGAATTTGTGTGTCACTATTTATTGAAAAAAATATATATAAAAACAATATAACTGCTTGTTGTATTGTTAAAAAAATTACTTACCCAGTTCTACGGCATTTTTAAATGTTCTCTTTATATCAAAAACCCTGTCAGCTGTACGCCAACCAACCTCTTCTTTTATATGTTCCACTAAATGATAATCATCCCTACGAGCTGACCTTTCTCTTTGCAGGGCCTTAGCTTTCCTATCAAATATATTCATACTTCGGTACACAGAACTGGCAGTCTTTGGTTTCGTCGTTTTGTGCCGCAAAATGTTGACATAGTTACGTAAATGTTTTGATACATCTAATAGCTTATTTGTAACGTGTATTCTTGCGGGATGCAGTAATAGTTTATTATGTGACATCTTTATCTTACTATATATTTATAAATTGAGATAAATATTATTAATAATACATTTTTTAAGTAATATAGGACAGCAAACAGAACCAAAACAAAGCAGCGTGACAGCACATTACATTTTTTTTTTTTTTTTAGTACGTTTGTTCCGTTTGGAACAGGCTAAGGTCGGAGACCATGCTGCCTAGTCTTCAAAAAGATAATTTGTCTGGAATTTTATTTTTCTAATGTCGCTTCAATTATTGTCATAATCTTCAATATTTCATTTGTCAAATCCGGTAAGTACATTTTCATAAATATCTTTTCTTGAGTTTTCTTAAACCAGTGGATTTATCAAATTAAAAATAAATAATTATAAAAAATCATTGTCTTGCAATTCAATAAAAGTATTCTTATAGCTCCTTGAATGTTGTAGTAATATAAGTGAAAATAGCTTTGAAACAAGAAGGAAATCTTAAGAGAATCGGGATTGAGCAGCACATTACAGCTGATGATGACAAGTGACAACTTGAACTGTCATTTCAAATTATGACCAAAAATTATAAAAATTAACTATATATCTATCTAAACCTGAATCAAATCATAAATTTTGTACAATAGGCTTGCTCAGGTACCATAAAATCTAAAAATTAATCAATATAATAAATGTTATAAATTAGAAAAGGATTATAATAAATATTGGGATAAAGTTCCACCAAAAACTTAGGGTTAAAGTTACTTAGTACTAAACGATTATATAAATGTCACTAGGTACAAATATTTCGTTGTTTATCGGCAGTTTATCGGTTTAATAAATATAAGTGATTCGATAATTATAATTTATTGAATTTATTCAGTATCCTTTAGCAATATACATTGTAATAAATTTTCAACAACAAATATTTTTAAATACACTGTACCGTAAGTTATTGAAAATTTTTATACTTCACATAACCTATTTTGATTATTATTGCAAACAACTCTATAAATTAAAAAAAATATTATAAGTAAAAAATGGAAACACAATCATACACTCTCACTAACGTTCTTCATTATACTTGTTTATTTTGTTTATACCTAAACAAATTAAATCTTGTAATTTTTAAATGTGATAGTGATATTATTATGATAACAACAGGCCCCATTGCTTGCAATATACTCTCAGTTATGTGTTTGCCACGATGGGCTAACTGACCCAACTTCATCCTTATATATAAAAAGTAGTAACTTTGTCAGGGTTTTTTTTTTACTGTAAAAATCTTGTCTAGGGTAGGCAAGTATGTAATAATCGTAATATTTTTTATCTACAGATGACTGGTAATATAAAAAAAAATGTCATAAGAACAAAACTGTATAATTTTTGATTAATAAATACTTTTAAATTTAGAAAATGATTTCCTTCCATTTCAGATGTGGCCCATAATTATGCAGTTTCTGCGGTCAAATGCACCATACCTTACACTTCCAGTAGCTGCTGTAGTTGGTATTATAGGATACAATTTAGAAGGATTATTATCAGATAGATACACACCTTATAATAGTGAGTATCACCAACAAATAGATGCTATTTGTATAAATTGAATATGGAAATAAATGCCAAAATATAAATGTGTTAAATGAAACATATACTTTATTGTTAAAATTATTTGGATCCCCTTATTTTAAATTGTATAAGTTCTACAGACTACATAACTCATTTGGGAAGTTTCAATGTTTTAAAAAAAAATATAATTAAAATATTCTATTTTTCCTGTAATATTCACATTTTTTATTATCTATTTTTAACCATTCATTTATTCAATTATTATTATGTTATAAAATAAATATTAAATGTTAATCATAAAACCAAAAATAACTATACATGTTGTCTTCTCTACCAACTTTGGAATGTTTATATCTTATACTTTTATATCTTGTTACAGAGGCAATCCAAGACCAAAGATTAGAAAGATTAACAGAGGAAGACATCTTAAATGATCCAACAAATGTAGAAAAATTGAAATACAAAGAAAATGTACTTGGAAGGAATGTATCGCCGTCATTACAAAAAGAATAATTATTAAGTTATTAAAGTCTGAATAAGTGAGAACATCAAAATTTGAGGTGTTTGAAGGGTATGATATTCCTTATATATACACCTTGGGAAATTAATGGAAATTGCCTAAAATAATTTGATTTTAATATTTTCAGATTAGATAACAATACAGAAATTCACTGCTTTAATACCTAATAGAAGATAAACAAACAAAATTAAGGCTGTAGTGTACCATTCAAGCCTACAGTACTAATAACAGCTCAATCTATGGTAGTCTCACCTACTCTGTTAAATATATAATCATAGATAAAAAAATCAACATTCACTTTTTATATAAGTGTTCCATATTAAATGAATATTATGAACACATAGATATAAAAAAAAAACAAGATTCACATTCTTATCTGTCTTAATTCTATTTTAGCGGCCTGTCCCGGCGTCGCACGGGTGGACATTTTTACATTTTAAAAAGTAGCCATTAAGCTTAAAAATGGAGTAACTTCTCCTGTTTTCCCAACATTTCCCTTCACTACTCTGCTCCTATTGATCGTAGCGTGATGAAAAGTATACTATAACCTGCCCAGGAGTATGAACAATAATTGTACCAAATTTCATTAAAATCTGTTGAGTAGTTTTTGTTTCTATAATGAACATACAGACAGACAGACTAAAATTTTACTGATTGTATTTTTGGCATCAGTATCGATCACTAATCACCCCCTGATAGTTATTTTGGAAATATATTTCATGTACAGAATTGACCTCTCTACAGATTTATTATAAGTATAGATGAAAAGTAGATAGTTGTCCTAAGACCAAATATAAGTGGAGTTGATTTTTTTATATGACACTCCATGTTTTAATATCATTTTCTATATGCGAAATTGTATTTTGGATTATTTTCTATGTCAATGTATGAATTACAAACACCACAAGTCCAATGAAGTCATTACTTAATTAATAATGTAAATATAATTGTTATAGTTTTTAATTGTTTTCAATAAATATAATGAATATGTTTAAGTTTTTATTTAATACTTACACATGCATACTCATACTTTATCTATATACCTATATCTTAGATTATATAGATAGAATGTCTTCATACAAATGCTTCGAGAAAAGTGAGTCAATTTTTTCATACAATTTTTCATGATAAATAGTTATGAGTGACTCCTTTATAACTTCTATAATTATTTTGTCTTTTATATTTATTTTCTGCATGTTTTTAATACCTAAACACTCATTTTATTTATTATATAATACATCAAGATACTTTATATGCGTAAGTATATAGAACACTGATAAAAAAAATGATTCAACTAATTTGACATATGGCTAACAAAAAATTGACTCGTTTTTGAGACTCAATGTTCTTATCTATATAATCTAAGACGTTATATATTATAAAAATACAACTAAACGATGTCTGTACATAGAAGATATTAAAAATTTGTATAAGGAAAGTTATTCGTCTTATTAGGACCCCTTATAATTTTTAAAATATCTGTCTAAGCGTCGAATTTATAAACTGGCGTATTATTGTCCATTTCCAAAATTAACGCGTACGGAGACGCGGCCAAAAGCTAGTGAAATCAATCCTTGTTCTTGATCTATATAACCTTTGTAGATTTCAAGAATAGTCAATTACTTCGTTATTAATCACAGCTTAAGCTACCTATATCCATCAGGAGAAAAGAAACTGCTAATAATGTCTATAAGTCCCATTGGTAGCAATATACCCTATCAGGTGGACTTCCACGCGGTTGCTCCTAGAAACCATCATTAAATTATTATTCACCAGATGGTATTTGTCCATAAACTACAACTGCGATAGAAAAATATGTCGAGTAATGAGCGTTTGCATCGCATGACTCGCCTGGAGCCGGACGAGGGGCGCGAGCCAATCACGTGGCCGAGCGGTGTCCATCGACGTCGGACTGCCGGCCTGCCGCTGTTGACAGTACATCAACATCATATCGCTACAGGCTACGGGCTTCTGGTAGGTAGCCTGGTTCAATCCCACTACGTCTCTCGAGTAAATTATAATTCTCGGGTAAATTCTTATGAATTTTGTCACGATGAGCTAACTGACCTGCTTTGATCCTAACTAGTGCCATGCCAGCGTATACCGATAACGCAAACAGGGCTACCATTCGATTTTCAACCATAAAGACTACTATCTATGGACATGAAATATATTAATACATTACTTTAAGCATAGATATTTAATAAAATAGACTTTAATTGTAATAAAACCAGTTATTTTGTTCTAAAAACTAAACTACCATTTTTGATAAAATTTCTATGGGACCTTTCTGTAACTATATCCTTTCAAATAAAAAAAGAAGTTATCATATCTGTTTAAACTAGATGGAGTTATGAGATAGTTAATATAAAAAAATACAACCGAATTGCGAATCCCTTTTTTAAGTCAATTCAAGAATTATATTGAATCGAGCTACGAGTAGAATATAGCCGCTTTTGAAATGAAAAAACTTATAGTTTAAATTATATATTTTCGTTATAATAATCCATTTTACAATCTATTTGCCTCTAACATAGTGACGTAATAAAAAACATTAACTTGTGCCGATCGCACCAATCACAGAAAAATACCAAGTAGCAAAGACAAAATTATCTATTTAAAACAGACAAGTACTCAGGGGCGAGGGCATAAATATGAGTACAACTATATCATCATAAATTCAGCCGCTGAATTCCACTGCTGAACATAATCCTCCTTCTATGGGGAGGGGGGGGGGGAGTAGCTAGGGGGTATTTACCACGCTTGGCTGTCGGGTTGGCAACTATGTAGTAATGCTACTGCCCATTCCACGACCATAAGTGTGGGTGTCGTAACGGCACCCACGGGAAAAGAAGGGATGCTCTATTCTATGCCGGGACACTCACAACTATATACTAAGCGCATGGTCGTAACTAGGGACAAGGGCATTAAGGAGCAATGCCTTAAACGGCACAATGCTGTACCTTAAAATGAATGGCTTCTGCCCTACCAAAAAGTTTGTTTGCCTTACTTCAAACTTAGATCTAGCTACGACCCTGATTAAGTGTAAAAGTAACAATTTCATAAAATATAAAATACAATGTTGATGTTTATGAAACTGAACCAAAGAAACATGAACAAACCGCGGTCACAAGACCGTGGGACAGATTCTGCAATGAAATGCCATTCTAAATGTATTAAAAATTGTAAATTTTAGATATAGATTAAAAGTGTCTGTCAAGCACACCTCTTTAATTTCCTCTGCATTTTCTAGTATCCTTCAAAATTCTCCAGCAGTGAAAATATCTGAAGTTTCAAGTCACAGTCCCGACATTGCCCCTTATTACAGCCCTTGCAGATGTGCGAACGACACCACAATCACAACAACAAGATAGGCATTTGATGGAAACAAATGTACTTATATACAATTCATATTATAATATTTACAACATACTTTTTTCTTCTACTTAAATATAGAACATGATTTTCCTATAGAAATCGTAAAACGAATATAAAAACATTTTTTTTTTTATATTTGGTTGTAATAATATAAAAACTAGATCAATCTAGACATTTACCATAAACCAAATAGCCCCCTTCTCATTTACTTCTTTTACCGACTAATAACTAGTCTTAAATTGTCTATTCAAGACGACATATACCATAAGGCTTGTAATTTCAGTATTGCCTGTGCAAATTTTAAACAAAATCTGGCACTTTTAAATTTTAAAAACATTATTTAAAATTAGCTGTCATAAGAAATGTTGTCCTGTCAAAATTATTTTTTTCTTCCACTGAAATCCATAATCGAATTAAAGATGAATGTCATAATAAAAATCAAAAACAAGTGCCAAATTGGCTAAACTTTATCATGTGATGCAGCCAGCACTTATTATTTATAGAAATGTTAAATATTAGTAGTATTTTAAAAGTAAATAAAATAAATTGTTTAATAACAATATATATATATATATAATATTTTATATAAACAATTATTGCATAATTTGCTTTAAAAAATTTTTGCCACTAAATTCTAGGATTGTATCAGTATATAAGTGTTAAACGAAATGAACTTTTTCAAAATGTTAAAGCGTTATAAAATAACTAGTTAAATAAATAATAAATTTACTATTTGATTACATTTAAAATTCTACAAGTAACACAGACCTTACCAGTCTTACGGCATATACGCTCTTAACAATAATTTTAATTCCAATATTATAAAAGCTTTAAAAATAATCAACATAAACACACTAATTAACAACTTTATAATTGATAGGGCTTCTCATTACACATTTCTCTATTTCCATGAACGAACAATATGTCTCATAACTTGTATTATTTGACAGCAAAAACCTTCGCACTATTTCTAAGTCCTCTAACGCCCTTGTTTTCTTAACAATAACCTCTTTCTCGTCGGATTCAGGTTTCTCAGTTGCCAGAGGTAGTATTTCTTCTTTGTCTTTGTCAGCACACGCTACGGGCTCAGTTACTTTATGGTTCCCGCCAAACACGGACCCATTAGTGCCCTGCCCCGTCAATAATTCTTCGTCTACCGTCAAATACATATCTAAATTTGAGAGATCAGTGAAGTAAGATTCGATGTCGTAGTCTTTTAACAAATTACACATTATTTCTTCGTCATTTTCATATATTCTTGGTATATCAACAAAAGGGGTATCTACCTTTTTAACGTCGTAACCAGTATCAAGAAATGCTTTAGTAATTATTTCGGGAGGCGTCCGGTCCCATGCTTTTTGAACCATATGCAACGCTTCCAAACAAGTGAGGTTCCTATCAATACCTCTTAAAGAGTTCATTGCCTTTTCCTCTATAAGCAACCTACGGAATTCGTCCCTAAAACGTATAAATATGCCATTCCTAATAGGCATCAGTCCCGTCGAAGCTTTCCAAGGGACAAAGACTAGTTTCAAATGAGATAATTGTAACTTAGAATGTATAGTAGCACGATCTAATATTAACACGGCTTTCTTATTTAATACTTGTAACTCCCTATTCCAATATTTCACGTACTCCTCAAACATTGATGTAGTGAAATGTGCTTGACAATGCCTTATGTATGTAACTGGCAGTGTATCAGGGTCTCTATGTGAATGTAGCAAGGGATCTTCTATACCGCACACGAATAGCTTCTTTTTATCGAGACCCGTGGAATTCGTGCATACGAATATAGAGAGACGATCTTTTGCATAACCCTGGATAAATTTCTTACCACCTAACTTCTTGATTCGACCCTTAGAGGGATTATAATACAGACCTACCTCATCAGCAGTATAGATATCCTCATCAGGTATACCGAAGCGTACATCACACCAGTTCTCTTTGAAGAACTGCTTTTTCCACTTGGACTCTATTGATAAATTATGATAATCACGTTTCGATGGGGTTCCTCTCAAACATATGCTGTATCTCTTCTTAAACCTATCCAACCACTTCTTGCTACCGTTGAATGCAACAAAACCACAGTCCTTGGCAAATGCTTCAGCAATATCTTGCAGCATTTTGCCCGAGACTTGTATATTTTGACTTCTTTGGTTATGAAACCATTCAACTATTCTTGCGTCCAATATTTTATTCATGTATTTTGTGGATCTTTTGCCCGCCTTTTTAGGCAATATATACTTTTCGCGATCCTCCCAAATTTCATTAACCACTTCAGGAGTGAGGTTGTAGAGTCGACAGATATCAGCAATTGATCTTCCTTTATGCATTTTACTAACTATAGCACATTGAGTGGAATGACTTAAGTGTTCACGCTTGATGAAGCCATCGTGTTTGATTAGCGGAACTGGCGGTTCGGGTTCTGTGCTGCTGTTCAAGTCTTCGCTATGATCTTCAGATTCTGCTTCTGTCTTGATCTTCACTTTGGTACCATCAGCTTTTGCTTTTGAATTTGATCTGTGAGAAAAAACACAAAAATAATTAATAAAAAATAGCATTTCTTGTAAAAAAAATATATTATTTGTGTAAAACATAATGCGTGTAAAAAAATTAAATTACTGCTAGAGAAGAAAGAAACAATCTTATTCCATTCTACCCTCACAGTAATTACTCTTAAACTGAAATATGGGCAAAGTCATGATAACAATACAGTTCACAGAAAGAAGAATTAAAAATAAAGATATCCCAATAATAGTATATAATAAATATAATTTTATTATGGTTGTCTGTGGGTACGTCACAACATTATATTGTAATTTAAGTTTGATCCTTATGGAAACATGTAAAAAATACCCTTATTTACAAAAAAGTTTCACTTACAGCCCCATAATATGTAAAGTTTCTGCTAAATTAATAAATACAAGTTTATGAATTGCATTCCAAGAGAAGACAGTAGAAGAAAGGGGCGCCGGAAAATAAGATGGACAGACAACATCCGTCAAACGTTGGGGCCTTATTGGAATAAAGTGGTGGAGAATAGAGTTCAGTAGAGAGAGCTGGAGAAGGCCTATGCCAGGAGGCACACCAAATTGAGAGATATAATAAATAGAAAGGGAAAATATGTTTTACTTGGGTTATAAAGAATTCTGAATGAAAGGGCTTATATATGTATATGTTATGAATTGTATTAATATATTAGCCGTTTGGTCCTGGCATAGAATAGGCCCTTTCTTTCCCATGGGTGTGGTAAGAGGCGACTAAGGGAACTTAATGGTAGAGGGATGGACAGCAGCATCTCTCTTAAAATATCTCTAAAAACCTAACTGCGATTGCCAACCTGCCTGCCAAGAGTAGCAACTACTGTCAAAACTCCCCTTATGGGGAAGTCTTAAATAATAAAAGTTAAATTCTACAAAGACATTTATTGCTCAAGTGGTTTAACAGATTTGAATGAAAATTGTTACCAAGATAGACTGCATCTTATATTAAAAGATAGAACACTTTTATCCCAATACACGCAGGTAAAACTGCGTTATACAGCTAGCAAATCATAACCAAGTGAAGCATTTACTTGTTTTCAGGTGGGCTCTCCATGTGACTTTTGACATGATCGTCCAATTCCTTTTTGGTGTGATATTTCGCAGGACATTGACTGCATGCCTCTGTACGCTCGTGCGACATTAGGTGACGACCCTGGATACAGAAGACAGACCCTTTTTATATTTATACTACTAATGTTTGAATGAGGATAGCGCCCTCTGGTGTCTGATGAAAAATGCATTCATTGTACATGAAGGCCTGTAACGTGCCTTATTGAACAACAGCTTTACATGCCTTCCTCAACATGACGAAAGTGATATGATGAATTTAAAAATTTATAGACTGCATTTCGAAGTTGAGATTTCCGGACTGCAGTCATACATTATCTAACTAATAATAAAACCAAATAACCAAACCAAATAACTAAGTATATACCATACTTAACATAATTGATGATTTCAATAAGAAGGTTCTCAATTTGAATTTATGTAAATTACAATTAAATATTAGACTGATATCACAGTCCCACACATATTTTATTTATAATATTTGTAGCAACACTATCTTTGTCACATGTTATAATAATTTTTAAAAAATTTTATTATCTGTTAATTGTACTAATATTAAAATTTTAACATTAAACAGGAAAGAGACATAGTTGCTATATTTTAAAAATTGTTATTTAGATACTATTTACTTGTATTACAAAATTTTTATAATTTTAGTCTAATACATTCATAGAAGAAATTAGAAGATACAAAGTGTATAATAATAAGATTATACTTAGCTATACTTAATAGGAAACTTACCAAATTGATCCTTAATGTAAAAGTGAGATCACACAGTGGACATTTGAGCTCCCTTCCAATATGCACACGCATATGCATCCTTAGACTAAAAGCTTTGTTAAAATATCGGCCACAGTGCTCACATTTGTGCCTGCAAATAAAATGTAAAAAAAATTAAGTATTAAGATGGTATTATTTGCTGAAAGTTAATAATGAAGAAATCCCTTTATTCATTTTCAGATTTTTTTTAACTTATTGTTACATTTTTCATATTTAAAAATAATTATATATATGTCCATATGGTCCTGGTATGGAATAGACCACCCCTTCCTATCCCATGGCTGTCATAAGAGGAGACTAAGGGAACTTATTATCGAGGGATGGTCTGCAGCATCCTTCATAAAATATCTCTAAAGCCCTGACTGCAGTTGCCACAATCCGTGTGCTATTTGTGGCAACTATTGGCAAAACCCCCCAAGGGGGAGGCTTATGTTCAGCAGTGGACAGTTCAACCTAATATGATTTCAGCAGATATGATGATACAACAAAATAACTTTCTAATCTATGTGTATGATGCTAGCATAATCACCCAGGTATACTGAAGCCTCAACAAAAATAAGAATTAAGAAAATATTTATGTTAGTTCATCTATAACAGAAGACTTCATTGACAGATATTCTCTTCATCACAGTACCCAGACCATGATTCTACAGCTAGGCTACATGTTTACCTGGTCTTAACCTGATGAACAATGGAATGTTCCCTCAGGTCTGGAGCTTTATTGAATACTTTATCACATGATGGACAGGGATATGACCTCTGCCTCCCCACACACTTCCTCTTTTTCTTCTTCTTAGAAGGAGACTCATCATCTTTAATCTGGAATTATTATAACATTACAATTAGTAAAAGGATAAAATTATAAATTTATTTTAATACATGTATTATGTATATATAGTAATTAATCTATAGCCTATGTTATTCATTGATAATGTAACTTTCTATAGGTGAAAGTATTTTTAAAATTGGTTGAGTAGTTTTTGAGTTTATCCATTACAAAAAAAAAAAAAAACAAAGAAAGCTTTCCCTTTCACAACATTAGTATAGATTACAGAAACTTCACAGTATATTAACTGTTGCTTGAATGAATCAGTATATAAAATACTTGTATTAAGTTACAATATAATCTACTATATTTAATGGAGGGTGGCTAAATGGGTAGTGACCACCCTAGAATTCTCAGCCTATTTTAGCTCACAGACATATCTGAGAGTACATATGTGCCTTTTAAGAGGCCTCGCCCCCTGAAAATGACCTTAAATATGCCAATGCATGTGTATCAAATAATTTAAACTATTCAGATGTTTAAATGTGTTCAACTGACAAACATGCATAAGGTCTTCAAAAGGGTGGTAAAGAGGTTTCTTATGGGTCGACAATGCGCACGTAATACCCATGATATTGTAGGTGTTCATAGGCTATGGTAACTGCTTACCATCAAGTGCGCCGTAGGCATGTCTGCCACTTCAGTGGTATAAAAAAAAATGCAAAGACCTTTAAAAAACCTTTATCTTTTATACTATTAATAGGAATTATAGTATAATCTGTTATGTCTATAGTACTTCTCATGTCTATAAGCGACGGTTACCACTTTCCATCAGGTAGACTGTCAGCTTGTTTACCATTCTAAGTTACATAAAAAAAATGAATAGAAGCCTTGCTCTAAGTCAATTGTATCTATTTAAGGCATATCAATTATATTTACAATGCACTGTAAAAACTATAACAAACATAGATAACACTATCTTAACAAAGTAATAGAGTACAAACCGTATAATCCAAGGGTTGATCGCCATCAACTTCCTCTACTTCAACCTTAACCAGGACTTCAGGAAGTATCCCTCCATCATCACTATCAATATCACATTTCTGTTCTATTTTAATGTCCTTTGCAAGATTGTATTTTCTTTTTAAATCCAACAAACACTCATCTTCAGATGAAGATTCATTTTTCTCAGAACCACTACCTAATGGATCCTTAGCCATGGTAACAGCAGCCTTCAGATTAATAGTTATACACATTTATTAAATACTTAATATAATTACATTTGACCATTTCACCATAAAATAAAGAATAAAGAAACTAATAAAAATAAACACCGGATTTCGGCTGACGCCATTTTTTTAATGTCATTTTTCCCATACCACACAAAACTAAGCTCCTTTCTTATTGGCTGTAGTGATAACATAATTATGAATGCATTCAGAATTATTAAATTTAAAATTAAGCAAGTTACTAGAATAGTTATAATATCGGAGGGAAAGGGATTGTTAACAATGGAATTTCATAACCCCATTGCTAACAATATGGCCCTATTAAGTCGACCTCTACGTGGTTTCCCCTGGAAACGAATTCAACAAGAATTCTTTACGATGGGCTAACTGAACTGCTTCATCCTCACCTATCATCCTTCACTGGTGCCCCGCCGGTGTATACCAATAGCGCGGGTGAGGTAACCATTCTATTATCACCCAGTAAAAAAAAAAGTTACTAATATCAGACCCAAAAGAATCATACAATAAGTTAGTGTTTGATATAATATTTTTTTTAATATTCCAAAATCCCTATTACACTCAATACGACCATGGGATTATATTGCAGCAATGGATATCAATATATCAATTTACTAAACCTTGAATAGATTAGTATCTATCACAAATAATATTCACATTTAGAAATAACGAGTAACACCTTTGAGGACAATTATTTATTGGGTTATTATTTATCTTATTTCCACTTAGTAATGAACAAAAGTATGGCGATAAATTGTAAACAAGACTGAGATTTAATTTAATTAAAATTTAGGGATATTGAACATTCTAATAAATTTTTGAGTTTAATATATTTAAAATAAATATATTTAATTTCAAAATTATAAATATTTTTTAAACTAGTAACTATCTATATGTCAACAATTAAAAAAGTAGCCGCTGTCATTAGCCACCACAAAAAAACGATTGCGCTTCGCTTCTCTTTTGGAATTTATGGTACTGTAACAAGGCTTGCTTTTGTTTCGCACCGGATTAAACTTGAAAATATCCTCACAAAACTCATCAACAATCCGCGGTCTGCATTTCATAACGTGAAACGAGAAAATTTAAATGTTTTCACCGGTGCGTCGTTGTTTTTTGGATCAATATCACCATGTCTGAATAGCGTCCAGCTAGCGTCGAAACCAAATGGAGACGAAATCTGGCGTTGGCATACAAGATCATTGGATGAAAAGTATGATGGAACCGGCTGGTGGTGATAAAAACGATAGTCGTTTAGTGAAGAGAGAGAAAATGGGTGAATCTTACAATGGACCGGAAAATGTGACATACGAAATGAAACAACAGCAGAACGAGACCAGGTACCGTTGCGATGTGTGCGATTTAACATTTGAGGGTATGGAATTTTTAATATTACATAAAAAGTTTCATGGAAACGACAAAGATGCGCCCATTCTGGAGCCAGAGCCCACTGTCTCCAAAGAGGGACCAAAGAAACGTCGCAAGTTTAAATGTGACCAGTGTGATGTGAAGGTCAACTCGCAGTATCATTTAGACATACACCGCAGTAAACATGAAGGCTCTACATCAAAGAAGTTTATCTGTGAAGTTTGCGATAGAAGTTTTGTTGCTGCTCAGTTCTTGAAAAGTCATATGCAAACTCACTCGTCAACTAGCACTATAAATTGTGAGATATGCAACAAAAGTTTTACCGGTCAAGCTTATCTCAAACTCCATATGCAGCTACATAATGATATCAAGAAATTTAAATGTTCAAAATGTGATGAAATGTTTCCTACAAAAAATTGCCTTAAAATACATATGAAGAAGCATACGAAAGTGAAAAATTTCAAATGTGATTACTGCCACAAGCAGTTTGTATCAAAAATCACAATGGAGAAACATAGACAAACTCACGAAGGGCAGCCAGTTGATTGTCATGTGAAGTGTACGCAATGCGATCGAACAATGCATTCGTCTTTATTGAGGACTCATCTCGCAAGAGCTCATCCACCAACAGTGGATGATGATGTGAAACGACCACACAAATGTTCCACTTGCGGCAAGAGTTTCATTGTCAAAATTAATTTGAATCTTCACATACGTGTTTGCCACCCAGATTTGGCTGAACCTGAAGACGAAGAGGAAGAAGTCATGACCGACAATTCTTAGCTTGTAATAACTAAGACATAATAACTGATACTTTCATGTATTATTAAATAATTATACTTTTTTATGCTAACCAACTATTTGTAATTATACAAACTCTATTTTTCAATAACTCTTTCTCAATTTCATTTTTGTATATAGTAACATTTATCCCTAGCAGTATACAAAACATTATTTCTGTTTATTCTTCAATATTAGTTACATTACAAATACAACTAGAAGTATTAATGATTTTTCACACATTTCAGTTACTGTATAGTTTAAGGTTTGTATAAAAACTGTTTTTTTAAACATGAAAATTATCTAAAAACCTTGATTACATTTTAGTTTATGCAAATGGGGTACCAGAGAAGGCAGACTGACGTCTTCCCTACCTATCATAGGTGGGGAAGAAGTCAAGTCAGTCATTGGCATAGTGATTAATTTATTATAAGTTAGGGTCAGCAACCTTTTGGCAAACAAGGGCCACTTAGTGGCAAAATAAAGTAAAGATGGGTTGCACTTATCCATAATTTTGATAATCAATCCCTATATCAATGTTGAATATATAAGAATGCAAAAAAAGAATTCTTTGAAAAAAGTGGAAAAGTAATTATAAACTTACAGGAGAATTTCAAAGAAGACAACTATACTTATTAAAAAATATTTAAGGTTCAAGAAATTGTAATAAATAAAATCTATATATGTAATAAAATTGTAGAGGTCAAATATTTGTACATAAAAATAACGCTAAAAACCGAGACAAGGGGATGTTAGAAGTGAAATAAAACAAATTTTTTGTTTCTTTGTTTGTAATCTCCGAAATTGTTGGACCGATTTAAATAAAATTTTGCATGGTGGTACCTTACATCCCTGGTAACATTTTAGATCACTTTTAATCACGGAAAATTATAGAGTACCCGACAGATAGTTAAAAAATGATGGTAACTTGTACAGCTTAGTACACAACCTTAAGTAATCATTTTGTGCTAAGACAAAGAGAGAACGACACGTCATTTATTAATTTTGGTCCAGTATTTCCATACATAATAAACATCAATACATACTAAACAGGAATAACAAATACCACGCGGACAAAGTAGCGGGCATCAGCTAGTAAGAAATAAAAGTTCTGTAAATGATAATCATATAAATTTAAATTTTAGATTTATGATACTTTCATTTACAAAACGGGCCACGGGCCGCAAGGAAGAGAGTCGTGGGCCGCTGTTTTTTTTTAATGGATGACAATGGAATGGCAACCCCACCCGCGCTATCGGTATACACCGGCGGGGCACCAGTGAAGGATGATAGATGAGGATGAAGCAGGTCAGTTAGCCCATCGTAACGAATTCAACAAGAATTGTTCACGATGGGTTCCAGGGGGAACCACGTGGAGGTCGACCTAATAGGGCATATTGCTAGCAATGGAGCTGTCAAACTCCATTGCTAACAATCCCTTTCCCCCGTGGGCCACTGTTTGCCGCTTGCTGCTATAGACCAACTGACCAGCGTCATAGAAATGTTTGCCATACCATGCTACTAGCAATAGGGCGGGGGGAGAAGGAATTGTTAGTAATAAAGATTTGTAATCCCATTGTTAGCAATATACCCTATTAGCTCGACCTCCACGCGGTTCCCCCTGGAAATCATCTTGATTGTTTTATAGTTGAATTCGTCACGATGGGCCGACTGACTTGCTTCATCATCATCTATCATCCTTCATTAGTACCCCGCTAGTGTATACCGATAGTGCAGGTGGGAAACCATTCCCTCTTTTATACACTTTTATACACCAGTGAGGGATAATAGGTGAGAATGAAAGGACAGGTCAGTTAGCCCATCGTGGTGGATACACCTGGAATTCAACACGATGGTTTCTAGAGGGGACTAAGTGGAGGTCGACCTGACAAGGTGTATTTCCAGCAATGGGACTGTTAGTCCGCATTACTAACAATCCCTTCCCCCCGAATAGCAATCACTAGGGGTATTACGAGCGTCATAATATACAAATAAATAAAAATTATTTTAATTGAAAGAAACTTAAACTTTTACCAGAGGGAGACTTTGTACAAAAGTGGTTTGCTTGGGTACCTCTGTCCCATTCGTGTTTCAACCATGAAACAGTTGTGTTTGCATGGCTGTGTTTCGGTTTGAAGGGTGGGATATGGCGTGAATTTACTGGGTACAGAGGAATAACACCTGAGTCCTCAGAAATGGCAACGCATGGGGAGTATCATGGGCGAATCAGTATATTCTGTTATGTCCATGGTACTGCTCATGTCTATAGGCGACTGTTACCACTTTCCATCAGGTGGGCCGTCAGCTTGTTTGCCATTCTAAGTCGTGTAAAAAAAAAACTTAGAAGTATTTTTGAATATTTAATTTAGAGGCTACCAACCTATTCAAACGTATGTAGTTTCAGAAAAATAAATAGTGACATGCTTCATTTTTCACACATCTACCGCCCTGTTCGATATATTTATAACAAATACAGTCTGTTTAGTATATTAATAGTGCTGATTTTGTATACAGGCGACGGCTAGCACTTTCCATCTGTTATACCTTAAGCTTGTATTCCATTACAAGTTGCATAAAAAGACCGATCAAGTACAAGTTGAATTCACACTCCGAGGGTTCCGTACATATAATAATAGTAATAAATAATCATTTTTATTCAAGTAATCTTAAGAATAAGCATTTTTGTATAGTCATTTCTTTTTTATAAACTACCGCCATACAAATTGATATTGCAATTTCAACTGAGAAGAACGGGCATGAAACACAGTTGTTGCTTTTTTCAATTATAAGTTACACAATTATATAAATATGATATAAAATCACCTATTTACGAAATATATACCTACTAGTTATTATTATTGATATTTTTTATTTGGGCCATAATTGAGGTTAAAAACTGAACCGCTTAACTAAGTTTGTATTTGGAGGTATTGGATTTCTCAAAAACGCTGACAATTAGAAACTGTTCTATTCTTAGATCTAACTAATAACAATACTAGCAGGTCAGTGTCAGGTCGACCTCCACGTGCTTCCCCCTGGAAACCATCGTGGTTAATTCTAATGGAATTCGTCACGATAGGCTAATTGACCTGCTTTCATTGTCACCTATCATCCGTTACTGGTGCCCCGCCAGCGTATGCTGATAGCGCAGGCGGGGTACCATTCCATTATCACCCATTAAAAAAATATACCCTATCAGGTCGACCTCCACGCGGTTCTCCCTGGAAACCATCGTGGTTAATTTTAGTGGAAATCATCACAATGGGCTAAGTGACCTGCTTTCATCGTCACCTACCATTCCTCAGTGGTGCCCTGCCATCGTATACCGATAGCACAATTGGGGTTACCATTCTATTATCAATTATAAACCTTAAAGTCGCAAAGAGAAAATAAAAAATTTCCATTGCATATATATGCACTGATAATATGTAAAGTTAAACTGTACCAAATTTCAAATTAATGGCATTAGTAGTTGTTAAAGTAAAACGTTGTAACAAACGGACGAAGTCGTACCATAAGAGTTCCTTTGTACTATTTTGTTACAGAACCCTAAAAACCACCATACATATTGATATAAACTTGAGTTTTAAAAACGTCTCAATAAAATAACATTAATTTAAAAGTTTATTTTTTCAAACAAATATCTCTTATCACAATAAATTATTCATTCTTTTTCTCCTGCACTTCTTGTTGAGACTCTTCTTTGGTATCTTCTTCATTCTTTTCCTCTGCATTAGCCTTCTTTTGCTGTTCTTCTGCCTCCCGAGCTTGCTATAAGATAATGTTTACGTATTATAAAAATTCTGTATCACGATATTGCACAACCGACTTTAATATGACAATTATATTTAGGGGAAAAGGGATTGTTAGTAACGGGGCCTAATAGCCCCATTGCTAGCAATATACCCTCTCAGATCGTCCTCCACGCGGTTCCCCCTGGAAACTATCGTGAACAATTCTTGTTGAGTTCGTCACGATGGGCGAACTGACCTGTTTCACCCTCACCTATCATCCTTCACTGGTGCCCCGCCAGTGTATACCGATAGCGCAGGTGGGGTTACCATTCCATCATTACCCATTAAAAAAATCGTCGTTAATAGACATAAACAGCATGTAATGATAACATATCTTGCAACTTTAATAAATACGTTGTTTATAATAATAGATATATAGGTGTATGTTTGTTACTCATTTACACAAAAACTACTAAACAGATTTGAATGAAACCCGGTACACGGATAGATAATTCATTCAGAATTACGGAATAAAGGTAGTAATTATAAGATAATCACCGCTGCTTTTTTCACATCTTCATCTTTTTTCTGTTGCAAATCCCTACTAATTTCCCTTATCAATTCAAGCTGTTTCGTATACGTTGCTGGGAAGGGGTCGAACACCTTCACCGGGTCCCTGTTGGCATCGTTCATGGCGTCCAGAAACTCGTCGTAACGACTTTTCAACACATCGTACCTCTCCTTGGGTACTTGTTTGTACACGTAGTTTCTTAATAAGGCCATGTTTCTAAAAACAATACATATTATTAGAAAACACTTAGTATTTATTTGCCTGCAATGCCGCTGGTGTTGTGGGTGATCATGGGCGGCGGTAGTCACTTACCATCAGGTGAGCCGCATGCTCGTTTGCCCCCTGTGTTGTAAAAAAAAACACACATACCTATATACATGTGTGTGTTATTTTTGGAAGAATACAAAAAAAAATACAATAAATACCTGACTAGTTTTATCGTTTAGGACCTTTTTAAAGGTTAATTAATATAATACAATATTTTTAGATATATAAATACGTGTGTAGAAAAACAAAAATTCAAGATGGTGTTTCACAGAAAATCGATTTCAATTATAACAAAACTAGTTATTTTTATTTAAGAAGGAGATTCTGAATTCGGTCGTATTTTTTTTATGTTTGTTACCTAATAACTCCGTCAGTTGTACACCGATTTGGAAATTTCTTTGTTATCCCAAAATTACATTTATATTATATTATTACATGAATATTTTACAATATTTACAAGAAATTTTTTGAGTATTTTTGAGGTTGAGTAATATTGAAATCAATCTAACTGGTGTTTCCACAATTGAAATCGGTTCTTTTATGTGGAACAGAATATATTTTTTTTAGATTGTTAGTTTTCAGAACACTAAAAGAAACCCGTTGAAATCTTTAATTTGTAACTCGCAAAATCTATCAATAAGATTATGTATGTAGCATAATTTTTATTTTATATTTTAATAATAACAGTAAAAAAAAGTTACTCATTATTTTATTCTTTATTCACCACATTATAATAAACATTAGGAACAAAAACTTTTTTATGCAACTTAGAATGGCGGCTGATGATAAGTGGTAACCGTCGCCTATAGACATAAACAGTACCATGGGCATAACGAAGTATACTGTGTCACCCATGATACGCTTTATGCGATATCATTCCTTAAGAATAGAGTGTTATGCCTCTGTATTTTCATGCGATGTCATTCCTTAGGAATAAAGTTATGCATCTGTACCCTGTATTTTCACTGCCGTATCCCACCCTTGACCGAAACACAGCCTTATAAAGCTATTTTAGGTATTAAAAAGTTTGCCTCTTTCTTTTGAGCTAAATTATCAGTTTGAAAGAAAGTGACAAAACACTGTAATAGTTAAAATAGGTTTGTAGAATATTTTAGTTTTAAAAATAAAAAAGTTAGAATTTGCCGCTGTATATTTTATGTTTTATAAAATTTAAATATACTTTACGTTACACTTTTTAATAATAAACACGTAATAATTTTAAAATTTCAAATAAGTTTTAACTAACCTATGATTTAAAAAAAATAAAGAATAATATGTATTACCTTTGGACAATTTGATCTCGATACAATTTAAAAATGACAATAAAGCAACGATGGGTGAATATTGTAACGCACATTGATTTTTTAATCTATGACTTTAATGAGACAGAGGTTGCCAACAGTTTTACCTAGCTCCAGGATAGATAGATACATACTCTTTATTGTTTACTCCAAAAGATTACAATAGTAAATTTATTATACATACAAACAAATACAAGAAATAATCACAATGAGAAAACAATGAGCGACACTATCGCTCAAAGCGATCTCTTCCAGGCAACCTTTGAATAGAGAGGAGTAATTATAATTCAAGATTAGTATAAGATCTTGTATAATCTTACAAATATAATAAAATTGTAACATGAAGATGTCTGTATGTCATGAAAACAGTACTTAGTGAGCCGGCATAGTGCGACCAACCGTTGAGAGTGGAACATTCTCTTTTCGGCTTATCGTATTCATTGACCATATTGTCTCTGTATTCGTTTAGAATGGTATAGTCTATTGGCGTGCTATAATAAAAAAAAAATACAGCCGACTCCAGAATCACGAGCGGTCCACCAGTACCACAGATGATATAATACTATACCAGTTTTCTCATACAGAGCGACTTTTGTACAAAATCTCTCTATGTTTACCATTACGGTGAATTAAATTAAAGAAATTGATTGTCTTAAAGAAATTAAAGAAAGAATCTAAGTGGTGATGAGATTTCTATCGTTGTTAGGATTTTTTTTACTAATACATATAGGTAAACAAGTTAATCACCCACCAGTAGGACAGTAACGGCCATATGTATATATATACATACTTATTGCATCACCGATGGCGCCCTTTATTCGTTTTATCGATGTATACTAACACCAGAGAGTTAATCAATATTTGTGAGGTTCATGGCCTGATTATTGATAATGAAATATTCTCTTCTAGTTTTATAGATATTTAAGAAAATCCATAAGTTATTAAAGAAGAAAGCACAAATCCATATTTATATATTATATTATATTTATATATATATATATATATATATATATATATATAATATCCATAAGTTATTAAAGAAGAAAGCAAAAGTCCATATGTTATCAACGTCTCATTCAATAAATATCATTAGATATATTACACTGCGCCATCTAGTTTCGAACTAAGCAAAGCCTGAATTGTAGATTTTAATTTTTTATTAAATACTGATATAATAAACATAACGATTAAATTGTTTATAACACCTGATGTCAATAGATCACGATAATTAATTAAACATTTATAAAAATATGCAAAATATTCAACTGATTATCATAAGAACAAACGTATTAAGATTTTAATTGCTAATGTGCTGAATTTCAAGTTTATTGTTACTATATTGTTTTTTTTTTTATTGTTTGCTTTGTATTGGTACTCAATTTTATACCTAATAAAAGGGTAAAGCTTATTTATGCTATAATATAATACAGAAAGCTCTCTATTTTACAGAGAAATAAATATCTATATAAATTAAGTTATGCAGTTGCGAACCTTCCGGCTTGCCTGATAAGTCGGATGATCATTGATTAGAAATATGAGTCATACTGCTGAGTTCACAAAATATTTGTTAATTCCCATGCCACTATTAGGCGGAGTAGAGATTTGTTAGAATATATGAGAGTCCAGATTCGAATCTCTGATCAGGCAAATACTTGCGTACAAATGTTCAAAATACTGCCATCTATTGCCCAATTGTAGATTTAAGTTTCGGATATTGCTACTAATTAACTAATGTCAAATTAACAATTTGTACAATAAATTAATATCAGTAAATTTTGTCAAATGCTTCGAATGTATTTTTTTAATTATAAATGTTGTTTGTTATTTAATAATGAACGTGAAACGGAACGCAAAGCCACCCCTAAGTCCAGAGCCAATGACTCACTCGTTTCACCCTCTTGCGGAACCACCCGAAGTTTTACGAACGCGGCCGATTCGCGCGCGTACTCGTCCCACTCAGAAAACATTAAAATTCTACATAGAATATTATGTAACACCTTTTACATATTTTTTTTACATAAAAAAAATAATAGAGAAATGTTAGTTTTACAATCCAGTGGTGTGATATACGAAATATTGTGTTAATAGTGAGTGAAAACTTACGAAATGTTGAAACGGCATATATTGATTTTCCACTGACAAGAAGATTTAACTTTGTATGCGGAATTGTGTTATTATTAGTGTAATGCATAAATAATTTACTAAGTGCGCTATTTTGTTGCGGTAACACATATAATTTCAAATTAATAAAAAATATAATTATCATTATGTAAAATAATCGATTTAATGCCTCTCCAAACTTAATTACTTATAGGTATTGAAAATTAAATATAAAACCAATTAAAAAAATAGGAAAACATACAAAAACATTTTTAAATTTAAGTAATTACGCAACGTATGTATTATACCTTACTTTCTGGCGCATATTTATCGTAATCAGTTAGAACTACCCTTAAAAATCTTAGGTCCAAGTGCCTCGACAATACCTCCGCATTAATGGCCATTGCCTGCTAACAAATATTTAAAAAAATATATAATCGTCTATAGATTATGAGTGTTCTATTTTCAAACGACCACAATCGAATCTTCAATAATTTAAATTATTTTCATTATTCAAAATGTCATTTGAAACATGCGGTCGCCATGTTATTTACTATTCGCCTTCAATTATATTATTATTATAGAGTTTTATTTAAATAAATGACAATTATATTATTGTAGTTTATTAATTTTGTCTGTGGCATATTTTTACAATTATTCTACAAATATTTTTTTTTGCGAATCGAGAGCGGGCTATTTGATCTAATTAATAATATGAGTACAATTTATTGCCGTTCACTATACCCATACCTATATAGCTTTTATGGCAAATAGTTAGTAAAATATAAAGAAAACTAAATAAGAATTTAATAAGTGCGCAATATTTAATATAATGTGTTGACTAAGTAGCTAGACTTTCTTTGAAAACGGGTTACGTAACTTAAAACTGTAAAATACTATTAAATTTATATTAATTTAGTTTAATAAAAGAATTAAACGAGTATATTTCATAATTAAATTAATATCAAATCAACATCAAAATAAACTTTATATATTTTGAAAGGATAAATAAAATTGGTTTATAAATTGCGAAGCTAATAACGTAAGACAAGTACACACACAAAAAAATAGTAGATTCGCATTATGTCTCATAAACCTATAGACAACAGTAAAATTAATTATTGAAAACTTTATGGAAATCACTCAAAAATTAACTAAAATATATAAAACTATATTTTACCCTGGAATCATAGTTATAAAAACCACTTTAGATAAATCAAGACCATCTCGGTTTTTTGGGAAGCGCTAAAAAAGTTTTGAACTGCTAACCCAACGACCGTGTTAGCGTGTAGTCAATACAATAATATAAGGGTCAATGACCCACTGTTCCTCATTTGAATATTCTAGAAACCCTAGTATTAAATTTTTCTTGTGAACATTTGAATAGATAGAGTAAATAATATCTACATTAATTAAGGTCTTAATCTATTCTTTTATCTTTTACTTTTGGTTTTTCTAGTCATTGCCATTATAACGACTCATTAATGTGCTGCTCTTTGGGGGGGGGGGGGGAAGGGATTGTTAGTAATGGAGACTGAGAATCCCATCGCTAGCTATTGCTATTATTATTTACCCAACCAGGTCGACCTCCTCGCGGTTCCCCCTGGAAACTATCATGGTTAATTCTTGATTGAATTCATCATGATGGGTTAACTGGCCTGTTTTAATTCTCATCTATCACCCTTCACTGGTGTTCCGCCGGCGTATCCCGTTAGCGCGGGCGGGGTTACCATACCATTTTCACCCATAAAAAAAAATGTGCTGCTCTCTTTTTCTCTCTCCTCTCTCTATTCTTCCCTCTAATTGGCATACTCTTTGCTTGCGTTTCATAATAAGCGAGGAAATCTTGGCCTCTTAAAACGTTATGAGAAAAGAATAGTGATTACAATCACCCGGAATTTTTAGACCATCGACCACATGGAAAATCATCGTGAATAACATTGTTTTCGACTAATATCATCATCATCTTCATATCAGCCGATAACTATCCTCTGCTGAACATAGTCCTTCCACATAAGGGGAGGTTTTGCCAATAGTTGCCACGCTAGTTGCACGCAGACGAGTTGGCAACCGAAATTAGGCTTTCGAGATGTTTTAAAAGGGTCACTGTTGTCCATCCTTCGACCATTACATTCAGAAAAAGGAAGGGATGGCCCATTCTATGTTGGGACTACACAGTATTAGTAAAATTACTAGGCACTAATCCATTAAAGTGTAGTGTAAATAAAACGCATTTGACAGATTTTTAACATAATTAAATGTAAGCACTCATTTCTTAGCGGTCCCCACTATCAATAAATAGTTTACGAGGCTGTAAAATTGACCTAATAAACTCAGAGTTTTCGTTCGTAAATCACTTTAACTCGTTCTTCATTGCGCTGCAATTCTTTATTACTAGTAACCAACTGAGCTTCAGTTTCGACAAGTTTCAAGGAAAAGTTTCGGCTCAGTTTGTTTTGGCAGTCGTGTAGAATCTTCCATTGAAGGCGAAAATGCAATTGTATTTTTTTTTTATATACAACTTAGAATGGCAAACAAACTGACGGCCCACCTGATGGAAAATGGTCACCGTCGCCTATAGACATGAGCAGTATCATGGACATAACAGAGTATACTGTTTCGCCCATGGTTACTATGGTTTAGTAACCGCAGTTGAGCTTTGGTGATGTTTTAAGAAGGGCGCCGCTTCCCATCCATTGATCATTAAATTTGCCTTAGTAGCCTTTTACGATACTCATGGGAAAGGAAAAAGTGAGCACTCAAGACTAAGGCTCCCGGATGGGCCTAAAACTAGTCGAGCTTTCTCGGCCAAATTACACATAACTGAAACTGGAAGTTATTGCATTTTATTTATTTATTTATTTAACGATAACCAACAAAGCATACATTTATATCCACTTTTTTTTATTGTTTGCGGTACAGTATTTAAGGCATCCCGTCCTCGCTATAGTATACGGGTGACGGAATGCCTATACAAGAGGGTACATGGTGGGCGCTGTTTAGACACAATATTTGAGGAGCATTAAGAAGGTACTACGGCCGGATACTGCAACAAAAGAGTATGTGGTCAGCCCCCGAACTGGCGACCTCTGCTGTCTAGCGGTCCCCAATTCGAGGGACGACCGATCACCAGCCGTAAGAGATGTCGCAGGGCGTACATGAAAACAGACCAAATTTATATCTACTTAAAATATATGATAATATGGTTACATTATAAAATGCTGCCTTAATTACATTAATATATATTGATCGTTTAAGAGGTCCGTTTTACTAAGAGTTATAAAGTCGCTATTTCTTAACATCTACGTATAATAACGGATTTAAAGAAGGCGGAATGTGACTACAATGCCCCTCTTGTCTTATGTTTTTTTTTTAATCAGTAATTATTCATTAATAGTAAGTAAATCATTGTTAACTGACCTTAGACCAGATATCGTCATAGTCGTAGAATACTGACGGATCTGACAAAGATTACATATAAAGATCCGTCAGTATTCTACGACTATGACGATATGTCATGCGCACTTCACTTACATTTTTATGGTATAATAAATTGTAGAATAATGAATAATTATTCTGTTAAATATATATAATTAAATAAAAAAAAAATAATGTACATTTATATGATTATATCTAATAAAGTAAAGATTTTTATCTGTGTTGCGGTATTCTCGATTTGCTAAAGAAAGTACTTGGCTACATGCCAATATTTCATAGCATTGGTGCTCTCTAAGTTATTCGATCTGTGCCGAGTAAATAAAGTTTAAGGATTAATTATGTCCCTAAGTATTAACTTTAAGCATATATTCATAGAAATGAATTTTCTAATAATAAAAATAAAAAAATAAATCCAATTCAACCAAAAATGAAGATTTATGTAGTAATAAAAATAAAAGATCTACTTTTTGAAATTACTAAGCTACGGTAACCGCTGACCATCTGGTGGGTCGTATGCTTGTTTGCCACCTCAGTAGTATAAAAAAAAATACTTAAAATATAAATCCTAATAAATTAATAAAATTCTATAAAACGTTTGAAAAAGTAATTCCATTAGTTTGAGATATAAACCAAACCATAAACCAAATTGTTTATTTTAGTAGACAAACATAGGGGCAGGGCATATGACGAGGCATTAAATCGATATTTCATATATTTTTTTTTGTTAATTATTTTCTCTATAAATATTATTTCAGTGAAGTGTAAATAGATAAAAAAAAAATTTGATAATTCAACGGCATGACCGTCCGTATTTCTCATGTCGACTTGCGGCATTCGAATTTTGAATAATAACAGCCAAAGATGAGTGCGCGTGAATCACAGACCGTTATATGACCAAAAGTGTTTCTGACCGAGCCCATTTCTGACCGAGATATGACCCGTTCTGTTTCTGACCGGATACCGTGAAGAAGATGGAGAGTGGGGGCACTTCGACGGCCACAGAGGCCTACCAGTATGTCGGCCCCTTCAGATTGGAAAAGACTCTCGGAAAGGGACAGACAGGTAATAAAAATTTATGACTTAGGGGTATAAATAGGATAGCCCTCTTCGAATCACAGGGGTGTAAAGCGTCCTCGTTACTTCGAGTGTTTGAGGTTACAGGTTCGATTTGTCAGATGATTATTTTGTTATTTACTTATTACGAGTTTATTTGTTTAGTTACTGTTTACAAAAAAAGATATACAAAAGGGGGGGGGGGGGGACTTAAAGATTTTTACATCGGAAAAATAACTTTTCTTTGTAGGAGGCTTTAAAGTCTGTTATATTGTATTATGTAATTGTAATGCAATTTTGTAAGTATTTAAGATACTAGCGACTCACCCTGGCTTCGCATGGGCACAAATAATATAATTATATCCTGGACATGGGTAAGTTGAAAATATAAGTATCTAATAGGTAGGCAAAATAATTAATTGAACCCAAAATGGTTACATTATTGTAGTTTTCGTGGGAATTTAATTTTTTTTTAATATGTTATTCGCTGATAATATAACTTTCAAATTTATGGCTGATTAGCATACTCAAATCATTTTTATTTTTGTAATTACATATGTATGTATATGTATTGTTATGTATAAATTAATATATTTAAGTATGTATTAGTAACTTAATTGTATATTTATATATTGTATGCATATCTATGTATTTGAAAAACGAACAGAGTTTCGTGCCTCCAGTCAAACTGTTTATAATTACTCTTCTCCATCCAAAGGTTGCCTGGAAGAGATCGCTCTTAGCGATAAGGCCGCCTATTGTTTTCTTAGTGTAATATTTTCTTGTAATTGCTTGTATTTATAATAAGTTTACTGTTGTGATCTTTTGGAGGAAACAATAAAGAGTATCTATCTATCTTTCTATAGGTGAAAGAATTTTTAAAATCAGATGGATAGTTTTTGAATTACTTCTTTACAGACCAAAAAAAAAACGCAAAAAAAAAAAAAGTTTTATCTTCAATATATATTTAATATATTCTGTATTGGTAAAAAAATAAATAAAACCTCTCGCCAATTTGGAAAGTTTGCCCAAAATTGTTTTTAATTACAAAATAATCAATAAAAACTACAAGTCTCGATTCTAATGTTATCTGGTATATCGTGTCTAATTTTGTTTAGTTAACAACCTGTGTTTTTGGAGAAGACCAAACAGTTTATTTGGGAACACAATCCTTGTACATAGACCAGAGAATTTATAAAAGTTTATGTTCCCAAATTGTGCTGACTAGAAATCGAAACTGGGACATGATTACTCAAAAACTACCCACTGCGTCATAGAGATCACCAAATATGTTAACTGGGATCACGATCTGTCGTGACAAATTACGTTTGCCGAAAGCTAAATCCGTGATTAATGTTACAGAACCTTTAGTTCTTGAGCCACGTTACTGATATTTGCTTTAAGGCTAAAGAAAATAATGTTCGCTCGATATTTGTTACTATGTGATTTCTTTTGTCCGTTTTTATTTAGTTCAATTCTTTTTACGTCTCTGACCAATGATCAACGTACTTTCTGTATTCCACCATAAATTGTAAATGCCTGAACAGATGTGAATGTTTATAGATTCTTTACATTATCTCAAAATTGTATTCGCTATAACTATTTTGGAAAAAACTTATAATACGGCGACTATGTAACACTATTTTAAATTATGAAAAGAAATATTATTATATACTTTACTGAACTAGATGTTATCTTGCGGAAGTCCATATCACTGGTTCGGCATCATCATTATTTCAGCCCTTAACCGTTCTCTGCTGACATAATCCTCCTCCGGGGGGCAGGGGGGGGGGCGATTGCTAGTAGTTGTCACGTTTGGCAGGCAGATTGGCAACTGCAGTTAGGGTTTAGAGATATTTTAATAGGGACGCTGCTGCCCATCTCTCGCTCTCCCTTAGTCGCCTCTTACGACACCCACACAAACGGAAGGGGTGGCCTATTCTATGCCAGGACTACAGGTCCAATAGAAATAATAATAGTCAAATAAATTATACAAAGAAATAATCCAAAAAGATAATTAAAAATACATTTAGAAAGATATTGATCAAATAGACCCATAGGCGTAATTAAAAGGGGGGAGGAGGGTGGGTGATACTCCGTGAATTACTCCAACTTGATGCAATGTAAATTTAGCAAGACAAACGTACTTATCAAGTGCAAACGGCACTTGGTACGACCACAATCTATTAAATGTACCCTTGTACATATTAAACAATGTTTTACTTAAATAAGAATTTATTCGATTGTAATAAATTTGATGGAAATCAAGTAATCAAGCTATCCTCAACAAATAGAATCGATGGGATCTGATTATTGCAGCTAGAAAGTCTAATCTGGGTTCAATTTGTATTTTGTATGTACAAATTTTACATTTAATATGACTACAGTCGAATGAAAACTAGACGATTATATGGGAAAATACTTGGTTTTGTCTATCTACACTGCAAGGGACTTAGCGTGAAGATATCATAATATTATCGACAGTGATTCCATTGTTTTGGATGAAGGCACCATGTTTTATACAAATTGATAAGGTCACCATCATTTTTATGGAAAACTTTACCATCGTTTAGTATAGACATGGGTATATCCCGCCAACGTATACCAATAGTGTAGACGGGACTATCATTCCATTTTCATAACACTTAAGATAATTTTTAAAGATTTTGTCCTAAAAAAAATCTTGATTCGACATAACAAAAGAAGTTATTTTGATTTTTAAACTAAATTACTGAATTGATTTTGGTAAAATTTCTATGGAACCAATCTGTAAGTATATCCTTTCAGATAAAACAAAGAATTTTATAAGTCCGCTTAGAACTGACGGTGTTGTAAGATCACATCACTAGTATATATGGGACGTCACTAGAGGTGGACACGGATTGGTTGAATAATAGTAGTGTGTAATAATGGCTGTCTGATTAATGAATAAAGGATCTGCAATAATTAATAAAAATATTAAATGACTATAAAAAGACGGAGCTATGAGGTAACAAAAAATACTGAATTGAGACCTAACTTCTTTTTGAAGTCAGTTGGAAAATACAGATGTGCAAATTTTTTTTTAAATGAACAATAAAAAACTTTTTTTTTTAATATTTGTTTTATTTTTCATTAATTTAGACTAGTTTTGTATCAGACTTCTATACCTTTGTACACGTCTCTTTCGGTCAGATTCTTGCTCCAATGCCTGTAGTAGAGAATTAGTCAGGAATGGATCTAAAAATAAAAGGAAAAAGCTTTTTTTATGTACAGTCAAGCGGTAATCCTGAATTGCTTACTCTCTTGCTCGTACTCATAAAAACTAATACCTTCAACAAATCTATTTTAACTTTTACACAGTTTTGTAACTTTCTTTCAAATAGGAAATTTAGAGTAAAGGAAAGAGACTAAAACAGGTTTATGAGAGACTTGAGGTTTTCATGAATCCTTTATTATTTAGGTTAGTCAAGAGACTATACTAATAATGTCTGATGATATATCATCAGACATTATTCCTGAAGACCAATCATTCGATTGGTCTTCAGGTTCATAATCGATACTTCATAATCGAGATTAATAGATTACAGTAGAAGTATTACTAATATGAAAGATCGTGGAACTTCAATCAATAATAATAGTAGACAATTTTTAAATGTTGATAGACGTACACATACTAATGGTAGCGGAATTAAACAAAATAATTCTAACCAACAAACCGGTGATATGGACTTTTAAAAAATAATATCTAATTCAGTAAAATATTTATATTACATTGTGAGCCTGTGATGCCAATCTTAATATTGTCGCACATCAAAACGCCATTTCTAAGGCCTGAGGTATTTATTTATTTATATCTATTTATAAGCATGCCACGTGGTACAAATTAGTTATTTTTTTGTACAAATTAGAATGGCAAACAAGCTAACGGCCCGCCTGATGGAAAGTGGTAACCGTCGCCTATAAACATGAGCAGTACCATGGACATAACAGAGTATACTGTTTCGCCCATGATACCCCTCATGCGTTGCCATTCCTGAGGACTCAGATGTTATTCCTCTATAACCAGTAAATTCACGCCATATCCCACCCTTCAAACCGAAACACAGCCATGCAAACCCAACTGCTTCACGGTTGAAACACGAATGGGACAGAGGCACCCAAGCAATTGACTTTTGTACAAAGTCTCCCTCTGGTAAATATAAGTACTTATTATTATAAGTAAGCACATAAGACACGTGACACTCCGTAGGGGGCATCGCAATTTATATCACCGCGCTATTATACTTCCGTACTCAATAATTTTATTGCTATATCTTTTCAAACTAAAGGGAGACTTTAACAAATCGTCTGCTTGGGTACCTTTTTTCACTCGTGTTACTGTCACAAAGTTGCTATACTTACGGTATTACGGTTTGAAAAATAGGATATGATGATGAAATTAAAGGGCACGGAGGCATAACACAGTAGTCCCTGAAATAGCAACGCACGAGGGGTACCATGGTAGTCTGAGTGTATTCTGTTATATCCATAGTGATGTAGGGAACGGTTATCACTTTCCATGAGATGGACAGACAGCTTGTTTGCCATTCTAAGTATCACAAAAATCATAAAAACGTGAACCAGCCAAACAAACAAGTCTGTCAGCAAAAACACAAGTCTGAATGAGGTATACAATCTATATCTAGTTTTGAGGTCTTTTTTAATGCCTGATATTGGAATGATAACCACGTCTACAGTATCGGTATCTTATATTCGCATATGGGGTCAGCTAAACCGTTGCACGTCGGCCCATCGGGATCTTTTGTACTTCCCCCTGCCTTATACCATAATTTCGTAGATCCTATGTGTTACCTTAACGATATACCACGGTTTAAGATATCTGAAGTCCCTTGGCTCTGGATAAGCCGTTCCTAGTAGACTCATGCGCATGCTCGCTATCGAAACACAGTTGCACATCAAGTGTTCCATGGATTCCGATTTCTCCCCGCACAGTCTGCACAGTGTGACCGAAGATAGACCCATCTTGTGTAGTATATGCCTTATTGGCATATATCCAATTAAGGCACCCATAATGAGTCTTGCCTGTTGTCTACCACCGCTGTAGATGAGTTTATCCCATCCTTCAACATTGTCATTTAAATTTACAGTATCAGTATACACTGGCAGGCACTAGTGAGAGATGATAGGTGAGGATGAAACAGGTCAGTGACAATTCATAAAGAATTAATCGAGATAGTTTCCAGGGGGAACGTCGTGAAGTTTGACCTAATAGGATTAATTACTAGCAATGGAGCTGTTAGATCCCCATTACTAACAATAATCCCCCCCCCCCCCCCCAGTTTTGGGGACTAAGATATTACTTACTGATATTAATAGTTTGCTCGAAGTTACTAATATCCTTGTTTAAAGTAGTTAAGGATACTCCCGGTGGGACAGCTATGATAGCAGCCGAATGATCCATAGTGGGAACGCATTCGGATCCTGTCATCAGTGATGCGAGAATGATGCTGTAAAAGAAAAAAAGAAATACTAATCAATATAACGTCGTCCATTTGGTCCTAGAATAGAATTGGCCACACCTTTCCCGTGGTTGTCTTAAGAGGCGATTAAGGGAGGGCGAAGGATGGGCAGCAGCGTCCCTCTTAAAACATCTCCAAAGCCTAACTGCGGTTGCCAATCCACCGACCAAACGTGACTGGCAAACTACTGGCAAAATTAACCGTATTCAAATCGGTTTAGCTGTTTCTGAGATTAGCGTGCACAAACGTATAGACAAACAGACCAAAATTGTAAAAAAACATTGTTTTAGGTTCTATTGCATTCGTAAAGCCCCGCTATAATAGTTTTCCTTATATATCTTCCATGTACAGACAGCGACCAGCTACAATTTTACTATATGTATTGATAATATATATTCTTTTAGGTCATACAGCTATGCGAAGCCAATTTTGTAAAAGAAACTTACCTAAAAACAATAGCTAGCATATCTACACGTGTTCAGCAATTAATAAAATGCTAGGTACATTTAATAGAACAACAGTCTTCAAGTCGCTGGAACTGAAGACTGTAAACTTAGGTCTTTGTGCCGCAGAGATGTGTTTTATTGCCAATATTTGTATTAATACACGAGCTGTTATAACCGCCTTCTCAACAGACTCCAAAAACAAGAAGGTTTCTCAATTGATATCTATTTTTTTTTTTTTATATACATATATCACGCGATGTTTTCTTCAATTTTGTCTGTCATCAATAAATAATTTATAAGTTTTTTTCCAAAAACCATTTACAATTGTAATAAAATTTGTATGAGATTGACACGGAAGTGAATTCTTTTAATAAAAATAATAATAATATAGATTCGAAATAGACGAAGATATCGCTTAACGCAAATAGATCTACTTAGTAAAAATATACCCTCAAATTAGGAACCTTTTAACAATTTGGAACTCTGTTCAAAATTACACCAATTATATACATACATATCTGTCACGACTGTCTCCCATTATTATGGAAGTTTAAGAAAAATCCAAATAGCAAAGTTTTATTGTGTGTATATATATATATATATATATATATATATATATATATATATATATATATTGGTAATTTTTATGGTTCCAATAAATACATTTCATTTCATTTAAAAACTAGCGATTTATTACTAGCGATTCACCTCGGCCTCGCACAGGTAGATAGAATTTTCGAAAATAATTAATTCAATAAAGGTATTAACGCTTTTAGCTTTTAGTGATAAGGGCGCCTATTGTTTTCTCGGTTTAATCTTTTCTTGAAATTGTTTGTAACCATAAATAAATTTACTACTGTAACCCTTTGGAGGAAACAATAAAGAGTACCTATCTATAGTCTATGTTACTCGCTGATAACGTATCTTTCGACAGTTGAAAGATTTTTTAAAATCGGTTGAGTAGTTTTGTAAATGTATCCATTACAAAAGAACTAGAATTAGTTTAAAAAAAAAGATGTAATAAAGATTAAATAGATTCTATGCTTTTTCTTTAAATCAAAATATCTACATAAATTAAAATTACTGTGAATTATCAAATTCAAATGTCTTTTGCATTCAATTTTATATCTATTTATTTTGTACGGTAAATCTGAAACCGGTTGAATTAGGAAATAGGCTGTTCAGAATTTTCTTTATGTGTTTTACTGGCATGGATTCGGAGATATGTCTTTCCTTTAAAGAAACATGGCTGGGGGCATATCGGGCATTGTATACCATTATCCTTTGATGCAGTAGATCCTGAAGGCTGTAATGAAACATTATTGGATGGCACGTTCGTAACTTCTTTATCGGCATTATCCATAAACAAAAGTTAAATACAAATGGAATGTAAAATACGTATCAATTATTTTATAAAATCAAACCATTACTGTATTAAACATTTTAATATGGACGAGGTATTAACAGCACCTATAATATCATTGCAAACGGAAAGCTGAAATTTAACACTCTACTTTCACAAGAATTGCGATTATATCTGCGCAGCTGTATAACAGTAGAAACGTATTCATTCATGTACCGAGAATAATCATCACAGAACTCAACATGTATAAAAAATTGCTCAAATGAATAGAATTTTATATGTTTCCAGACGGTAAATTCAAATTTTAAATATAAAGTTGGTAAAAACTTCTTTTTTTTTTTTATTTAAGAGTTTCCTCTTGTCGGTGCAACTAATATATTCTCTTTCAGCCAGCTCTATTCCACGCCATATCTTTAACCTCTCTATACGACATGATACCTGATGTTTCCTTTATCTGTCCCATGTACTTACTTCTCAGTCTTCCCCTTAGAAGGAAAAATAGAGGACAATTTTTATTTTATTTTACTTTGAAAGGGAAACATACAATATCTAAGACATATAAAATACTATACACAACCAGAACATAAATCAATAAAGTTTCCACTATAAACTAAACCAAATAATCGAGAGCAGATGATTATTTATATTATATATTTCTATTATGTTTTTAAAAATTTTTCAATTTTTATGAATAAGAGGAAGTAACATAATTGGTAAAGAGTGATGGGTACCACGAGAGACACAGTGTTGTGTTGCCATATGTTATTCATGAGTATATGTGGACGTTAATTAGATCACGACTTCCCATCAGGTGGTCCGTCACTCTGTTTACCCTTCCTAGTGGTTGGTAAACAGACTGACACAAACGCTTCTATTAACGCCTCGTTTTTTAGGGAAGGGTTTATTATAAACGCTGGCTAAGTACGTATACTTCTATCTACCTCTATTTATCCATTTAAGAGCTGCGCTCCTCTCTATCTCGCTATCACCTCTTGATACGACACGACACCAACTCCTTCCTTGATCTGCCTGATGTAACTATACTAAACGTATTATTACATGAGTTTATTTTTATGCTGCTGTAATAGTGAAAATTTATTCTATGTTTACACCAAATCGCTTACAGACTAGCCAGAGAGAATCGAATGTCAGACCAGAGGGAGACTTTGTACAAAAGACGTTTGCTTGGATACCTCTGTCCTATTCGTGTTTCAACCGCGAAGCAGTTGTACTTGCGTGGCCGTGTTTAGGTTTGAAGGGTGGGATATGGCAGTAAATTTACAGGATACAAAAGCATAACACCTGAGTTCTCAGGAATGGCAACGCATGGAGGTATCATGAGCGAAAAGTATACTCTATTGTCCATGGTACTGCTCATGTCTATACTCGTAGGCGACAGTTACCACTTTGCATCAGGTGGGCCCTCTGTTTGGTTGCCATTCTATATTACTTAAAAATGTCAAAGGTCTCATCTCTTATGTTCTGCATTTTCATAACTCGTCTCTTTCACGCACGCTGGTTTCGGAGACTCTAGACTCGTATTTCGGATAGAACACGATCTGTCTGGTCATAATAGTTATTCTAGGTCTCCCGATGCCCTCATCTAGGGGGAAGGGATTGTTATATATTGTAATGCGGACTACCAGTCCATTTGTTAACAAATATACCTCATCAGGTCCACCTCCCCATGGTCCCACTGGAAACCATCGTGCTGAATTCCTGGTGTATTCATCCCGATGGGCATGGGGGAAAGGGATTGTTAGTAATGGAGACTGAGAATCTCATTGCTAGCAATATACTCAACCAGGTCGACCTCCTCGCGGTTCTCCCTGGAAACTATCATGGTTAATTCCTGATGAATTCATCATGATGGGCTAACTGGCCTGTTTTCATTCTCATCTGTCACCCTTCACTGGTACTCCGCCAGCAAACCCCGTTAGCGCAGGCGGGGTTACCAAACCATTTTCACCCATAAAAAAAATCCCGATGGGCTGACTGATACCCTTTCATTCTCACCTATCACCTCTCACTGGTGCCCCGCCAGTGTATACCAATAGCGCAGGCGGGATTACCATTCTATTATCATCAATTAAAAAAAAATTGCCTAATGTACCTAACGATGGTCGTGGGTTTGAATTTCACATAATACAAACATTTGTATTCATAAGTATGTTCCTTTGTATTGGTTTGTAAAGTTGTTTAGTTTCCACAATATCAACTCTGCTTATTTTGGTACTAGTTTTTTTTTAATGCATGATAATGGAATGGTAACCCTACCCGCGCTATCGCTATACACCGGCGGGGCACCAGTGAAGGATGATAGGTGAGTATGAAGAAGGTCAGTTAGCCCATTGTGACGAATTTAACAAGAATTGTTCACGATGGTTTTCAGGGGGAACCACGTGGAGGTCGACCTAATAAGGCATATTGCTAGCAATGGGGCTGTCAAACTCCATTGCTAACAATCCCTTTCCCCCTTTTTGGTACTAGTTGATGTGTATTTATTTAAAAAATCTAATATTGGAAGAGAAAACTAAAAATAACTTTTTTCGTTCCAGGTCTAGTGAAGCTGGGTGTCCACTGCGTGACGGGAAAGAAGGTGGCTATAAAAATAATAAATAGAGAAAAACTTAGTGAATCTGTTCTAATGAAGGTAAAAATTACTTTTTATAATTATACTATTTTAAATTTAGCTGACTTATAGATGGCGCTACTTGTTGGATTTATGTTAAGATAATGTTTATAACTAAGAGTCCCGTAAAAAATTTAAACGTATGAAATTCGTTATTGAATAAATAATTATTAAATAAATAAATTAAAAAGATATCATCGTGTTTAATGAAAAATATTTTAAATTTTGACTGCTATAGTCGCCATCTATTAACGCCACACAACACTTATTTATTAGATCGATTCCTCTATTTGATAGTAGATGTCAGTGTTCAGCAGAGAATAAAACTAATCAATTTGCTTCCACAGGTCGAAAGAGAAATAGCCATTATGAAATTGATAGAACACCCACACGTATTAGGCTTGTCTGATGTATATGAAAATAAGAAATACTTGTAAGTAAACCAATTTATATATAAATTTCTTTTTTATTAATAATTAAAATGGCAAACAAGCACCGCCCATCTGATGGAAAGTGGTAACCGTCGCCTATAGACCTTAACAGCACTATGAATTTAAAAAGTAATATTGTATAAATTCAACATTATGTACAAAACAAGCACAGATGACAATACTAGGCCTAATAACTAATAAAAAATATATATATAAATAGTTCACCTATACCTACTTTGGTGAATGTCAGAACCTAGAGATATTGGATTCCTTTATAGGAGGCACCGTATATTATATTTTTCACGGGATGAGGGGCATCGATGAACGATGAGATCTTTTGTTAACGAATTACCTTTAAAATAGTTGAATTTAGACAGTTTAATTCAATATTTATTAGTAAACTTTATATCTTAAGTAACTTCACTTACTACAGAATAAATATGGGACTAACAGAGGGAGAGAATCCGTAATAGATTGCAAAAAGAATCATTCAAAACTGGTTAAGAATTGCCTACCTAATTGCGTATTATAGAATAAAAAATATGGACGCATTAAGTTTTTACATTTTTTTTTTGAAAGCCGCTATAATTTTTTTATTATATTTCAGATACCTAGTACTAGAGCATGTGAGTGGTGGTGAACTATTCGACTACTTAGTGAAGAAAGGCCGACTAACGCCAAAGGAGGCGCGCAGGTTCTTTAGGCAAATAATTTCAGCGCTTGATTTCTGTCACAGTCATTCCATATGGTGAGGTTTTTTCAAATTTACTCATAATATCTCGATCTATAACTTAATCAAACACGCTAAGGAAAAATAAATGTTAGTAACGGAGACTCCAGTCCCCGTAATAGCCTGTCGTGTTAAAAATATCCAGTCAGATCGACCTCCACTAAATTCTCTATGGAAATGATCGTACTTCATTTGTCACAATGGACCAAGTGACCTACATCTATTCTCGCTTATTATCCCTTACTAGTATCCCGCCAGCCAGTTATTCCATTATCATTCATTAAAAAAAAATCGAACGTGCTTTGAACTGCCCCTATTTTTTTTTTTGATGGGTGAAAATGGTATGGTAACCCCGCCTGCGCTAACGGGATACGCTGGCAGAGCACCAGTGAAGGGTGATAGATGAGAATAAAAACAGGCCAGTTAGCCCATCATGATGAATTCATCAGGAATTAACCATGATAGTTTATAGGGAGAACCGCGAGGAAGTCGATCTGATTGGGTATATTGCTAGCAATGAGATTCTCAGTCTCCATTACTAAGAACCCCTTTCCCCCCTAGGAACTGTCCCTATTATACAAGTATTCAATTAAATTACATAAAAAAATCCTTTGGCAGTATATTGAACACTACATACAAACACAGATTAGATAAAAACTTCAAACTAAAACAACATTCTTTTGTAACGAACGTTAAAACAATATCTAGAAATAGTCCACCCCTTAGATCATACGTAATACTAAATCTATGGCCTACCCAATATTTATAGTTTATACCAGATTTTGCCTGCGACTTCGTACGTGTGTATTATGAAAGTAGATATTAAAACATTTATGTTTTACCGAAACAAACATACATAAAGAAAGACAGGAATACTTTTAAAAAAATCTTATTAGGACTCCTAATCCCTACGGCCAAATATCATTTACTCACAACTTTATTAATAAGAGGCATTAGGGTCGATTCTGAAGCCATTTCTTTAGCGACTAAGGGAACGTAATGGCCGAGGGATGGGTAACAGCGTCACTTGTAAAACAACACCAAAGCCTAACAGCGGTTGTCAACCCGCCTGCTAAGCGTGGCAACTACTGACAAAATGCCCAAAGGGGAGGCCTATGTTCAGCAGTGGATTGTTAACGACTGATATCATCACCATTTCTATTAACCTAATATTTTAATTTGATAGTTTAACGTAATTGTTGTTTTATACACCAATATGAACTAAATTTATAATAATTTTGACTTACATCTATAAGAAATTTAATTCACATAGGCCCTTACTAAGTTCTTAAAAAGTATTTCGCTGTGATATCAAAATGTAAATTTTAAAGATAAGTTTAAAAAAAATGCGCCTCAGATGATTCTTTACATAATAATAGAGTAATATTTTTTTAACCAATATACACTAGTGGGGCACCAGTGAGGGATGATATGTGAGAATAAAAAAGGCAGGTTAGTTAGTCCACCGTGATAAAAATTCAACAATAAATCAATCAGGATGGTTTCCAGAGAAAACCGCGTGGAGGTCAATCTAATAGGACGTATTGCTAGCAATGGGGTTGTTAAGCCCAATTGCTAAGAATCCCTTCTCCCCATAAAAATAGAGTCGACACCTTGTTGTTAAATGTTCAAGTTTTACTTCCAGCCATCGCGACTTAAAGCCGGAGAATCTTCTACTGGATGAACGGAATAACATAAAAATTGCGGACTTCGGCATGGCTTCCCTCCAACCGGCTGGTTCTCTTCTCGAAACGTCCTGCGGCAGCCCACATTACGCCTGCCCCGAAGTGATACGGGTGAGTTTCCAATATAAACCCCAGAGAACAAGAGTATAAAGTCAAAACCGCCAATAGTTGGACACATACCACTGTGTTAACCATTCGGAACCCAAACTGCCGAACGGTTAACACTAAACTCCAAGCAACAATCTAATATTTTTTTTTATATAACTTAGAATGGCAAATAAGCTGACGGCCCACCTGATGGAATGTGGTAACCGTCGCCTATAGACATGAGCAGTACCATGGACATAACAGAGTATACTGTTTCGCCCATGATACTCCCCATGCGTTGTCATTCCTTAGGATTCAGGTGTTATTCCTCTGTACCCAGTAAATTCACGCCATATCCCACCCTTCAAACCGAAACACAGCCATACAAACACAGCTGCTTCACGGTTGAAACACGAATGGGACAGAGGTACCCAAGCAATCGACTTTTGTACAAAGTCTCCCTCTGGTAATTAGCCTGAAGATGCCTCGTTTAGAGGTGAAACAAGTGTCGCAAAACGTGCGAAACAAAATACGTAAGGGATTGATAGCTAATAGAAAGGTTATGGAAATTCTGGTAGTAATAGTCATTCTTTGAGTGTTGACAGTCGCACACATACAAATGGTAGCGGAATTAAACAAAATAATTCTAATTAACAAACCAGTGATATGGACTTCCGCAAGATAACACCTAGTTCAGTAAAATATACATACATATTACAAATCTAATAATCATCGTTACATAAGACAAGCAAGATAAATATAGTATTAGATAAACAATAAATATAATATTCTATACAATGTATAACAATTATATATGTATATAGAACGAGGTATGTTTAAAAAATATTTGCCTTCGTATCCGGCGTGCTTGCAAGACGGTTTATGAAAGAGGTGGGAGTAAGAGATGTAAGAATAATAATGATAAGGAGTTAGACACTTGGTTCTCTCTACCTACCAGACAAGGGCCTAAGCGTGAAGATACCATATAAGAATACCGATTTTTGGTGCTGATCTTCCTTAGAAAAAAAAAATAAAAATAAAAAATGGAATATCATTTATACAAAATGGAACGTTAAGTTTTTTTTTATACAACTTAGAATGGCAAACAAGCTGACAGCCCACCTGATGGAAAGTGGTAACCGTCGCCTATAAACATGAGCATAACAAAGTATACTGTTTCGCCCATGATACACCCCATGTGTTGCCATTCCTGAGGACTCAGGTGTTATTTCTCTGTACCCAGTAAATTCACGCCATATCCCACCCTTCAAACCGAAACACAGCCATGCAAACACAACTGCTTCACGGTTGAAACACGAATGGGACAGAGGTACCCAAGCAATCGACTTTTGTACAAAGTCTCCCTCTGGTGGGATATGGCGTGAATTTACTGGGTACAGAGGACTAACACCTAAGTCCTCAGGAATGGCAACACATGGGGGGTATCATGGATGAAACAGTATACTCTTATGTCCATGGTACTGCTCATGTTTATAGGCGACGGTTATCACTTTCCATCAGGTAGACCGTCAGCTTGTTTGCCATTCTAAGTTGTATAAAAAAAAAAAATTATCTACAAATACCAATACAATAAAAATATTTTTAAGACATTTAATTATACAACAATACAAGAACTTTACAATTATGATTGAATAATAGACACTTTAAAGGCATAATGCCCAGAAACTTATAAATTAAGCAATCAAAGGTACATAATTTGTACATTATACTCAAAAAGAAATTGATATTATGTGTATTAATGTGTTACAATTAGTCAAAAAATTAAATTAAATTAATCGTCATCTAACATTATTATTCTTTGCTTTTTACTTGCATTGGATGGTGTCTGTGGGGGAGAATGAGTTGTATCTCTTTTCTTGCTGGAGTGCCGAGCACAGGAAGGCCCAGAAGTACGGTTCGACTGGTTTGATTCTCTTGTAGGAGAAAACTGTTTAAGCATCTCAACATCATTGAATATAACTTGAGCTCCACCACCACAAGTGGGTACAACATCACCTTTATAAAGTTTAGTCTCTAGCTCTCCATCTGTATCCTGCTCTTGTGATATCAAACAATACTTGGAAGTCTTCGAATTAGCAATGTCCTTAACACTTTTAAGTTTGTTAACAATTTTGCTGTTGACTATACTTGGCTTCATGACTGTACCCATTGGAACTATCTTGTTAGGAGCATGCTCCACCCATCCTCGACCATCTGCGGACAAGGATCGTCTATGTCTGGGGTTCGCAACTGCGATACCGCGACGTGACGAAGCTGGAGTGTCTCTAGTCTGAGCTGCACTGAATGGTGTTAACAAGTGAGCAGGAAGTGCTCTCGGCGTTGACCCAGGTGTAAAGTCTCGGGTGGTCTGAGCTGCCACATCGCCTGTACTCTTTGGATAATCAACATTATCTCCGCGATCACCTTTTAGAGCTTGGTCTATGACCATCAGTATCTTCTCCTGCTCCTTCTTAGCATTTTTCAATCGCTCATTCTCAGAATGGATCTCTCTAGCTTTTTCATGTTCGGCAGCAATTTTATTGTTATATTTTCGTTCCAGAATCTTCTTTTGCTTTTCTTTTTCTAATTTATTCTGGTTTAATAGCAGATCTTTTTCTTGTAACTCTCTTTTCAATTGTGATGTGTATTCAGTAATCTCAGTTAACTTTCTTTGATTAGTTAATGATGCATTTTCAGTAGCTGTAAGACGGTCCTCCAAAGCTCTTATCCTTTGTTCTGCAGCATTCAACTGCCCACGTAAAGATAGGTTTTCACTTCTTAATTCTAATGTTTCTTTTTCTAATTCCAATAATGAAGACCTAAACCTTTCATCTTTTAAAGCCTTACTTCTTTTTAATGCTTCTCTCCTATTAATTCTCATTTCTAAATGAGCCATTAATTCCTTAGTAATATGAGCAGCTTGTGCACTCTTCAGTTCTAAATTGGGGAAATCTGGCCCCAGGCTGTAAACCAGTCCTAAATCTAATTCTAGATCCCTTGCTTCAGGTCTAGCCAAATTTTCCTTTGCTGTTGTAAATAATCTATTAGCTTTACGTCTACCAGACATAAGACCAATAGTTGCACCAATGTCTGTAACTTGTGCCTTAGTGACTTCTACTTCAGCAGCTAATTCAGCAAACCTCATAACCTGAAGTGTTTCATCGTAATCTTCAGCTCTTGGATTAGCACAAACAATCATACGTACTTGACCTTCGCCTTCAAAGAAATTTTTAAACAGATGAGTGATCTTTGACTCTCTGTATGGAACCATATTATTAGCACCACTGATCTGATTTTCTCTTAAAAGTTCAAGACATGTTCTGAGTGTCATTAAAGACTTGTTTATATTACCTGCTTCCCTTAATCTCTGTCCAGTATTCTTAGTTCTATTTGTTCTTTCACTGCCAGCTAAATCAACCAAACTTAGTTGGCTAACTGAAAGAAATTTCTTATTCTGTATCACAGCTTCACCTTCCGCATCTACTGGTGCCTGCACCAGTCTAATTGTGAACACTGAATGGCTTCTACTTGATTCGGCATTTAAATTTGTGTGTGCCATTCTTTTTCGTTTCAAACCAAGATAGAAAGCATCAAACGCTTCATCAGCAGACTTTATCTCTATCTCAGTCACACCATGTACATACATGTTATGAGACCCATCTTCTCGAATTATTTTCACAGGTAAATTTTTAGTTATCGGTGGACCATCTTCCAATAAATCAAAGACACTATTGTTGTAGATTTCAACATATGTTACGAAAACAGCATATTGATTATCTTCATTGAGCCCTTCAATTTTTGTGATATCTGTGGATGACATAGCCAAATCAGGATTTGAATTATTTTTTCTTCCACTTTTAAATTTGTGCAACTCCTGTTGTCTTTCCAACATGGCTTCAGCCTCGGTTTGAATATCGAACATATTCATTTTATCTGGTTTAAACACGTATTTGTGTGCTTGATAGTCGTTAATCGTCTTAAAAATTATGTTTAAACACCGTGGCAATATGCCACAGTTGTTTGGCTCTCCCGTCATGGTAAATGTCTTTCCACTGCCAGTAACACCGTAAGTGAATAGTAGACCATTTTTTCCTTTGATCAAACCTTCCACTAATGGCAAAGCTACTTTATCAAAAACTTCTTGTTGAGAAGTTTCGGGCGGGAATACTTCCTTGAAAGTGTACTTCATCGTTTTGTTATTTTCATTTCTATAACTCAATGCAGTTGATGGTGGGGACATTAGAACTGTAGTAGGGGATAATATCTTTACACAAGGCACATCAGCATCCCTTTGCATAGGTCGAAGACGGCAAAATACGTAGACAGGATCACGATCTCCACTCACTAGATTTTGCTTACTTCGAGCCGGCGTTCGCATTTCGTTCAGTCTCTGTTTAGATTTTGCCGACTTCATTGTCACGTCTAAAATGTAACTTCACTAAAAATACTATTTCTCGCGTATTTAGTTCACAACAAGCATTCGGGTAAACGAAACTTTTTCAAAGCAACGGTCACCGTCAAATAAAACAGTCAGTTGTAAAATAAAATTGACTACTTAAATTAGATAAATTATGTAGGTACCGGTTCGCGATGTTATCCCTTTTTATTAAAGCGTTTTATATAAAGCTGTCTCATACCGGTCTCAGACACCGTTTACTATTAAATTTGGTTGGATTTTAAATGTCAAACCCAACGAGCTCGCTCTGACATTTGTAAGAAAAAAAATGTTGCTATGTAATAAATACAATGCACCTATAAATATCATATTAATAAAATTTGTTTTTACAATAAAATATGATATCGCTTTTTATATTTACGTTATTTTATTTTGCCATTTTTGTGTTTCCTATTTTATCATTAGCACAGATATTATACTACATTTTATAAGGATGTCATATTCAAGTGACTTCCAGTAATACGTCACATAAGGTATTTTTCAATTCAATGGTATTTGTATTTTCGCTAATTCTGAACTGATAATGATAATTCCTCGTTTAATTGATAAAGTTGTTGACATTATTATTAATTTTCTTACGATTGAAGTTGTTAATTTTTGCGGAATATATGATACTTCTTTATTTGTGGTATTTTGTTAATATACAAATTACCCTGCAATAAAGTAAGATTTTAGAAAGTAGGCAATTTTTTAACGTATATTATTAAGCATTTCGTTATAAGCATAGACTATTCCGAGATCACTTTACTGTTAGAATTCATTTGCAAATACTTACTTAACTCTATAACTTTATTACTACGTATCTAAATTTATATGCTAATTTATTCTGAACTTAGAGACATTTTTGTTGTTACATATATAATTTTTTAAACTATGTTATCGTTCTTAAATCGAAACGTAGTAACGTACGTTTAGCCACTATTGAAAAATTAAATGTCAAATAATTGAAAATGTAAACAAACAAACCTCATATCACTAAATCACGGTCACGGTCATTCTCATTATTTTGTTGTGATTACGATTTGTAATAAGCCGGTAATGAGATATTAATTATAAACTCGTTTCAATTTTATTTTAGGGTGAAAAATATGATGGACGCAGAGCGGACGTGTGGTCTTGTGGTGTCATACTCTATGCACTACTCGTCGGGGCTTTGCCCTTTGACGACGATAATTTGCGTCAATTATTGGAAAAGGTAAGTAGTTAGTTATTAATAAATCGTTTATTTTATAAGGTTCTTTCAGAAGCACTTAATAAAATTCATTCAATAAGATTGTCAGAAGGAAAGGATTGTTAGTATTGAAAGTCTAAAAGGCCCGTTGCTATATATATATATATAATTCCCTCTCAGGTCGATCTTCACGGGGTTCCCCCCAGAAACCATTATAGTTGAGTTTTGTAAAATTTGTCATTATGGGCCAATTGATCTGCTTTCATCTAAACCTATCCCTCACTGGTGACCCATCAGTATATAGCAGCTAGCCATTCTATTTTCACCTATTTAAAAAAATAGCATTCTATATTCAAACATAAGTCATTGGTCATCCTAAACAAACAATACTCTATAGAGATTAATATAAATATTGAAATTGAAGTTAAAGAAATTGAAATTGCATCTATATTTGCATAAATTAGAATTCATTTTGTAGTTTATTCATGTATTTAAACTTTATTGACTAATAAAATATGATACAAAAGGCTTTTATAGTATTACATATGTTTTTGGTGTTACTTTTCTATTATTTTAATATATTAATATCATTGTCTCCACAGGTGAAGCGTGGTATGTTCCATGTGCCACACTTTGTGCCACCAGATTGCCAGCAATTGCTTCGGGGGATGATAGAAGTCAACCCAGAAAAGAGGATGACGGTAAATGATTCCTTATTTTTCAAACAATTTAAAAAGAAAATTGTACTGAAAGTTTCATGTCGTATTAGAACTTTTTCTAACGTTTTTAATATATTCATGAATGTTCCTTCTGATACTAGGATCGGTTCTAAGGTGGCATTTCTCTAAATGTTTCTCTAAAATTAAATTACCATTAACATTTTCATCTCTACTATTATCTAAATTTTAAGTCATTCTAGCTAAATAAATAGTCTGCTATGAGTGGTTTATCTGCCAATCATATTAGTTTATATAATTAATAATCTAATAAATAAACCACATTAAAAATAGTCCATCTGTTTTAAAGATATCAATGACAGCTATAAGATGCAAAAGGTATAATCTAAAATCATTTTTTCTATCAGTAGTCAAAAACAGTTTGTGTTAAAAAAAAATGTTTACAAATTCAGTTAGCAGAAATCACACGGCACCCGTGGGTGACGGCGGGTGGTCGCGGCGAGCTGGAACAGGAGTTACCCATGATGGAGGTGGTGCAGACGAGGGTACTGCCATCTGCTGAGGCCATCGACCCTGATGTTTTACAGGTACCTACACCATAAACTATTATTATATCAGTTGTTACCTGTCTGTAGTAGTATGTAGTTTTATGTTGGAGTAGTTCCAATTAGAAAAAAAGTAACTTATATCATTTTTCATAGCCAATAAATGCCAACTATGTGTAGGTATACCAAATTTCATAACAATTGGTGGAGTGTAAAGTGCCAAGAGGTAATAGTGATAAAACTTTATAATTTATAATACAATCATCATCATATCAGCTGTTTATTATTCACTATTGAACATAGGCTTCCCTCATAAGGGAGGTTAAGCCAATATTTGCCATCCTTGACAGATGATTGGTTGTTATTTATATTATATTCAATATAACAATGAGAAAATGCATTATACTGTTTATATCTATCTATTACACAAATAAAGTTCTCTTTTTTTTTTTATTTTCGCAGGCCATTTGCAGTTTAGGTTGTTTCAAACAACGCGACAAGTTAATACAAGAGCTACTCAGTCCGCAGTAAGTACATTTCTGTTATTCTCCTAATGATGCCCAGTACAAACGTGAGATAGTAAACTGTGCCAATATGTGTTACGTACACGTGAATTTCGAATGTAGGTAAACCAACAGATAGATGGAGACTTTTACCAGATATAGATATTAATATAAATTATATATCACCAGAAATAGATGGAGACTTTTACCAGAGGGAGACTTTGTACAAAAGTCGATTGCTTGGGTACCTCTGTCCCATTCGTGTTTCAACCGTGAAGCAGTTGTGTTTGCATGGCTGTGTTTCGGTTTGAAGGGTGGGATATGGCGTGAATTTACAGGGTACAGAGGAATAACACCTGAGTCCTCAGGAATGGCAACGCATGGGGGGTATTATGGGCGAAACAGTATGTGTGTGTACTGTTATGTCCATGGTACTGCTCATGTCTATAGGTGACGGTTACCATTTTCCATCAGGTGGGCTGTCAGCTTGTTTGCTATTCTAAGTTGTATAAAAAAGGCGTATTAACATGTATTAATTTTTGAGTTACACCTTCAGGAATATAACTGTAAAAACTGCAAAAAATTTGGTGCATTGTTTTTGCACGATGCCGGAACAAACATTCATACAGGCACAATATCTAAAACTTATTGCTCTTATTAAGAGCTTTAATATAAATTTTTCTTGAATATTTCACATGCACTGATATCGTCTGGTTACAATTTTATTATATTATAATTTATCGCTATAAATAATTATATTATCTCTTTAACTTCCCATTGTCGTGCATTCGATTCCCGCACAATACAAATATTCGTTTTCATATACACAACAGTAACACCTATTTCAGTAAAATGTTTAAATATGTCTATCGATTATTTAGTAACCTTAGTACAAACTCTGTTTAGTTTGACACTAGATGGCGTTGTGTAATATGTGAGTGGTATTTATTTTTTTATTAAAGAAAACCAAGAGCTAGAAAATTTTATAATAATAAAAAAAACTGTAAAGATAAAAACTCAATAACAGGTTTTTATAAATAAATCGTTATTATTACTACTTGCAGCCATAACACGGAGAAGGTTATATACTTTTTGCTGCTGGAGCGCAAGCGGCGGCGGCCGGCGCGGGACGACGAGCCGCGCCCTCTGGCGGCCGCCGCGCCGGACGCGCCGCGCAAGCGGCTAGACACGTGCCGGGTCAGTACGGCTGCAATTATATGCAACTCTTATTTTAATTGAAGGACTCCTGCTTGCTTATGCTAACGAAATACAATAGACATGAGTATAGGGTCAAAATGAAGTTAGTTAGACCCATTGTAGCGATGATAATGTCGTGATGACTTCCAGGTAAGACCGCATAAACCTTGACCTGTATATTTCTAGCGATATAAAATAAGTTTATTAACGAAACCATTCCATAAAACTAGTATTAATAGGGTCTCATAAAATATTTACTTTTGTTGTTTAATTAAAAAATCATAATGTTTGTTTATGACTTAGGTAAATGGCCAGTCAGCACACTTCGGTCAGATCAGCGAGGGGTCACCTATTACGCCACGAAGATCACAGTTTAGGTACAATATTATTTTAATTTTCTTTTTTTTAATTATATTTATGACTCTTGATACCAGAGATCTTTTATGAAACCTTTTCCGAAGTCATATATCCGAATTTCATATGTATGATGGAAATACATTTATATAGAAATCGAACCCATAGACTGTTTTTCGTTCTTAATAAGCAGATTAAAAGTAAATTATTATTGTGATTAATAGTAATAGATCTGTTTTATTAAAACAATTTTTTTATATATTATTTTATTTTATTTTATGTAGCTATAGATACACTCTTAGTGTATTACTCTGTAGTATTTGTACCGTACCTAATATACAGAGATATTAGGAGTACAAATAAGTTTCCGCCGTTTTTTAACACAAATTACATATTTATTATAGAAGAACGGTAATATAGATTTATATAAAATATTGCCCATCACTTGCAACCACTTTTTCCCATCTCTCAGGCAGCATTCGAATTCCACGTCTGAAGAACTCCTTGTCTTTTGAGGCTATCCACGAATCAACCCAATTTTTGGTATCCTCATAAGATGTAAACCGCTGCGTCGTCAGAGCATGTGCCATGGACCGAAACAGGTGATAATCGGACGGTGCAATGTCTGGTGAATACGGCGGGTGGGGTAACACTTCCCAATCAAGTGTTTCCAAGTACTTTTTTACGCGAGCCGCAACATGTGGACGAGCATTGTCATGCAGAAGAATAATTTTTTCGTGTCTAGAATAGTATTGAGGGCGTTTTTCTTTCAGAGCTCGGCTCAATCTCATCAATTGTGTTCGATAGAGGGCTCCAGTAATTGTTTCGCTCGGATTAAGCAACTCATAATACACTACACCTAGCTGATCCCACCAAATACACAGCATAAGTTTTTTTCCGTGAATATTCGGTTTTGCTGTTGATGTTGACGCGTGGCCAGGTAATCCCCATGATTTTTTTCTTTTTGGATTGTCATAATGTATCCACTTCTCATCACCAGTTACGATACGATGTAAAAAACCCTTTTTTTTATGTCTAGCTAGCAGCATTTCACTTAAGCATAATCGGCGTTCAATATCTCTCGGCTTTAATTCGTACGGAACCCAATTTCCTTGTTTATGAATCATTCCTAATGATTTTAAACGATGTGAGACTGCTTGCTGAGTGACTTCTAATGTTAGAGCAAGTTCTTTTTGTGTTTGAGATGAATCCTCCTCCAATAATTCCTCCAATTCTGCATCCTCGTAAATTTTTGGCCTTCCACTGCGATCTTTGTCTTCTACGTCGAAATCACCGTTTTTAAACTTTTGAAACCACTCTCGACACGTTCTCTCACTCAAAGCACCCTCACCATATGCTTCTACGAGCAATTGATGCGCCTTAGCAGCAGATTTCTTTAAATTAAAGAAGTAAATTAATATTTCCCGCAAATGACGCTTATTTGGCTCAAATTTTGACATTTTCAAGTTATAAAAATTATATTTTACCAATATCAAATCAATAATATTAATAGGTTATGTTGGTCTTGAATGTCGAAACTATTTTTTAAGCCGGTTATCATCTGCGAAAGCTAACCGAAACTCCGTGCCGCGCCATCCACAATAAAACGGCGGAAACTTATTTGTACTCCTAATAATTTAAAATTAAAAACTTACATAAAGAACTACATTCATCAGAACATTAGTATGGAGCTATGTATATTAATTGTAACAATAATAATTGAAATTGGTGAAGGTATCAAGTAACATGCACTCAGCAATGATATTTAAATTTAGAACCTTTTTGTAATTGGCAGAGAAAATGTATACATCTAAATCGTCTGATTAGCGCCATCTCTTAGCGTTCTTCTCAAATTTTTTACATCTTATGTTCTTTTCATGATATTTAATAATTGAATAAAAATAATTCGAAATTTAAAAAAATATAAAAGGGTCTATAATATTATTATTATGGTTATAAAAGCTGCCAGTATGTCAACAATGCTTGTCGTTGATAGCGTAGTGGTATCGTTAGCGCTGTAGTGGACGGTTGTAACATAAAGAGATTGAGGACAGGTTTGGTCGCAGCAGGTCAGCGTCGGGTCGCCGCCCAGAGGGTAGGAGTTCGCCACAGTTGCCGGCAAGTCCACCAGGTTAGTACTACTGCATATTATATGTACGTAAAAAGTTTTTCCGTCGAGTCTGTCTGTTTGAATGAGATAAATCCAAAAACTACCAAACGGATTTTCTACCATTTTCATAAATGAACTGAATGATTCAAAAGGCATTTTGGATTTTGTTTGTATCAGAAACACTTAAAATTGACTATGGCCAGTTTTAGTCTTCCAAGTTAAATGAATGATTCTAAATATACGATATCAGATGGAGAGACACTTTCTTACGATTAGTTTTTTATTTTTATTTTTTTCTTTTTATTCTTATTTCGATAAGACAATACCAGCTCTACTGTGATATTGTATATTGTGCAATATTAATATTATATTTAGATATAATTTATTTATTTATATTTTATTATACACACTAATAATACATACAGAAATATGACAGTGGAAAACAAATGTACAAAGCCGAGCTTAACTCTACAAGAGTTCTCGTCCAGAAAATCCAAAGTGGAAAAGAACATCGATGTCAGCTGATAGTGTGATGTACAATACTGTGACAATTTACAAACAAAAAGACTTAGGCAAACTTACATCTATACATAACCAAATATATTATGTTTAATTGTATACATACAAACATATATACATACAGGTACACATATCATATAAATAAAACATGTTCATTAGGACAGTCGATGCGTTTAAATGTACTCTTAAAAATATTTAAGGATTGACTCTCACAGAAAGGCATAGGAAGGGATTTCCACAATCTAGCAGCGTGGACGGTAAAGGACTCACTATAGCGTGTAAATAAGTTTTTTTTTTACTAATATTAACAATTATTGCAGCTGGTCACACGCCGCATCGGGTCTCGTCCCTCGGAGGCACGCCCGCCACTCCTGGGTCTCCATTAGGTATGTACATCAATGGTTAAAACTATCTTCATTGCATAATAACTTCAAAAATAATGTTCATCGTATCTCCGATCAAACTGTTTATAATTACTCCTCTCCATCCTCTCTCTCATCAAGAGCTTCTAAAAGCGATAGGTTGGCTGGTTGGAAAAGCCAAAGGTTGCCTGGAAGAGATCGCTTTTAGTGATAAGGTCGCCCATTGTTTTCTCAGTGTGAACATTTCTTGTAACTGTTTGTATCTATGATAAATTCACTACAGTAATCTTTTGGAGGAAATAAAAAGAGTATCTCTCTATCGTGAGTTTATACGTTATTGTATTTAAAAACGTGAGTAAAGTATTAATATAAATAATTATAGAGGGATCACTGTCTTTAGAAATAACAATATATTTTATTGTTATTATTATATTAACCTAGTATCTACTAAACTTATGTATAAGATAGATTTTAAATGTTCTGAAATAGTGATATATATATATATATATATATATATATACAAATTGTATGCTTTGGAACTTTTAATATAAATATCAGGATGATATGTTCTTAATAAGATCAATACAATGAAAAACAATAATTTAAAGATTTTTTTGTCTGTCTGTATGTTTGTATCGACATCAGCAAAGAATACAGTATTTATATATAACTCATAATTTGGTGTATGATTTATTATGATACGCCATCCAGAGCTTCCAAAATCCACGCGTAAGAAGTCGGGCGGGAAAAAGCTAGTATTTTTATAAAACTAAGACGTGCCTTATCACTCCCTTGACATTATTATCCCCTTAACTTAAGGAGTAAATTCCAGTATCTTTTTGAAACTCACGAACGTAACCTTCGTTCCAATAATACTCTCCAATTATCTTTCCCCTCTCACCGTACTGGTTACGCTTCAAACTCTTTTCTCCTACATTCTTCACGACTCTGGAACGCGCTTCCTGATGCCATTAAGAGACAACCAACTAAACCGTCTATCAAAAAAGCGTTCACGCTCACTTTTTATTTTTATCCGAGCAGTAAGCGCTTTATATTGTTCTCAATTTCGTGTATAATATAGTATATATATCATATATGTGTAAGTGTATTTGTTATTCATATATATTTATTCGTTTATATATGTAATTTTAGTATGTATGTATGTATATCAATAATTAGTAGTACCGCATTCGAGTATTCTGACACTTCCCTATGGTTGACTGGGAGAGAATGCTTTTAGCATTAAGTCCGCCATGTACACATATTTGTATTATTGAATAAATAAATAAATAAATTAAAAATAATCTTCCTTTAAATGTTCCCAGCATCACCGTCCGTTCGTGAACACCACCATCAAAGGGCTAATTCCACGGGACCCACAATCAGCCTTAATATAAGTGAGTTTGAAGCTTCAATAAGAAAAGATAAATAGATACATAGATAATTTATTTGCATTACTTACAGCATACAAATTATAACATATATACTCGTAGATATACATAAAAAGCGAGATAACATAAATGGTAAAAAAAATAATACATAAAGCAAACGCAAAAGATTGGTTAATACATTTCTACCATCGTACAGCTCTCCGCCGACAGAGAGTTCACCCTCCAATATCTTAGAGCCTAGACGGTCGTGTACTGCGCAGTTTTAGAGATGTTCCCTCCCAAGAATGCTCAGGTTATACAGTGAGCTCCGTGTTGAGGTTTTTCCAAGAATATTACAGCATGGGGTTCTTCAAGAAAAGTATTGAGATTTCTTCAGATTCGGCAAGGCGCATGTAATTGTCCCTATTATTGCAGGTGTTCATAGGCTACGGTAATTGCTTACCATCAGGTGGGCCGTATGCTTGTTTGCATATTAATTTACAAATATATTTCGCTTCGCAAAAAATAGCGGCGTTTTCTTTGATGTCAAAACACACTTATTGGTGACGAGATGTTCTGTGTATATATTACATTGAAATTATTTGAATTTCGAACGCGGAATCGTATGTTCTCCATTTTGTTTCGTAGCAAGCTGTCTTTTTCTCCGCAAAGGAACGGTAGCTTGAATCTCCAAATAAAATGGGGCTGACACAAGGATAAGTGTAATTAAAGTAATACATTACGGAGTTAACATATCTATTACAAAAGGAATTATCAAAATCGGTTTTTCAATTGGCAACGTAATAAAGTCTCAGAGTCATGAATGGAACCTCTTCCTATTTTGATATCGCATAAAATAGTAAATTTAATTCAAGTAAATTTAGTAGTTAAAGTACGTCAATTAAATTCTGTATGTTGTGCTCGCTTTTTATAAGTACTTGTATCAGATTTAGTTTTGTATAGTTTTTTTTTTTTATTCATTATATATGTACTGCTAGTGTGCCTTAATACATAAATAAATAAAATATCTTTTCAGAACCCTAAATTAATACTATATTATACTGTACCATTTTCAATGAAACTCGTAATTCTGTACGTTACAGGCGGCGAGCCGGGTGAAGCGGTGATTATAATAAACGAATCACCAATAATGGGCTCCTCGGTCGCCGTGAGACCTCACAGTCCGTCACAATCACATAGAGGTATGTTTACATCATCATCATCATCATCATGCTCATCATCATTCCTTTTTAAAAGGCCGGCAGCACACCTGCAATGTCGTTGGTGTTGTGGGTGACCATGGGCGGCGGTAGTCACTTACCATCAGGTGAGCCACACACTTATGATTTATGAGAAAGTAGACCCGTAGTCTATGTTAAGTCTTCAAAAGGGTGAAAGAGAAAAGAACATTAATAAAATCAATAGAGAATAAAAGAGGCAAAATACTGGGCCACCTTATACGACATGACGATTTTTTAAGAGCATAGAAAGAAAAATAGAGGGCAAAAGAGGAAAGGGAACAAGGACGTGGGATAGATAAAGGAAACATCAGGTGTCATGTCGTATAGGGAGGTCAAATGAAAAGAATAAAGTCTATGTTGTTAGAAACTAGACTGACAAGTAAAGACTCCCATAAACTATAGAAAGGCCCATATAATTTGTCTACGTTAACATGGCATGCCTCTCCAACTTTCTTTCAATGTGTGTGACCAAATACAGACGTGGTGCTCTATTCGTGTTTGTGAGGAAATATCTTCGGTAGCAGTCCGACCAGAGGAGTATAATATTCTTTAGTCAAAACCTTTTGATTTTTTTTTATTTAATTAGCTTGCATAGATACATTAAAAAAAACTGGATTTTTTAGTACCACTTAAACCTCTTGGGCTTGTGTGTGATACTTTACATTCGGTTCTCAAATGTCAATATTTACATTAATATTCTGCTGTTTTAGCAAGGTTGGACAGTAGATAAGCTTTCAGTTTAAACTTTATGTTTTTAACAGTGATATTGTTTCGCAAGTCGGTAGGTAGAGGATTTATTAATCGCGGTATGTACACGGTACGTAATATTTTTACGCACACATTTTTAATTGTTTTGGTTTTGGAAGGGCGTGCCATGTTATCGTGGACATTCTATACATAAATACATACGTAAGTACATAATGGTTTTTTATTAATTTCAGTGAGAGAAAGATCGTCATTACCCGGCCCGCCGAGTTCTCAATCTACAGCGCAGCCGGCGCTATTCCCCAACTTGGGGACTATGACGGGTAAATATATCTCTGTTTGTATTTTAGATTATAATAGAGCTTCGAGCTTAAAAAAATGACAACTTTTTTTCAGCTAATCGTCAAATTAGGTAACTCTTTTTTATATACGTATACAATGTATTTTGACGTGTTAATTATAAATAAGTGTTTACGCATTAATAAGATGCAGAAATTGTAAGACAAATTAATTATATTATAAAGAAATCACTCATAACTATTTATCATATTGATATATACATCTGATCTTCCTGCTAACATTAGAAATTGCCAGCTACATCTTTACGCGGATGATACCCAACTTTACTACTCTTTCGAACCTGAAAATTTAAGACAGGCGGAAATAAATATAAATAATGATTTGAATTCGCTTCTCAAATGGTGTCACTGTAATGCTCTTGTACTTAACCCTACGAAGTCCAAGTTTTTGGTATTGGGTAATAAAATGCAGTGCAAGAAAACTAAACGCCAATGTCCTCAGATTCTTGTCAATAACCAGCCAATAGAAAGAGTTGAAACTGCAAAAAATCTTGGACTTTTATTTGATGAGGAATTACGCTTCATAGAACATGTAAATACAAAGATAAGATTAGCATTTTATAAACTTAAAACACTTTATCATGTGAGGAAATATTTGAGCATACCAGTTCGTGTAACTCTAGTGGAGTCTCTAGTATTGTCCCTTTTCAACTATTGCGACACAGTATATGGCCCTAGATTGCTAGAGCGAACTCGAGGATCTATTCAGCGAGTACAAAATGCCTGCATACGTTTTTGCTATAACATCACTAAACGAGAACATATTACACCATATTACAACAAAAATGATATATTGAATATGGCTTCACGAAGAGAGCTTCATTTCTCTTGTTTTGTTCAGAAGATTGTTCATAGTGGACGGCCAGAATATTTGTACGAGAAACTGGACTGGGTTAGAAATAGACATCATAGAGGACTTCGAGAGTGCAGATTAAATATATTAAAAATTCCACCACACAGATCTGCAAATTATAGAGGAGGTTTTAAATTTACAGCCGCAAAAATTTGGAACGACCTGCCTCCACCCTTACACCAACCATTAACGCCATTACATTTTAAAAACCTAATGAAGAAAAGGATTTTACTTATGCGGAAGCAACCCTCGGATCGTGGAGCTGGCTCTCGTCATCGAATGTAGTGCATCGAAAATTGTAAATCACTTTTAAGGACTTTTTTTTTTTTTCTTGTCACTAATTTGGTACTTTGGATTGTTCTGTTATATTTTATTTATTTTTTTCTTTTATTCATTGTTTTTATACTTGTTTATTTTAGATTTTGTATTGTTTTCTTTTATTTTTTATGTAATATCTACATCAATATATATATTTGATAATGAAACGGTGCCCCGTGTAGGTGCAAACTGAAAATCAGCGCTGAACGAACATCAGTCCAGCAAAAGCTGAGTTTGTACCTATTGCCAGGCGCATACGTTTAATGGACAATATATTGATTAATTAATATATGTACATTACAATTTGTGAAGAATGGCAATAAATTTTATTATTATTTATTATTATCACGCAAAATTGTATATAAAAGTTTTTTTTATGCAACTTAGAATGGCAAACAAGCTGACGGCTTACCTGACGCAATGTGGTAACCGTCGCCTATAGACATGAGCAGTAACATAGCCATAACAGAGTATACTGTTTCGCCCATAATACCCCCCATGCGTTGCCATTCCTGAGGACTCAGATGTTATTATCCTCTGTACCCTGTAAATCACGCTATATTCCACCCTTTAAACCGAAACACAGCCATGCAAATACAACTGCTTCACGGTAGGAACATGAATGGGACAGAGGTGTCCAAGCAAACGTCAGTCTTCCTGCTTAACCCGTTTTTTTTAAGCATTTATATAGAGACACTCTATGTGTCACTATCACTATTTTAGTATTACTAGTACATTACTGCAGCGGCCAGCAACTGAGGCATTGATGGACGAACGTGCAAATGTGGGCCGAGGCGTAGGCAAGGCACACATACGTGAGTCTATCAATGCCTAGTTGTGGTCAAGGCTTGTACGAGGTCTGTCCGGAAAGTTCGTATAAAAGTGTTCTGGAATGCGAGAAAGAGGAGTGGGGAGGCCAGGTAAGCGCAGGACCCCTTCCTTATGTCCCTAACAATGCTTCAGTTCTGGTCTGACCGCCGTGCGGTGCGAACTGGCTTGTCACGCCATCTGTGAAGTTACCTCTTAACGAAACCCCGTCGGCATGGAGCCCGCTTCCGTTGAAGAGCAGCGCGTCGTAATCAAGTTTCTCTCGAAACTCGGCAAGAATGGCCGTGAAATTTTTGCCGATCTAATTCGATAAGACATCCGGGGAACCACGAACAAAAAAATCAAGAAAATCCCGCTCAAATGTCAAGACAATGTTGATTGTTTTTTTCGATGTTCGGGGGATTGTCCATCAAGAATTCGTCCCTCCAGGCCAGACAGTTGATGGAAAATTCTACGTCGATGTGCTCAGACGCCTCAAAGCTCGTGTGGCACGAGTTCGTCCAGAATTGGCGCGAGAGGGGCGTTGGATTCTTCACCACGACAATGCCCCTGCCCACACCTCTCTTGTTGTCCGTGAGTTTTTGAGTAAAAATTCCATTACGGTGACCGAACACCCCCCTATTCGCCGGATTTGGCCCCGTGTGACTTCTTCTTGTTCCCAAAAACCAAATTGGTACTTCGGGGGCGGCATTTGGGGGACATAAATGAGATAAAAAAAGCTACGACGGGGCAGCTGAGAAACCTACAACCAGAGGACTTTCAAGGAGCCTTCTCACAGTGGAAACGGCGTTGGCACAAGTGCATTATGTCACAGGGGGAGTACTTTGAAGGGGATAAAATTGATTTACCTGAATAATTGTAAAATAAAATTTTTAAAAAACTTTTATACGTACTTTCCGGACAAACCTCGTATAGTACTTTTCTTACATAATGCGCGGAAATCAAAAACACAAGTTTACTTTTTAAGCTCAATGACGGATAACGAACAATAATAATTGAATTTTTCACGCGCCATAATGTTCTTTTTTTTTTCAATAAACAGCTTTCTATTTGCAAGCCAGTTCGAAATTTAAATAAAACCTTGTATTAGTTACCTCCTTGGTAGCCATGTTTCGAAGTAAAAGGTCATACCATTTTTTAATTTCAGGACAAATATGAGTTTACATAGTAATTTATCTGGCTACAAAACACGACAGATATGGATTTTCATACAACTTTTGCCGGCCGCTGGCCGCATGTATCTGGCCAGTACGGCAATTTTGATTTATCTCGAAGAAGATTGTCAAAATAATGCTCACATTTCCAAGCATGTTTGAGAAAAACATTTGCTTTCCAGGCGTATCCCCTGGTAGTACGTGCGGGGCGGGTGTAGGTGGCGCGGGCGGCGCGGCGGCGCCGTGGCGCGTGCGGCTGGCCACCATCAAGAACTCCTTCCTCGGCTCGCCGCGCTTCCATCGACGGAAACTGCAAGGTTTGGCTACTATTCCACCACACCTTCGAGTATTTTTCTATGCAATTTGAAATGGCAAACTGGCTGGGTCAATGGCCAGTTTGATGGAAAGCCATAACCGTCACAGTACACTGTGATTTTCATGGTATACCCTCAAGAGTTAAGGTGTTATCCATACCCTATAATTTCACTATGTCCCGTCTTTCAATCCGAAACATGAGTAGCAGTTCGTTCAAAATAATTCAATTCAATTCAATTTATTGCATTCTACAATATTATTATGAAATAAGCACGAACTTAGATAGATATAGATTAATTCCTAACGGAAAAACTAACTCGAACATAATAAAATGATTCTACGCATAAAACAATATGACATGCAATCCTATAAACATAGTAAATCCAGCTTGATCCCTTCGACTCAGTGCAACGACGAGCTATGAGAATTGTCGATGATCCCAGACTTACGAGCGGTATCGAATCCTTAAGTCTTAGGAGAGATTTTGCCTCGCTCTGTGTGTTCTACCGCCTGTGCAACGGATTGTGTTCAGAGGAACTATCCAATATGATGTTCCCACAGCCACTTTCTATCATCGTACGGCTCGCCATCGACAGGGAGTTCACCCTCATACCCTACATCCTAGATGGTTACGTACAACGTGGTTTCAAAGATGTTTTCTCTCTCGAACACTCAGGTAATGGAATGAGCTCCCTGCCGATGTTTTTCCAAGAGACTACAGCTTGCGGTTCTTTAAAAGGGGGATAAAGATGTTTTTTCAGGGTCGGCAACGCGCGCGTAATACTCTTGGTATTGCAGGCGTTCATTGGCTACGGTAACCGCTTACCATCAGCTGGGCCGTATGCTTGTTTGTCACCTCAGTGGTATAAAAAAAATACTAAAGTAAAACATTAGTGATAGAACCATAAATATTTGCATTATGTTTCCTTCTGTTGCTTTATTGGTTTTTTTGTTTTGTTGTTTATTATTATTTATTTCATTTCAAATGTATTTTACCTTTCGAGTACTTAAATGATAAAATTGTATAAGAACCGGACTGTAAACGGCAATAAATATGGACTAACTTTACACAGCAGTCTATTGTGGAATGCATTTTTTAGATTAAACAAAGTTATTATTATTATAGTATATATTGCATATAATCTATCATTAAAATGTTTTCACCTATTTTGTACTTTAATTAGGAATTTATTTAATCAAATCATTTTTGCCATAAAAATTCATATATTTAGTGAAAACTCATTAAAAATATTATATACCTATACTTTTTAAATAATCCGATATAAGCATTGAAAATTATTCAATTAATTTTGAAAATTGAGAGATAATTGCAACATTGCCACACTTCGATAAGCTAAAGTGTTAACACTCAACAACTTTTTGTAATGAAAAAAAAAATTTTTGTACGTAATTTCTTAGAGAGGAAAACCTCACCCCAGCCTTAAAATAAATATATGCTTCTAAAATGTTTTAGGACTAAAGTGTTTTACCCACAGCATACTTCTATAATTTATCGTATTAAAACTTCAATACTTTACTCACAGCATCTTCAGAAGAGGTCCACCTGACTCCGGAATCATCGCCAGAGCTAACCAAACGATCCTGGTTTGGCTCGCTGCTACTATCAGCTGACAAGGAGGAAACATTCACGGCTTTGGTGAAGGGAAAACCATTGGCCACAGTCAAAGCGGACTTAATACATGCATTTCTTAGTGTAAGTATCATTATTTTTTATTTTTTAATGTCCATAGAAATTGCTCTTAATTCAGTGTTTTTTTGATATTCCTAAAATTTCAATTAATGTTCCATAAAAAAAACTGTCATCAATAAATTATTTTGATTTAAAAACTGCTAAACTGATTTTGATAAAATTTCTACGGCACCAATCTGTAAATATATCCTTTTAGATAAAAAAATAATTTTGTAAATCGATTTATTAATAACAAAGTTATAAGGTAACAAACAAATAAAAATAACATGCAACCAAATTCAGAACCTCCTTTTTTGAAGTTGGTTAAAAAGAAGATTGCATTATTATATTTAATTTAGTTAACAATAGTAAGTTTTTATAACTAAGGAAATAGACAAAAGAATATATATTTTGACATGTAATATTAATGTAATTTTGATATTATTTACTGTTTTAATTCATATAATTTTGCCTTGTGACAAGTGCAATGATGTTGTTCCATTAGCTCGTGATGTTTCTGTTCAGTATGTTGCTCTGTACATTAAGATTTTTAGAAGTACCCACTTACATCTTTATTTTTATAAATACGCCTGAAGCTGAAATTTCAATATCGGTCGTGTATATAAATCATTAATAATAAAAGCATTTTATCAAAGATAATGGAAAAAAGTACAAATGTATTGAATTGAAATAATATTATATAGTCATAGAAAGAAGAAGTTACAAAAGTACAAAGAGTTAACGGCTAATATAATAATAATATTATATTAACCGTTAACTGTCCACTACTGGACATAATCTCTCCCATTAGAGAGGTTTTGCCAATAGATGTCATGCTTAATAGGCGGGTTGGCATATTTTAATAGGAACGCTGCTGACCATCTTTCACCAATAAAATTCCGTTAGTCGTCTCTTACGATACCTACAAGACGGGAAGGTAGTGGGAATACAAATAGAGAATAAATGAAGCGTTGTCTGTAGTCCATGTTCTGTATTTCATTTGAATTTTCTAATTGTCATTGTTCATTGTCAACCTATATCTGGAGTATAGCTCTGTATGGATGTGAGACGTGGACATTAACTCAGAAGGAAATGGATAAACTTAGAGCCTTTGAAATGTGGTGCTGGAGAAGGATGGAGAAAATTAGCTGGAGGGATCGAATTAGCAATGAGGAGGTCCTGCTTAGGGTTAAGGAAAAACGACAAATTATTAAAACTATTGAGGACAGAAGGGGAAAAATGTTAGGACACTTGATACGACACGACGAACTTATGACCATTATAATAGAAGGTAAGATAGAAGGAAGAAGGGGGAGAGGGAGACCGAGACATAGTTACATCAGGCAGATCAAAAAAGGAGTTGGTGTCGTGTCGTATCAAGAGGTGAAGAGACTCGCTGAAAATCGTAGTGAGTGGCAAGAGCTCCACCGACAAGAGCGCAGCTCTTAAATGGATAGATAGATAGATAGAATTGTCATTGTATATTTTTATATTTTTGGTACAATAAAGAGTTAAATAAATAAATGTAAGGCCAGATACACATTATAATGCCGTTCTCGTTTCACTTTCAGTCTAGTAAAATATTATTAAATAAGAAATAATGTGATTTTTCATTCATATTGAGAGTGGACCGAAGCCGCCATAGTAGAAATTCAGTCTAAACGTGTTATGTTATTTGCGTGCGCAGATAGCGGAGCTGTCGCACAGCGTGCTGAGCCCGATGTCGTTCCGCGTCGAGTACAAGCGCGGTTCCAACGCGCCCGCCATGTTTCAACGACACGTCCGGTTCCAGGTACCAAACAACAACAACAACAAATACCAATACCAACAACAAATACCGATACCAACAACAAATACCAATACCAACAACAAATACTAATACCAACAACAAATACCAATACCAACAACAAATACCAATACCAACAACAAATACCAATATCAACAACAAGTACCAATACTAACAACAAATACCAATACCAACAACAAAAACCGATACAAACAACAAATACCGATACCAACAACAAATACCAATATCAACAACAAATACCAATACCAACAACAAATACCAATACCAACAACAAATACCAATATCAACAACAAGTACCAATACTAACAACAAATACCAATACCAACAACAAATTAAGTTAACAAATACTAGCCGAGATTACTAGACCTGGATATAAACTTTATAAGCCCCAGCCTTGATGGGGATCTTCATCTCTAAAAGATCTAAAAATCCTATTGCTAGATATCTTGTCGAGCTCCTCATGGATCCTTCTAGTAACTATCATAGTTAATTATCTGTGAATTCGTCACAGTGGTGTAACTAATCCGATTTGATCCATACCTGTTTTCAGTAGAAATTACGCAGACGAGGTAACCATTCCATTTTCATCTTAAAAATATACCTAACTTGCTAATATTTCGAATTCGTAACGTAACTTTCAAGAAAAGAGCATATTCCTTTTTAAAAGGCCGGCAGCACACCTGCAATGTCTCTGGTGTTGCGGGTGATCATGGGCGGCTGTAGTCACTTACCATCAGGTGAGCCGCGAGCCCGTTTGTACCTTTTGTTGTAAAAGAAAAAAAAAAATGTTAAAATGTGTACAATACTTGCACATAATCATTAAATTACTGAACGCAACTGTCATGTGACAGTTGCTAAGTGTCAACACCGGTCAGATTCTATATTTTTAATCACTACTCTATGTTTGGTTGTTTTTGTCGTGCAGTCGAGCGGCTATATGCCGACAAATTCTGTAAAACCGTATATTTCTATAAATACAATAAAAGGTTACACCAGGAACACAAGATTTCATTGTCTAATCCTTTTATGTGGCTATGCTACAAAATGGTACATGACAGCGAAGGAATTTTGGCCGTCAATTGAATCTTGGCCGTACGCATTTATATTTTACCCACTGTTTTTCTTGTCGTCTGTCAATGCAGTGCATGGGTTGACACCTTGCTTTTCCGGCTAATTCTTAACCTATATTCCGCCATCTTGAAGGGCCATGTCTATATTTATCTACTCATGATCTGCCCATCTCCATTTTTACCTAAGGACAATGATCATAACCCACTCACTGTTCAGTGAAGAAAAAATCAGTACGTATAATAAAATCGTAGCTGGTTGTTGTCTGTACATGAAAGATATATAAGAAAATCCTCACATCAATCCCACATCCTCACACAATCACACACAAACATTCACACACACACTCACACACACACTCACACATACAGTCACACACACTCGCGTACTCGCACGCGCACGCGCACACGCCCACACAAACCATGCACCTACGTGTACCTAAACTCACATGAAACATTGTATAATTAGATTAACCCTGTTCGCCGCACCATGACTGTAAAATTACTTGCTTTGACTTCCACGAGACAGGCTTTGCCTAGTGTGGGGTCATAGCTATATTGTGCCATAGGCTAGTTTTGTTAAAGGAAATAAAGATATTCTAAAATAAAGATAAATAAAGAAAATGTATATAAAATATGTATATAAAAAAATGTCTGTTTGTCTGTACGTATATATATGATAATAGCTTAACCGATTTGAATACGATTTTCACTAATACGCTGCGGTTTGCTCCACTTAACATTTAGTTTTTGCTTTATTTCAATAGGTTTATAAATAAAAAAGTTATATCAATCCAAAGAATCACATATAAAATGCTGTAAAAAGCATATAGACTAATTTATATACTGATTTACGCGAGTGAAGCAGCGGGATACTATTAGTTCATCATACAACTTTATCAGAATAAAATGTAGTTCTTTTATTTTGTTTTCCAGGTCGACATTTCGACAATTACAAAGGCGCCGGGCGAGAACGGGAAAGAATATTTATATGCCATCACATTCACGTTATTGTCAGGTGAGTATAAAGATATTACAGTTCATTCTCTTCCGTTTTAAAATGGTCCTTATTTCTATTATATTAAAATTCAAAATTTGTCGATGCTTGCACTTGTGAGATACTAAATGTTGGCAATAGCCAATCTTTCAGAGTTGTCACAGATGTTTAAATATTTTATTTTTAAATTTTCAAGTAAAGGCGGTGTTATTGGACTGATAGAGTTTAAGCCTAGTTAATGTACACGATACATGTTTAAAAAGTTGTCCAAACTTTTTCGATTTTAATATGTCTTTTCTTATAAGTTTGCATCGATTTCTGTCACAACGTAAATTTACTATTCATTTAATCTGTTAGAGTGGTATGTCAATAATGATATTTTTTTATACCACTGAGGTGGCAAACAGGCATACGGCCCATCTGATGGTAAGCGGTTACCGTAACCTATGAACGCCTGTAATACCGGAGGTATTACGCGCGCGTTGCCGACCCTGAAGAAATCTCTTTACCCCCCTTTTGAAGAACCCTATGCTGTAGTCCCTTGGGAAAACCTCGGCAGAATATTATTCATGACATGACGTTTCCGTGTAAACCCGTCTTAAAATAGGCCACCCCTTCCTTTCCCGTGGTTGTCATAATAGGCGACTAAGGGAGGGCGAAGAATGGGCAACAGCGTCCCTCTTAAAACATTTACAAAATCTAAATGAAGTTGCCAATCCACCTGCTAAGTGCGGTCAATACTGAGAAAACCATAGCGGGATCTTATGTTCAGCAGTGTCACTCTTAACCCTTAATAGCCTGATTCTTTAGGTCAAATTAAAAAATATATAAGTGTACCTTTTACTGTGTTTACTAATGGGGAAAAATAGTAAAAAAATCAAAACGATATTTTAATATATATTTATTTAAAAAAAAAAAATATTTGGTAACATGTAAACAGCCAAATATTAAAATAAAATCGATTGTAGGCACCCAATGCGATTTATAATCCCGGTATCAAATTTGAAACTTCAGGTATTTAAGGGTTAAAACATTAGCAAAAAGTAAATTTGTTTTGTCAAGGTAAAATTCTTCCAGCGTTAAATTGTCATAAGAGTGGTCCAGTTTTTTATCAGTCTATGAAGGAGGCGTATGTTCAGCAGTGGACAGGTAACGGCTGGTATCATGATGATGCTAATATCATATTAACCTATAAATATACCATTACTGTGCTCGGATCTCTTCACATAACAGGATGGTTTGGGTATAAGGTTTTATATTGACATTTCCATGTCTTATACACCAGTGTGTATTGCGCTATGTTTGAAAGTTTATAACATTCATTGAGGTCTCGTATACGCGGTGCCGTAAGCGTAAAATTAAAAAATGGAACAGTTTCCAATTTTAAATTTTACCGCGTACTCGTCTAAACGTGGTGGTCGTGTCGGCGCTGCGCAGGCAACATCCGGCGGTTCCGGCGCGTGTGCGAGGTGGTGCAGGCGGCCGTGTGCCGCGCGCCCGGCGCCGGCCGCGCGCCCGCGCTGCACGCGCCGCACGCGCCGCCCGAGCCGCGCGCGCAGCGCCGCGCCCTGCACCCGCACGGTCGGTACCGCGCACGCGGCCACGCGCGCCCACACGCGTCCACACGCGTCCACACGCGTCCACACGCGTTCATACGCACCCATACGCACCCACACGCACCCACACGCACCCACACGCACCTACATTCACCCATACGCACCCACACGCACTCATACGTACCCACACAAACCCATATGCACCCACACCCACCCACACAAACCAACATTCACCCATACGCATCCACACGCATCCACACGCACCCATACGCACCTACACACACCCACACGCACCCATACGCATCCACATGCACCCACACCCAACCACACACAGCCACTCCTAATTACACGCACCCACACTCACCCATACGCATCCACACACACCCATACGCACCCATGCATACCCATATGCACCCTCACGCAACCCACACTCACCTATACGCTACCACACGCACCCACACGCACTTACACGCACCCACATGCATCCATATGCACCTACACATACCCACACGCACCCACACGCACTTACACGCACCCACATGCATCCATATGCACCTACACATACCCACACGCACCCATACGCACATACACACACCCACACGCACCTATACGCACCCACACTCACCCATATGCATCCACACGCACCCATACGCACCCAAACGCACCCATACGCCCACACACACTTGCACGCACCCATATGCACTTATACGCACTCACATTCACCCATACACATCCACACGCACGCACACCCATACGCACCCAATCAAAGCAATATTCCTTAAAGTTAATAAATAGCCATTAAAAAATATATAAAAATAATATTGCAGCGGTGGGCGAAATACCAGACAGTCCGGAGACACCTCATCAACAGTCGGACCACGACAGCGACTCATCGGTGTTCGACACGGTGAAGAGTCCCACCAGCCACACGTCCATCGATCAGCTTGACCAGGTAATCCTCACTAATCAAATCCCTTAGATTATATAGATAGGGTGTCTCCATAGAAATGTTTCGAGAAAAATGGGTTAACTTGTTCAAACAATTTTGCGTTTACAAATAGTTATGAGTGATTCCTTTATAACTTCTATATTTATTTTGTCTTATAAATTCTGCATATATTTTTTATGCGTAAACACTCATTTTATTTATCAAATAATACGTCAAGATACATTGTATGCGTAAGTATATAAAAAACTGACACAAAAAACGAATCAGCTAATTTGTCAATTTGCTGACAAAAAGTTGATCCGTTTTTGAGGCTCTTTATCTACCATATATAAACTAAGTCAATCCTTATACAAATTAACTTGTTTACAAGCACTTTTAAATCGCTATTTATTTTTAAATGCACTGCAAAGTTCGGAAAGTTTTTATCTATTGAGAAGAGCCGCAAGAATCTTAAGTTACTCTTTTAAATCTCTGTTAACATTATGTGTATTTATTTAAATATACTATGTCTAAAATTACATGGTCGTTAAAAGCCTGTCCATGATCGACTAATACCATGCACATTTGTCATTCAAGTATTTTTTTATAGTGTAAAAGGCTTTGTTTAATAACAGTTTTACACTTAAGGCTACAACTTTGCCTTTTAAGGCAAATCGAAAAAATCCTTCGATATCTTATTACATAATAGTTAATTATTTTCACCACAACGTGACATCTTTATAACATTTGTATGAGGTACTTAATTATCTAACCATCCTGATGGTGTGGAAGCATTTAAAAAAATCTCTTTATATCTATATATTAGTTTCACTGTGTATTAAAATTTATAGTACATTACTGCAGCGGCCAGCAACTGCATTGAAAGGCATTGATGGACGAACGTGCAAATGTAGGCCGAGGTGTAACCGAGGCACACATACGTGAGTCCATCAATGCCTAGTTGTGGCCAAGGCTTGTATAGTACTTTTCTCAAACAATGCGCGGAAATCAAAAACACAAGTTTACTTTTTAAATTCAATGACGAATAAAGAACAATAATAATTTTTCACGCGCCATAATGTTCCCTTGTTTTTTTTTTCAATAAACAGCTTTCTATTTGCAAGCCAGTTCGAAATTTAAATAAAACCTTGTATTAGTTACCTTCTCGGTAGCCATGTTTCGAAGTTAAAGGTCATTCCATTTTTAAATTACAGGACAGATAAAATTTTACATAGTAATTTATTTGGCCGCAAAACACGACAGATATGGATTTTCATACAACTTTTGCCGGCCGTTGCCCGCATGTATCTTGGCCAGTACGGTAATTTTGATTTATCTCGAAGAAGATTGTCAAAATAATGCTCACATTTCCAAGCATGTTTGAGAAAAATAAATCAATTAACTTGTTTACTTTCAGATAGTATATTTAATATATGCTTTGTTACAGAACGGTACCCACCCACTCGGTTCCAGTTCGTCGGTTACGAGCGGATCGAGCGGCTATAAAGTAACTATCACTATTTAATACCAGAAATGTATTTAATTCACTTCATTTCATTTAATTTTCTTATATTTTGAATGTATGTTAGCCGAACGAAAAGAATAATTAGTCAAATATGTTGTCCATATCGAACTAAATACCTTAATCAAAATGTTTATAAAAAAAATACTGTTTGCCAAAGGACAGCATTTAAATTTTCGAGAAAATGTCAAAAATTGTTGTTTAGAAGCAAGACTCATAATTAAGGGTCCCGAGTGGTCTCGAAACTATTTGAATATTCTTTACTAAAGTACATGTAAGTTAATCCGGTTGTTATTATATTAAAATATAAAGCGTATTTATGAAATTTTTGACATTTATTTTTTTAAAAAAGTAGGATTTTTTTTATTAAAATACGTAATATTTCACAAACAGCATGCACATAATGCATTTCTTTTTTTTTGTATAATTTTAAATCATCAAATGTTTAAATCAATTGTCTTTAAATTCGAATAACATTTAGTTAAGAACATGCTAAAGAAGGGCCAGATTAAAAGTACCCGTAACTGGCGAGCGTGTGTGAAAAGATTGATGACCACATTCATCAATCTTCGAGTTTCTTTCAAGGAAGCGAAAGAAGCTCGTTTGTATCGGAGCATTTGACGTTCCATTGTGCCTTAATTGGAGATAAGTGTGACTGATATGTATGTATGTATGTATGTATGTATGTATGTATGTATGTATGTATGTATGTATGTATGTATGTATGTATGTATATATATAACATTTGGTAACGAATTACACAAATCGTCTGTATATTTTAATATAAAAATGACATATGTCAGGATATTGGGTCACGCTAATCTTCGAAACCGCTCAGCGGACTAATAAATTTTTTTATATATATATGTACGAGTATATTCAACGTTTTTTTAATGGGTGATAATGGATTAGATAGGTGAGAATGAAGCAGGTTATTGTTCACGATGGTTTTCAGAGGCAACCACGTGGAGGGCATATTGGTAACAATGGAGCTGTCAAACTTCATTGCTAACAATCCCTTTCCCTCCTGTGTATTCGACTTATTGGGATAAAACTTTCTCAAGTTGGAATAATTAATTTGAGAACATTATATATATATATATATATATATATATATATATATATATATATATATATATATATATATATATATATATATATATCTTTATTGCACTTGTAAGTTACATATAAAATAATCTATTTGTAAAGGTTGTGAGCAAGGGTGGACTTATCTCTGTCAGAGATCTCTTCCAGTCCACCCAGTACAGTAAGAAAGCATTTCGTTAGCGGGCAGCTGAAGTTTTACCCCAATAATCGGCATTTTACCCCAATAAGCCCGGTAAAAGGCGGTAGGGGCAGGTAACTGCCCAGGTTAAGTAGTTTATTGTACAGTCGACGTAACGGTTGTTCAGTAAACATGACGTATGTAATCAGTCGTCCGATTGCAGCAAAGTGTACGGGGGCGGCGCGCCGCCGAGCCGGCCTCCGCCTCCCTCGACCACGAGATCATGAGCTGCGGTCGCGACCTGCCTGGTGAGTGGTCTACTAGCGTCGTCGCATCACGTTAATCACTACCATCGTCACACTCACCACATACCACACGCGGCTTTTCTTTTCACATTCACCATACTTACAACACTTAACGCATTTGTTACATTCGTCATGCTTCCGCACTTATCTCGCTTGTCACACTCATCACATTTGCCACACTCATCACAGTTGCCACACTCGTCACACTGGCCACACTCATCACACTGGCCACATACGTGTACTTTCCACGCTTGTCACAATCATCATGCTTGCCATATTTCCCACACTTGTCAGTCTTGCCACATTCGTCATGCTTGCCTCACTCCCCACATTTGGCATGCTTACCTTACCCCACACTTGTCTTGCTCATTAAACTCATCGCATATTTCATATTTGATACACTTCATATTTGCTACATTCATCATACCACACCTATCACTACACTCACTACTTTCATACTATGATCGTTACTTTCGCCATACCCATCGCACGCACGCATCGCATTATAATGTGGTCGGTGGTGAATGTTGCGTATACTGTGACAACGCCCCATGCGCCGGTCGGCAGCAGGCACGCACACGAAGCGGTCGTCGTCGGAGTGCCGCGAGGCGGGCGCGTCGCCGCGGCGCGGGCTGGGCGCGCGCGAGCCGTCCGCGCGCGACGAGCTGCGCCGCAACAACTCGCTGCGGGACACGCGCCCGCCCGCGCCCGCCTCCGCCTCCGCCTCCGCCTCCGCCTCCGCCGCCGCCGCGCCGCCCGAGCGCGCGTGATCGCTGCGCCGCCTCCGGTAGGCTGCCTCCGCCGGCTGTCCGTGCTCTGTCGCGTGATTGGACGTTACGAGTTTGCCGCCACGTTCGTTTCTATCTTTCTCGCTAGTACGCAAATTCACACCGACCGGAGCGCGTCGCCGACGCTGTGGGACGGGTGGCGACCGTGATCGTAAGTGCCTGCCAGCTATGTTTTATTCGAAGTTGTCATTTCTTAAATTATATAATTTTGTAAACGTACAGAATTATGTAAAAATATTCAACAGTTTCTGTTTCGGGTGTGTTTTTAAAGTGACAATATTTTCTTGGCGTATATGTATTGCGTTGTAAATCCATGATGTCTCCCGCGCTCTGTTCGGTGTGAATTGGGCCTATAAATACAATTGTTAACAGTAGTGAAAATAATACTCGTGAGATATGTCAGCAATGAACGTGTTTGTTAGTGTGAGACGCAACGTGCACAAAAGGAAGAGTTAGCCGAAAGGCTTGATTTTATACAAGTAAGTCGAATTGGACTGTACTTCCAAATTTAAAACATTCTTGATACTTGTGATGTGGGTTCTTTCGTTAAGAGTGTTCATAACGCTCGCTTATGTTTTGCTTACGTGACAATTATCTGTCAATTTTAAAAATAATTTAACAGTTTTCACTCTCACTGATGTTTTAAAAAGTGCTCTGTAAACGAACTTTACTCTCCGTTTCTCGTAAAATACGAGAACTAAATGATACCTGAATGATAAAAACCAAAAAAAGATAAATTTTTACAGTAACGTCATATTTTGCTTTGTTATTTTTCAAATTCATTTGTGCAATCTAATTCCAAATTTTTACTAATAAATTAATAAAAATATTATTACAGTTTTATTCGTAAGCAAAGCTCTTTTTAAACATTCAATCAAAAACATTGAAAATGCTTTGTTTTTGAAAATTGTCAGATAATTGCGATGTTGCCACATTCGGTATAAACCGTATTCGTTCGAGTTTTTAATCTACTTTCTGAGTACTTGCAATTTTTTTCCTATTTATGAAGAGCATTGTAATATTTTTTAACTACTTGATATAAAATTTACCCACGCCTCAAGTTCAACATTGTTTCCTAATGATTTCTAAGTATATAAAGAAAAATAGTTTACACAAAAGCTTCCTATTTGACACCACTTTCGCAAAAACTCGATGACAATTGTGCATTTTTTGGTAATAAAATATTACAAAATTGAAGGTCTAAAGCCAAATTTTAAGTAAATCACTTAAAAGGACGTTTTATACTTTAATACTGCGCTAAGCTCATTTCATCATCAATTATATATGTTTATGGCAAGCTGTATGTAAATCTTTACGTAGGTTAAGTTTGTGATAGTGTGAAGTATCAGTACTAAAGTAGCTGAGTGTGAATTCACTTTTGTTAAATATAATATCAAATTGATATGCCGTGCGCTGTATTTTAGTATGAATTGATCCTAAAGATGTCACTCTCATATTGTTGTATTTTATTTTGAGTTAATTTAGGAACTTTGTATTCTGAACGAACTAAACACATAACAGAGATGTTTCCTCCCACGAACACTCTTTTTTTATATACTATACAACTAAGAATGGCAAACAAGCCGACGCCCCACCTGATGGAAAGTGGTAACCGTCGCCTATAGACATGAGCAGTACAATGGACATAACAGAGTATACTGTTTCGCCCATGATACCCCCATGTGCCCATTCCTGAGGACTCAGATGTTACTCCTCTGTACCCTGTAAATTCACGCCACTCAGGTTACGGAATGAGCTTCCTGCCGAGGTTTTCCCAAGAGATTACAGCATGGGGTTCTTCAAAAGGAGGTTAAAGAGATTTCTTCAGGGTCGGCAACGTGCGCGTAATACCTCTAGTATTGCAGGTGTTCGTAGGCTACGGTAACCACTTACCATCAGGTGGACCGTATGCTTGTTTGCCACTTCAGTGGTATAAAAAAAAATTATAAATAATTATCTTAATCTAAGACCTGAAAAGGAAAAAAAATTCAATACTTTCATAAACTCCATAAAATATAGTACTAAATATAAAATGCCTTTAGACTTTAAAAACTATATATAAATAATACTATCACCAAATTGTAGAACAAAAATGAGAGTGACATAAGATCAGATTTTAATGTGATATATTTATATACAAATAAAATTATAGGATCGAGCTGTGTTTTAAATTGTATATAAGGCGGGACTGCCTTTTCAATATCCCAGATTTAAGAGAAAATATAATCTGAAGTGAAGATATACGGTTTTATGTGAAAGTGTACACTTATTTCGAAACGGACAATATGTTTTTTAACATTGCGGTAGCTTATACAAATCCTGGTTATCAATAAACATATAACCAAATATAGTTGCCGCCATATTTTTTTTTAATCCAAAAGTAATAAATATGTGGCGTATATCCAATAGTTTTCTATCTCGCTTACTCTTAGGGGCGAACAAAAATGAGTTCAAGTTAAATCCTATATCTATGTGGTAGTCTCCATCTTTTAGAGATTGCTCGTCACAATCACAGTAATTAGATTTCTTTTATTTGATTTTTGCATAATTCATGTTTTGTATTTTTTACTGTAAAGTATGACATAATTATGTCATATTTTAGCTTTCACTCATACAAGCGTAATTTTAGCGTTGAAGCTACGCTTTGGAAACTTTATATTGTGAAGTGTATATAAAAAAAAGAAAAAACAAATTATACTCACATTCTCATCGTTAATAAACGAGAGTTAATGCTAGGGCTTATGATTGGGGGGGAAGTGACCAATACGGTGTTAAATAAATCAGTAATTGATGATGCTAATACATATGAACGCAATCAACTTATTTTTCAAATATAATTAATGGTATAGTATTTTTATAAAAACAATATAGTATATTAAAAACAATAAAATAAATAACAAGGCTCGATCCGTATTAAATAAATCCACAATAATTACTATTTGCACGACGTGTGTTCCACCGCTATTGTTAATACAAACCGTTTTAAATCCAATTCACACCCAACGGAACGCAATCGTAGCGCGGGGAACACACCGCAATAAAGGAGCGAGATTTTTTTATAAGTATACAAATAGCTGTATTTAGTAAGCTTAAAGTGTATTAAATAAAGAAAAAAAAAACTTATATAAAAAATTATTGAAACCGGCCATGTATTTTAAAATGTTAAAACGCTATCCATGTACTGAATTATCGCTAACACGTTAGTTAAGGCCTGAAGAATATTTGATGCTGTATTTTTGCAACAAGGATGTATGTATGAGACCCTTTACCTACTGCCATGAATTTAGGAAAGCTTAAATGTCAGTTTTGACGTACAGAACTTGGAAATGATGGCGCCAAAAATAATATGTATGTGATTTTTTAAAAAGTACTTTTTGTGTTGTTTGTTAAATTAATTTTAATTGATCAACAATTTGTAATAAATAAATAAGAAATACTATTCAAATAAAGATTCAATGTAATAATGTAATTCGTATAAATTGATTTTTATAGATTTTAACATTTTTTTTAAAACTGAATTGCTTTTATATTTTTTTTCGTGCGCATAAATGCTCCACGTTCTGTACGTTAGAGTCTTTAGTTGTTAGAAAATGTAAATAAGATTGCACTCGACGATATCATTCACTACATTTATGAATTTATATATATATATATATATATATATATATATATATTATATTAAATATTGTTTATTATATATGAATCCTCATGATTAAGAGACAGACCAAGATTGCGTTGAAATAATATAAAAACTCTCAATTGAATGAATCTTAAATATGAATAGTTTCGAATTACTATTTCGAATAATCAAGTGTGGCCATTTTATATATCCAAGCGAGTGATCGGATTCGTCGGTTGAATATTTCCTTCTAAGCAACAAAATTATACAGTTTCTTCTTAAAATAGTCATTCTTAAAATAGACATTCCATATTACCTTATAATTATGACTCATTAAGGTACAAATTTGCATGTAACATGTCATTCGTCTCGCGTTCTGACAATAATTTTCGGTTTTAAGAGAGTTTTATACTGTACTTATTTCATTGGGGTTTGTTTCCATGAATTTGAATTCCGAAGTGTCGAATCCAAATTTATAGTCATAGTAAAATTATGTCAATAGATGGCGCTTAACACTTTGTAAATCCCACTATTAAATTACCCGAACGGTCTACAGATTATATTATTTTAATAACGTTTCCTTTGGAATTTTAATATCGAATTCCTGTTACGTTTTTTTTTATACAACTTAGAATAGCAAACAAGCTGACGGCCCACCTGACGGAAAGTGGTAACCGTCGCCTATAGACATGAGCAGTAACATGGACGTAACAGAGTATACTGTTTCGCCCATGATACCCCCTATGCATTGCTATTCCTGAGGAATTCCTAATTGTAAAAGTTTTCATTGTAAGTCAACTATAAGATAATATATATATATTACCAATTTGTTCATATATATATATAGTGCTTAGTGCAAGTGCACTAAATACGATCGCATTAATTGGGTACCTATTATCGCCGAAGTTGAAATTTGGATTTAATTCTAATCAACCAATCAGGAGCGTTAATTTTTAACCTAACGATGGTCGAGATCGAGTACGTTTTAAACTCGCACTAAGCACTCGATTCATATTCAGAAATGTAGTGAACGGAATCCTAGTTTAGTATCAATTGAACATGACGAGTAACGTGTTCATAGTTCGGTCAATCGGTACGTGCTAATGCGAAGGTCACTCGGGAACCAGTATGGCGCTTATGATCACTTGTAATCACAATTCAGAGAATAAACTGTTAATTATCGTCATCATCATCATCATATCAGCTGGTAACTGTCTGCTGAAGATAGGCCTCCTCCATAAAGGGAGGTTTTGTTAATAGTTACCACACTTGGCAGGCGGGTTGGCAACTGCAGTTAGCCTTTGGTAATGTTTTAAGGACGCTGCTGTTCATCCTTTGTCCGTTAAGTTAGAAAGAAAGGAGGTGGCCTATTCTATGCCGGGACCACACGGCGTTGTTAATTATGTGCTCGTTTTATGCCACGGGCGGATTTATTATGCTTATATTATATTTATTATACTACATTTCATATATTTATTTATTAAAGCTCAAACCGCGGACATGTTTTATATTCATTACTTAATATTTCCCAAATTTGTTGTTATAGAGAGCTAAGTTTTTGTGACTTTTCATTTACCACTTTTTATTGCATGATGCGTAAAATTACAATTAAAAATTATAATTATCACTTTGTGGTTTGTATACTTAGAACTGCGGTAACAAATTTCGGAAATATTATGTGATGGATTTAAAATACCAGTCACAAATAACGGTCTGCGATTCGAGTGTTAAAGAAGTTAAACTTGACTAATATACTATAACACGTGCTCAATACATGTTTAAATATCTTACTACAAAAAGTTGTCTAAGATCTATCTTAGACAAGTTTTTGTAGTAATTTTAAATTTCAAATAGTAAATTTTATTATAATAATTTATATATTTTGGTACATAAATTTGGAAATATTTTTATTTAATCACTTAGGGTTATGTTATTGTTAAGATAAACAGTTTTTTAAATCCTTTTTTTATAGTTAGATACACTGATTTATCAAAATAAGAAAATATATATAATTTTATTATTATTAAATGTTTTACTTAAACTTGTGAGTTCAAGTTGTCATAAGCGCCATTATTGAGTTGAAAGTTGTAGCGCCTAATAGCTTAGGACCCGTGATACCAACTCTTGGATTTCGTACGCCGTGCACTTTTTGCCAATATTTATAGTTACCGTAAAAATTGAATTTTGTCTATAGAATGAAGAAAATAAACAATATATTCGAAATAGAGAAAAAAAAAACCATTGAATTTTAGAGATTTTCATGTCTAAAGTTCATTAGTTTTTTTTTAATGTCATGTAGGTATTACTTAAAAAATTGTGTTATTTGGGGCGAGATTAAAACAATTAAAGTTAGAAAATGTACTTAAATTAACGGAAATATTGTTTATATTTCGTCTCACATATGAATAGACTGTGTGTATATATTTTCAGTATACAGACGCGCTTCGCGCGGTTGTAAAAATTCTGTATGTATACATACATGTAATATGTATACATTCATGTTGCGTTTGTATGTAAATAAATTTAGTATTTGATATATGATTTTAATATCATCGATGTGAATGGGAACCATACTTCATTCATACACGCACATTGTATTGACATCCGCTGAAATAAAGGGCTAGTCTAATTATTTAAACAGTAACAATTGTTTATCAGTACATTTGTTTCGTATATACATGTATATTTTTTTCTACTTTTATCTCATTGTACATTCAGTAAATAACCCCAGTATATTACGTATTTAGACATTTTTATACTTAATTCAGGGATTGTAATACTCAATGTAGTCATTATAGTACTTGATTCGGTTATTATAATACCAAATTCAGTAATTATAATACTCAATTCCGCCATTATCGCACTCGATTCGGTTATTATAATACCAAATTCAGTCATTATAATACTCAATTCAGCCAATATCGCACTCGATTCGGTCATTATAATACCCAATTCAGTAATTATAATACTCAATTCCGCCATTATCGTACTCGATTCGTCATTATAATACCAAATTCAGTTATTATAATACTCAATTCAGCCATTATCGCACTCGATTCGGTCATTATAATACCAAATTCAGTCATTATAATACTCAATTCCGCCATTATCGCACTCGATTCGGTCATTATAATACCCAATTCAGTAATTATAATACTCAATTCAGCCATTATTTGATTCAGTCATTTTAATACTAAAAGGATGACAATTATGAAATATATTTATAATGAGTGACTGTTAGTTCTATATTCATTGATTGTCGACAATCAATACAAGTATATTTGTTCGATTAGCCAAAATGACTGAATATGTACAAAACTGTTTTAGATAATGAGGCATCATATTTTTTTACGTTATAATAAATAACACAATAATACGAGGTTTGTCCGGAAAGTACGTATAAAAGTTTTTTAAAAATTTTATTTTACAATTATTCAGGTAAATCAATTTTATCCCCTTCAAAGTACTCCCCCTGTGACATAATGCACTTGTGCCAACGCCGTTTCCACTGTGAGAAGGCTCCTTGAAAGTCCTCTGGTTGTAGGTTTCTCAGCTGCCCCGTCGTAGCTTTTTTTATCTCATTTATGTCCCCCAAATGCCGCCCCCGAAGTACCAATTTGGTTTTTGGGAACAAGAAGAAGTCACACGGGGCCAAATCCGGCGAATAGGGGGGGTGTTCGGTCACCGTAATGGAATTTTTACTCAAAAACTCACGGACAACAAGAGAGGTGTGGGCAGGGGCATTGTCGTGGTGAAGAATCCAACGCCCCTCTCGCGCCAATTCTGGACGAACTCGTGCCACACGAGCTTTGAGGCGTCTGAGCACATCGACGTAGAATTTTCCATCAACTGTCTGGCCTGGAGGGACGAATTCTTGATGGACAATCCCCCGAACATCGAAAAAAACAATCAACATTGTCTCGGCCCTCTCTGAATCTTTTTAGCCACTTGTGGACGGTTGGTTCCTTCACAGCATCATCCCCATAAACTGTTCTGAGATCGGCAAAAATTTCACGGCCATTCTTGCCGAGTTTCGAGAGAAACTTGATTACGACGCGCTGCTCTTCAACGGAAGCGGGCTCCATGCCGACGGGGTTTCGTTAAGAGGTAACTTCACAGATGGCGTGACAAGCCAGTTCGCACCGCACGGTGGTCAGACCAGAACTGAAGCATTGTTAGGGACATAAGGAAGGGGTCCTGCGCTTACCTGGCCTCCCCACTCCTCTTTCTCGCATTCCAGAACACTTTTATACGAACTTTCCGGACAGACCTCGTACATAATTTTCATTGCCTATTTTCATTAATACATTTAATTAAATTGTATAGGTTATTTTACGTTTAGTACAATTTGATATATATTTGTCATAGATATATTATTACATATTTTTTATTATATTTTTCTATCATGACCATCAACACGTATAAAAAAAAGAATTATTATTATTAGTTGTATAGTAGATAGATAATTTGTATAGGGTTTTGTCAGGTGATTTTTGTATAGTGTTTGGAAGGTTTTTGCGCGTCGCGACTGGCTTGCACATGGACTATATGTAATTATATATAAGTATAGTTTAAAAAACCACGTATTTTATTTTTGATTTTATTATAGAACCATATATTTTTTATAGCGTCTTTTTTATTTTAATATTAAAAGGTATGTAATGAAATTTGTTGCCCAAAAAAATAACAGTGACTTGTAAGAAAACATGCTGATAAACGATGAGATGTTGGTTGATGCATTAGAATAAAATATTTAAATATAGAACGCGCAATCGTGTGTCTACAAATTATACTGGAAGTAGTTTTTTTTTTTTTTTTCACAAGGAACTGTGAAAAATCGTTGCAAAAGTACTATGGGATCAAGGAGGGTCTCAATTCATATGTATTTTTTTTTTGTATATATGTTACGCAATATCTTTTTTTTAACCGATGTTTATTTTTGCAATGGATAGTGTGTATAATTAACCCATACTAAACTTTACGTGATTTAAGTTAGTTTATTTTGTGCAACTTTCTTATTATTAATTTATTAAATTATTAACATTTGTATTTCTATTGAATACATTTCGAAGTTACAAATAAATCATGATACATTTTTATAGTCCCATCGCATGCCAGTCGTGAATTTAAGTTAAGCGCCTCTGAGCGTCGTTTGTACCATAAAAAAAGGGGGAAAGTACGTAATTCCCCTCTCTTTTGTTGTTTTAACGCCTGTCTATCCGACGAATGGATAGCGTGATATTTGTTATTATAATTTGTTAACGTGTGGGTGCTAGATTCTGTTTTCTTTTTTGTTAAACGTATGTTGCCATTTTGAATTATTTGAATATTTGTATACGGGATTATGAATTGCCTTGTCATTGTATTTTGTTTGAAAAGCCCGTATGTAATACTCATTGTGCGTAGACCTGACTCATCACATATCACATAATTAACAATAATGATATTTTCCGTATGTGTAACCATACACATGAATATATTATATTACGTGAATACATCGCGCGAATGATATAAATGTAATTGACCGAATGATTGAACGATAAGCGTTCGATTCGTTCAATCTGTAAATTCTAGCCATATTATATAATAAATAAATGTGACAATTTAATACATATTATAATTTGTGTAAATGCCTTCATAATGGTATTATAAATGAATGAAAAAAAAAATAAACATATATTTTACATTTACAAAATGAATAAAAATGTAATTTTGTACTCCATAATTTGTTAAGCAGATTCAAAGTTTCAATGCCTATGTTTACATATTATAAAATACAAAATATTATATGTATATGTTAAATGGTGTTTTATAATATGTAAACTAACTAATTACGATTTCCTTGATATGTGTTCGTATGTAACATAACATAATCTTCCTTTGGTCTTTGCGAGCAGTATGTCTGGATGTATTCAGTAGTTACAGTGTATTAAAAAAAAAAAAAATATTGGGCTTTTTTTTTAATTTGTTCGCGAGACCAAAGTCTCAACGGAGCTGTAAATGACCTATTAAACTAAGAACCTATGCTATGCTATACTATAACTGCTTAAGGAACTTACTGGTTAATATTGAAAAAATAATTAAATCAAAAATATATAATGTGTGCTGTTTTATTTCCTGTGTCTCACTCGTGACTCTTTCTGAGAATACAAAAAACTGTTTGTTATCCTATTGTGTGATGATGATGAGTTCTGACTGTTTTCGGTCGAGGTGACCGCTTTGACCCCCCCTATATAGTATAGTAACCCCGCCTGCGCTAACGGAATACGCTGGCGGAGCACCAGTGAATGGTGATAGTGAGAATGAAAACAGGCCAGTTAGCCCATCATGATGAATTCATTAGGAATTAATCATGATAGTTTCCAGGGAGAACCGCGAGGAGGTCGACCTAGTTGGGTATATTGCTAGCAATGGGTCTCTCAGTCTCCATTACTAATAATCCCTTTCTCCCCCTGCGTAGGGGGCTGTTGTCGAGTTAGTGTGCTCGGATGTGGCTTGCGTAGTCAATCTTTTTATTAAAGGTCATTGCACATAGCGGGCATGCGAGCTCGCCATCGCTGTTGTAATGGTAATATATTCCTGCTGCTAGTCGAGCTTTTATTTCATCTTTCTTTCAAAATTACCAAAATGCAATTCTACTGTGTAGGTACTCAATGTAAAAACTGACTGATACAGAATTAATGATATGCATAATGAGCTTTCTAATTACCCACATCTGCTATACAATCGTAGTGTCAATACAAATGCTGCATGTGTACTTCAATCTGTGACATAGATTTAGGATAGGGGACTATGAAAACACTGTTCCTGATCCTGGAGTGAGCACAAAATAATTCTCGAGTGGACATGGGCCAAAATAATATAGTCATAAACTGACAAAGCCAAAGTAATATCCTATTAATATATGTAAAGAATTAAAGATATAATAGCCAGTGACAAGAATTAATGAAATTTAAGAGGCAAAAATGAAACACAATATTGATTTTCAAATATATTTCAGTAATCAAAATATAATAATAGGCTTACACATTAATAGTTACAAATCGTATCCCATGGCATGACCAACTGTTTCACAAAAAAGCAAAACGACGAAATAAACCTAAATGCTATTAATATAATATATATAATTATACATAATATCTACACAAAATGGAGTCCAAAGCCAAAGAAATTGATATCACAAAAATACATTTATAGCTGATAAATAAAAATAAAATATATATTTACAAGCTGATAAATTACAAATCCCATAGAGTATATTATTTTTTTTTTACATAAATCGTTAGTGCACTTTATTCACATTGTGAAATTTCTTATTTATTAATAATAATAATTAAAAAAAAAAGAATAACCCATAAAAATGCCTTAACTCTAAGTGAAATTACTTTAAAATTTCGTGCACTTAACACCTTTTTATATGAAAAAAAAAAAGTATTTTAACATTTAAAAATGGCGGTTAGAAAAGTTCTTTTTTAAATATATTTCTCATTCAATGATCTATAGCTATTTATTATCGTCGGTTATTTTCTTTATAAATTAATACTTTCTGTCCTGTATTTAAAAAATGCGTTTACACTTATAAAATATTGATTGTATATAATTATCGAACTAGTTTTATTTACAATAGTCTTTTGGGCTACATAATTTATAACTTTTCTTTAAACAATCAAATCTACGTAAGACTGCATGATAATGGCGCTATAATTAATATAATGTACTGTAAACGTGCGCACAATGTAAAATAATGTTACATCACACATGATTCTATGTTTTCGTGTTTCATCGTTGTTTAAAGGCCTCCATCGTAGGTGTAAATTAATGAAATTGTAATTATAGACACTAAATTGTTAAAAAAAATCATGATAATGATTTGTAACGTTAATTTTAACTGAAGTTAACAATATTTCAAAATTAAATTAACAATATTGTAATGTTAAATTTAAATCGAATTAATGATACTGTAATAGTAAAATATCAAGTCGTTTTATAATAATAATACATTACGATAAATCGTGTAACCTCCACACTATGAGACCTTTATCGTGATAAGTAGAAAAGCATTCGAAATGTATCATATCTATATCTCATTGGTCGGTTCATAAAATTAGGTACATTAGAGTCTAATGTGCACACACTGTCATACACATTTTTTAATTAAATTAATCTGAAGACAATTGCCTGTAAAATGGACTGTCCCATTCTAAAATATTGGGTGGGACAGGTCATCAATGCAAGAGCGTCATGACCGCTCATTTACTAACATAGGTTAAAAAAATAACTAACAAAATGGGCCTTATGTTGTCTATATAAATAAATATTATGAAATATTAACCATATTATGATGTGACATAAATTACATTTGAGCTATAAAATCTATTGTATATTTCGTGGACGTATCGTTAATAGATTTGATTTCGTTGCCACCCAGTCTCACGTGTACTCGATTTGCATTAAAACGTAGGTTCGTAGGCAAGCATCGACATACTCAATTCTCGAGACTTAAAAACTATAAAAGAAATGCAGAATATATTATCACAAAGGATCCCGGAAAGAAATAGTGAGTCAGGAACTTCATTCTAATGAATATTTACATATTTATTATTTTTTTATTTAACCTTAAATTAATTTTATATCACAAATAAAATTCCAAACTATTTTCGTATGAGCAATTATATTTTTTTTTATAAAACTACTGTTGGTCAAGATTGTGATAGCATTGACTTTTAAAACGCAAATTTTAAATGAAGCTTACTGTATTTTAATAAAGGAAATAAATTAAAGACAATAAAAACGGACCCGAATTTTTAATGGACACTGGTGTCTCCCACAAACAGCGTACCGCTTACCATCAGGCGGGCCACATACCTGTTTTGTGGTACATAAGTATTCTATATTTTCCATATAAATGAAACTGATCAATTAATTAAATAATAGCTTCACATCCCGAAGTCTATTGTTTATGTATAAGAATACATGCATCTATCGGTAGAAACGTTTTCGTTACCACAAGCATGAGGAAAAACAAGGCAGAAGGCGTTGCTGTCTCGCTATAGCTCATGCATATGATAACGAAAACATACAAATACAATCTCGATAAAGAAGTAAATATTGAAATAAAATTCAGTATCCGTTTTTACTTTAACAATAATTGCAAATTAAACTTATTCACTAAAAACTCATTGGACGTTTTCAAAACAAAAATAATAATAATAAAACAAAAAAGAAATTAATGGCTGAGCATAATTTTTCTACATTTATATCTATCTAATTTAGTCTTAATATCTGTTTAGTATTTTGTATACAATACAAATGTATACCCCCGAAGCGTTTTCTCTATAAATAATATAATATATTGTACAATCGGCCGCCGCCATTTTGTTTTCCAATATGGCGGCGGCTCGTGGATACGTCTAGGTATGTATTAAAAATAAAATAAGAAACTTTAAAATTACATAAGTAACGATATTAAAAATCGCATTTCGCATTTCTCATTACCAACTTTATACCATCTTTTATTTACAAATTCATCACGTGTTTTTTCGTTTCTTTAAACATTGTTTAGTTGCCACTTAACCTAGAAATTAATTATATATATATATGGACAATAATGCGTCATTGCATAAAGTTCTTTTTTCCCTATAAAAAAATTAAATAAAACTGTACGTACGGGTAATACTACCACTTTTATAAGTTACTAATTATCTGAAAATTAAACAACCCACAATCTAAACAACAAAATGGCGAGGTTCAGCAGGAAAAATAAATGTTGGAAGGCAAAGAAAGAGATGGGCAGATGACATAATAAAGACAGCAGGAAAAAACTGGACAAATATATGCTACAGATAAGGAGAAGTGGAAAAAGATGGAGGAGGCTTTTACCCTTGGGGACAACTGAAGTGGATAAAAAGCTATAATAATAAAAATCTAAACTACCCTTCCTTTTCCATGGGTAACGTAAGAGGCGACTAGGGAAATAGAATGGTCGATAAAACATCACCAAAACCTAACTGTCAACTAATACCAATCCGCCTGCCAAGTGTGGCAACTACTGGTAGACCTCTCCAGGGGGGATGTCTATGTTAAGCAGTTAACGCCTGATATGATGAAGATGAAATGTAAACTAATCATCAAAAAATCAGCTCGACCTCCACTCAGTTTCCCCTGGAAACTATCGTGGTTAATGTTGAATTAGTCACGATGGGCCAACTGACCTGCTTTCATACTCACAGCGCAGGCGGGGTCACTATTTGCATCCAATAAAAAAAACCATGTTATCCTTAAAGAACTTTTATCCTTAGCTGGTTTTCGATTTATGGTACACGAGTTATTCGTTCAATTCTTAACTTTATATTGAATTCTTTACCTGTCTAATATTCTAATTTATTTATGCAAAAACAATATCTGTCAATGTAATTTATAAATGTGGTAGCAATACTTGCACGTAAAAAATTTAAACATACTACTATAAAAGTAGAAAGACTCAAAATAGCCGCACTATTACTTTTTTTCCAAAAGGAAAAGCTGCCGAAAATAAAAATGCTAAAACATTTTTGGTGAGCCACTGGTAAGTTTCATTGGTAAGATTTTCCCAACCATGATTATTATCACAATAAAAGCAACACCAATTTTAATCGAATACGCTACAGGTAAAAAATGGGTTTGGACGAGATCAACCATTAGAAATATTTAATGAAAATGTACGCAGTGATTCATAGATTGATAAAAAAAATAAATAAATAAACATACCACATACAGTGGTACATTTTAGCCACCTTATTCAATAAAAACATCAAATGTTTAATAAATTTAACCTATTGAAATGTTTCATCTTTTTCTTTTTAGTTAACTTCTTAATTTGAAAGAAAGAGACAAACAATTAAAATTGGTCTGCAGACGGTTTTTGTTCTTATGAACAAGTCCATAGTAATATAGATTATTTCCCAATAACAACAATTATTGAGTTAAATTATTAATTGAAGTTCAATATATTGGTAACATTGAATTCATACAATACTCATTGCACTGTTTGAATTCAGATTAAATTTGTTAAATAAGAAATCAAATTAAAAATACATGAATACAATTTCACTATAGTCAAATTGAGGCGAGATTTCGCATTTGAATTTTACTATCAATACAATTACAATTGTCAATCACAATTATTATTATTATTATGAAACGTGGAATTATACCCGCCGTGTGGTCATAGAATAGCCCATCCCTCCCTATTCGGGTAGTGGAAGGCGAGAGATGGACCTCTTATAACATCCCTCTTAAAACATCTCCAAAGCCTAACTGCGTGACAGCTACTGGAAAACCCCCCCACCCCCCCAAGGGGGAGGCTTATGTTCAGTGGACAGTTAAAGGCTGATATGACGATAATAATGTAGAATTAGACGTTAAAAAACCAATTCTCTCCTAATCATTCTTTCCTACAAGAAATCCATAGTTATCTATTATCAACTGTATTTCGCGGCGTTACCCGCGTGAATCGGCACATAAAGTACCCTAAATAATATATAATAAAGTAATATAGCAATATATATATATATATATATATATATATATATATATATATATATATATATATATATATATATATATATATATATATAATATGCTAAATTAGGATATAACCTATCCGTGTACCAAATTTCATTCAAATCCATTCAGTAGTTTTCACATGTAAGAGTAACGTCCATATAAACTAAAGCATTTATAATATTACCTGTTACGCCCAATATACAAGCTAAAATAGAATATTATTAATATGTTAGTGAACAAATTTCTTTATAAAGAAACAAGTTTTTAAAAAGATGGGGGTAGAATAAAAAACAAATTGGCATTCCATATAAAATTTGTGTCCAATCGTAAAGCTTATATCAATTTGGCGTTCATTCTTTCACATTACTATGTAGGTAGTTTCCTGAGTACACTACTTGTTACATACTCGTATATAAAATGACATATCTACGATTTTTATAATTCAGAGGATAATTAGGATAATTCTAGAACATACTATAATGTTCATCAATGGCTTGGATGATGATGATGATGATGATAATGATGATACTACAATAACTTTTGGACCCGCAAAACAAAGTTCAACAATGATTTCACCCAATCACAATATAACAAATTCCGATTGACAATTGCAACCTGGTATTGCTCAATTATTTGCTACGATAATAAAAAAACCTATCCTGCGTACAAGCGAACTAAACTTGTTGACAATTGACAATTACAATCAACAATTGTCGTTGTCAATTGTTCAATGGCGGCCCTTGCCGACACTGCGCCGGATGCTCGTCCAAACCCGTCCGTGCGATTAACAGCGGTATCATCTGACGCATGCGGCGATGAGTGCTACAACTAGTGCGGCGGCGGGCGCCAGCCGGTGGGACAGGCTGTTGTATTTGCTGCTTTGCTCGCACGTGCCTGCAAATGAAACCGAATAATATTAGAATAATAACTTACGTCTAGTTGACAAGTACATTCAGATTTTCAAAAAAATAAAAAAGCGTCTTTATTATTAAAATAAATATTAGATTAAAATATTTTAATTTAGACGGCCAAAGTAAATTTTGATTTGTAATAAGTAATTTTCAAAGAAAAATAGTAAATTGTTTCTATTAATAATATATATTTTATCTTTAAATATATAATATGAGTGGGACCAACAAGGAATTTAAACCCTATCTCTTGAAATTATTTTTTTGTTTAATTTTATTTAAATTTTAATATTTTTATTGTTTGTAATGAGGCCTAACAGTGTCATCACTAGCAAAAGACTATCAGATCGACCTCGCATGAATGTCGAATTCGCTGTGGTGGTGGTGGTTCGACATCGTGGTGAATTCATCTCGATGGGTCAACTTACCTGACACGAAGTTAGATCAAATTCAGTCGTCATTGATGCCCCGCTAGTGTATACCGTTAGCGCAGGTTCCGCTATACGGTATACGCTACCGTTAGCGTTAGTGTATACCGTTAGCACCATTCCACTTTCTTGCCATTAAAAAAAAAAACATGTTACCGTTGATGGTGAGGTTGTACGCCTTGTCCCCGTCGCGGCCCGGCACCATGCTCCGGTTGCACGAGCGCGACACCGCCGACAGCGCCAGCAGCGGCGCGCCGCCGCCGCCGCCGCCGTTACCGCCAGCGCCGGCTGTCGCTGTTTCTGCAAGTCACACCGTCACACAATTTATCTTTATGTATAAAATATAACTTAAGAACGAATGGACTAATGTAACTAATTATTTTTTAATGTTCGTAATTGCTCGATTAAGCTTTTTATAGAAAGAAGAAATAGTTAATAAATTCAGATTTCACACCGGCTGGTGGAAACCTCTGGTGACCAGAAGCCTATACTTTGGTCAACGCATTTCCATTGCTATTCAGCGTGTAAATACATCAAGTATCCTAGGCACCCTACCAGCTAGCAGTGATCTCAAAGAATTTTTTTTATATTTAAAGAATAGATATTTTTTATTTTTTAATTACTTATCTCTAATTATATATCTAGGTTATTTATACATCAATGTAATTAACATGTATCATTTACACTTTGTACGCAATAAAATTTGTTATAAACCGTTAATAAATTTGACAATACAAAATAATATTATAAATGTTAAACAACGCTAAACAACTATTTATTTGAATGACAATTGTGCATGGTATTAGTCGATCATGGACAGGCTTTTAATGACCATGTAATTTTAGACATAGTACATTTATATAAATATACACAATGTTAACAGAGATTAAAAGAGTAACTGTTGAGTTCTTGCGGGCTCTTCACCACAGACAAAAAATTTCCAAACCCTGCATTCATAAAAAATGACGATATAAAAGTGTAAACAAATCTTGTAACTAAGTCTATTTGAATAAGAATTTAGATTATATAGATAGTCTCTAAAACGGGTCAACGTTTTGTCAGCTAATTGACAAATTAGCTGACTCGTTTTTCTGTCAGTGCTCTATATACTTACGCACACAATATATCTTATTAAATAAATGAAATGAGTATTTACGCATTAAAAAGATGTAAAAATTATAGGACAAAATATAGAAATTATAAAGGAATCACTCATAACTATTTATCACGCAAAATTTTTAAAAAAAGTCGAGTCGTTTTTCTCCAAGAATTTGTATGGAGACACTGTATCTATATAATGTAAACTATCTATCTAATGTAAATTGGACTCTATTTTTCCGCGCTTAGCCTCTTATTGGGGCCGTTGTGCGTACGAATGGTGGCTAGTACAGCCAGCCTGGTTTCGCCACAGGTTTCACGGAGCGAGCTCCCTGTTCCGAGGACGGCTATGTATGTATGTATGTATGTATGTATGTATGTATGTATGTATGTATGTATGTATGTGTGTACTGGACGCGGTTACCGTTGCGCGCGGCGGTGGAGTACATGAAGCAGAAGGTGCGCGGGTGCAGCGACGAGCGGGCGACGGGCGCCGCGATCAGGAAGCCCACGCCGCCCTCCGACCAGCTGCCGTAGCACGTGTACACTGTGAACCATACGAACAAAAATATTACAACATGAACCATTTCATATATTTTTTTTTTGTTTTTATGTTAAGTTTCTTTTGTCTCTCTCTCTCTATACATCACAATACATGCACGTCTATACAGGGCATTTTTATTTTTATCCAATTTTTCCTTGGCACCTCTATTCTATTCGTGTTTCTACCGCTGTTTCAGTTTGAAGGGTGGGATATGGCAGTGAATTTACAAGGTACAGAGGAATAACACCCGAGTCCTTAGGAATGGCAACGCATGGCGGGTATCATGGGCGAAATAGTTTACTCTGTTATGTCCATGGTATTGCTCATGTCTATAGGCGACGGTTGCCACTTTCCATTAGGTAGGTCATTAGCTTGTTTGCCATTCTAAGTTGCATATATATATATATATTCTTCTACTATTCAGTGACTAGCAAGGAGCTGAACTCACTGTAAACATCATCTGGATTATTACAACGCTGTATACAGGGTGTATAGTATTATATTATCTCTGCCGTGGGTGTCATAAGAGGAGTTAAATTATTGTATGTCTGTGATTTTGTAATAGTAATAGATTTATTTTTTTGTACTTATATATATATATATATATATATATATATATATATATATATATATATATATAAATTTGCAACTTTGTGTTTTACGTATACACGTGAGCAGTATTTATGTAGGTATTTACACGCATGTGTGTATGTATATGTACATGTATGTGAATGTATATTTATGTATAAATATACATAATAGTGAGTAGGGATATATATTTACATTATTACATGTATTACATCTCTCCATATTTAGAAATAATAGGTTCTTCATCGTGCCTCTAATCAAACTGTTTATAATTACTCCTCTCCATCCAAAGGTTGCCTGGAAGAGATCGCTTTTAACGATAAGGTCGTCTGTTGTTTTCTCATTGTGATTATTTCTTGTAATTGTTTATATTTATAATAAGTTTAGTTTTTGGAAGAAACAATAAAGAGCATGTATGTATGTATGTGTGTGTGAGTATGTATGTAGGTATGTATGTATGTGTGTGTGTGTGTGTGTGTGTGTGTGTGTGTGTGTGTGTGTGTATATACGTGGCGGGCGGTCACCGGTGGAGTCCCCGCAGGGCGACTTGAACTCGATGGAGTCCTGCGCGGCGCCGCAGCCGAGGCTGGCGCGGTCGTGCTCGCCGGGCGCGCACTGCCGGCCGGCCTCCTCGCCGCCGCCCGAGCCCTCCGCCGCCGCGCCTGCCCCCGCCCAGCACACATATCAGTAAGTACATAGCGTGCACCACCCCATAGGGGTATGCAAATATTAAATTGTATTTGGTTTTTATTATATTGAAATTACAAAATTTCTAATTATAATATTCTTAATGTCAAATCTTTACATTAAATAATTTTGTACAATTATGTTTATATTTTAAATAATCTTTAATACAGGAATAATAATAGGATAATAGTCAGCAATTTGGCATGCAAAATTTTATATATATCAATGCACAATGTTAACAATTCTTCACATGTACAATATCAAAAATATGTCAAATACACTTTTATGTCAATTTATATCTCATACCTAAATAATCAGTAAAGAAATAAATGGAGACCATCTTGTGAATAAAGATTGACAATATGTACACAAACAAAATAAATACATTATAATTTTTAATTAATAATGTAATTAATTATTCATAATTTCTCATATATGAGATAAACGACAATAAAAAGTATTCTATTCTATATGTAGGAAGTCTCCTTTTTCAACAAACTTCAAAAATAAAATAGTTCTCAATTCGATTATATTTTTATGTTTGTTACCTCATAACTGCATTAGTTCTAAATTAATTTGGAAAATTATTTTTTTATTTGAAAAGATACACTTACAGATCGATTCTATGCAATTTTTTTCAAAATCGGTTCAGTAGTTTAGTTTTTGGATCAAAATAACTGATTTTGTCACAATTGAAGTCAATCTTTATTTTTATTCTAATTAGTAGCAGCATTAAAATAATTTATTTTGTACGTGGTCTCGTGTTGTTTACTAGGGAGTAACTGAGCAATTACCATTATAATATGGGGAAAAATGATGAATTCGGAAATTCGTAAGTGAGTAACCGTGAGTAAGACACGTACCTATAGCTAGTTGCTGCCGCCGCTGGCGCCGGTCGGCCAGCGAGTTAAGCACGGAGTACCGTCCGAAGATGGGACACCGCATCGGCGTCAGGGACGTCGCTGCACATACACAAATATTATCTATTTATTACCTAATGGCATTTATATATTAATAAATTTTAAATTTTCGCGCCGTTTACACATATTTACATCGACTTAAATACCGATTGTGTATTTAAAATTATTAATAAATATGATTACTCATTCATATTATAAATATATTATATTAGGGAGTAAGTACCAGAGGGAGACTTTGTACAAAACTCGATTGCTTGGGTACCTCTGTCCCATTCGTGTTTCTACCGTGAAGCAGTTGTGTTTGCATAGGTGTATTTCGGTTTGAAGGGTGGGCAATATGGCGTGAATTTACAGGGTACGGAGGAATAACACCTGAGTCCTCAGGAATGGCAACGCATGGGGGGTATCATGGGTGAAACAGTATACTCTGTTATGTCCATGGTACTGCTCATGTCTATAGGCGACGGTTACCACTTTTCATCAGGTGGGCCGTCAGCTTATTTGCCATGCTAAGTTGTATAAAAAAAAAGCAATTTATTATACTTTCTATTATAAACCCTTGGTCAGAATGTGTCGCAAGTACAATAGAATTTTTGAATCTAACATTTAATACTTTGTTTCGAAGACAATAGAATTTAAGTACTTTATATTATTCTCACTTTCGCGTATAATATATTATATTTTATATATGTGTAAGTGTATTTGTTATTCATATATATTTATTCGTTTATATATGTAATTTTAGTATGTATGTATATCAATAATTAGTTGTACCGCATTCGAGTATTCTGTCACTTCCCTATGGTTGACTGGGAGAGAATGCTTTTAGCATTAAGTCCGCCATGTACACATATATGTACTAATGAATGTTCATTTATTCATATGAATCTCTAAACCTAATTTATTATTATTATTATCTATTATTAAAATTCATTAATTTTACATTTTATCGTTATTTATTTGTTAAATTATTATATTTTAATATACATTTTTATTGATTTCGATTGTCCTCTAACACATGTCTGCGTTTCGAAAATGTAAATGAGCTAACCAGGTGGTAGTTCAAGAAGTATACATACTGATGAGCGTGATGTAGGGCATCTGGTGTCCGGCGGTGCAGGCGTCCTGCGCGAGCTCCGTCAGGTTGGAGCTGGGCTGCAGCTCCAGCACGTTGCCCTCGCGCCGGTAGAACTTGAGGCACGCGTGTCCAGACTCACTGCGCCACAAGTACATTACATTATTTTAAAGTATACTGCTTACCTGTCATACTCGGGAACGAATTTTACTTGTATAGTGTTTCAATAGAACTTATTAAAAATGTAAATAAATAATCCATCATCATCGTAACCTATCTATCCGTCATACTCGGGAATAAATCTTACTTGTATAGTCTGTTTTCTGATAGAGCTTAGAGAAAATTTAAATAAATAATCCATCATCAACGTAAACTATCTATCCGTCATACTCGGGAACAAATATTACTTGTATAGTCTGTTTTATAATAGAGCTTAGAGAAAATGTAAATAAACAAATAAATCATCATCACATCATTTAATTGTCCAATGATGAACATAAGCCTCCCCCTTGAGGGGTTTTGCCAGTAGTTGCCACGCATGGCAAGCGAGTTAGCAACCACAGTTAAGCAAATAATGGATCCGACCATAAGACAGTCTGTTGATGTTCAATAATCAAATGTAAATATAAATTATAATAAGAAAAAAGATAAGAGGAGAGGAAGACCTAAAAAGACATGGATGGATTGTGTGAGGGACGATATGGCCAGAATGGGAGTGAATGCGGAAATGACTGGGAATAGAAAAGAATGGAAGAGGAAAACATATTACGCCGACCCCAAATGATAGTTGGGATAAGGGTAGGAAGATGATGAATAAGAAAAAAACCCTCTCTGGGCCCGCCAGATAGTGTGGGTAGGCGAGGTAGGGGCCTCGGGGTACCCCATCACCCCGGCTTCAGCTCCGGAGGCTACCACCACCGGGTCATGTGTGTTGAAGTCGACATACGCTAGGTGTTGTTGTGTATGTCGGCGTGGCGCTGTTATTAAATCTATATCTATACTTATAATAAATCTGTACAGAGGTAAATTCTGTACATGAAATATATTTCCAAAATAACTTTCAGGGAGTGATTAGTGATCGATACTGATGCCAAAAATGCAATCAGTAAAATTTTTGTCTGTCTGTCTGTATGTTCGTTATAGAGACAAAAACTACTCGACGGATTTTAACGAAACTTGGCACAATTATTCTTCATACTCCTGAGCAGGTTATAGTATACTTTTCATCACGCTACGATCAATAGGAGCAGAGCAGTGAAGGGAAATGTTGGGAAAACGGGAGAAGTTACTCCATTTTTAAGCTTCCGTCGCGTGTGCAGCCTTAATGGTCAATAACTACAAAGAATTTCACGATACTATATGTCCAACTATTATCGTTATGTCACAATAACCACTTTTTAAAATGTAATAATGTCCACTCGTGCGAAGCAGGGACGGGCCACTAGTATATATAAAAGATATGTTGATGGGTGAAAATGGAATGGTAGCCCGGCCTGCGCTAACGGATACGCTGGCGGAGCACCAGTGAAGGGTGACAGATGGGAATGAAAACAAGCCAGGCCAGGCCCATCATGATGAATTCATCAGGAATTAATAAAAGATATGTTATAAAGTCCGCGTACCATCCCATAGTGACGTGGGCGATGAGGGTGATATGCTTCTTGTCTTTGTGCTCGAGGATGGAGTGGCACACCAATCGCTTCTCGTCCACGGAGCCGTCCTCATTCATTATCTGTAATTCCAAATGTATTTTTTTATTAAACTTCGAATAGTGTACAAGCCCATACAAGACCATAGTATACATTTACTAGACGGAGACCTTGTACAAAAGTCGATTGCTTGGGCACCTCTGTCCCATTCGTGTTTCAACCGTAAAGCAGCTGTGTTTGTATGCTTGTGTTTCGGTTTGAAGGGTGGGATATGGCGTGAATTTACAGGGTACAGAGGAATAACACCCGAGTCCTCAGGAATGAAACAGTATACTCTGTTATGTCCATGGTACTGCTCATGTCTATAGGCGACAGTTACTACTTTCCATCAGGTGGGCCGTCAGCTTGTTTGCCATTCTAAGTTGTATAAAAAAAAAGAACCGGATAAAAAGTATCCTATATCATACTTTACCCCAAATGTATATATTCATTTTTATATATATAAAAATGATATAAATTTAACAGCTTAAACAATTTTTATGAAATTTGGTATACAAACGCTATATGGGATGGAGAAAGAAATTGGCTACTTCTTATCCCGGTCACGCGGACAGAGTCGCAGGTAAAAGCTAGTGCATAAATAAACCGAACCAACCTTGAGCGTGGCGTTCTTGGTGGTGAACCGATACTGGTGGGTGCGGTCCAGGCTGTACCACTTGTGGTGCTCAACAATCCAGCTCGGGAAGTGGCAACGGTTGTGCTCGTCATCACCTGTGAATCGTCATAAAATTTGATATACCAACAATTATTTGTAAAGGGAACGATCTACTTTTCATAGTTAACAATCTTACTCGTGTCAATACCGCTCAAACTTAAGGGTGTGGAATGGTTCCAAAACTAGTCGATCTTCCTCGCCTAGATTATTATGTGAAAATGTAAATAATTGTGTGAAAAAGTTGACCCGTTTTTCTCGAAGCATTTCTATGGAGACACTCTATCTATACAATCTAAGTTTGTATCTTATAAATCTAAGACTTTACAATAATTACTGGGTACAGAGGAATAACACCTGAGTCCTCAGGAATGGCAATGCATGGGGGGGTATCATGGGCAAAACAGTATACTCTGTTATGTCCATGGTACTGCTCATGTCTATAGGTGACGGTTACCGCTTTCCATCAGGTGGATCGTCAGCTTGTTTGTCATTCTAAGTTGTATAAAAAAATACTAATTTGTAGGTGGGCGAGGACAGTCTACCGTGTGGATCTCTACAAAATCTCTGTCCGCTATCACTTGATAACAATAGTAATAAAGAGTAACTGACTGTTAGTGAGCTTCATGGTGCGGCTGCCGTCGGTGGGCGAGGACAGTCCGTTGCAGGTGGCGTCGCCCGACTGCGCGATGTAGTAAGTCATACTCTTGTCGCTGTGCTGGCCCTTGTAGATGAAGCACCTGCAATTGCGACAATAATAGGTTTATACAATATAATTTATTTGCATTACTTATGTTAGTAGACATATTAAAAAAAAAAGAAATAATGAATACATATATGTTAAAAAAATACATAAAAGATTATAAATACATAACTTTTATTTTTTTATATTTTGATATCTTTCTTATTTCAGATGTTCGGTTGTTCAATAAGTACTAACTAGCCTATAAGAAAATTCAGTGTTTTTTAATGGATGACAATGAAATGGTAACCCACTCCGCCTGCGCTAACGGTATAGGCTGACGGGGAACTAGTGAGTGGTGATAAGGTAGGATGAAACCATTCAGATTAATTACTGATTAATTCGTCATGATAGGTCAAATGACCTGCTTTACCACCCACTCACTGGTGCCTCGCTAGCGTATACCGAAAGCGCAGGTGGGGTTACCATTCCATTATCATCCACTAAGAAGCCCATTACGTCGCCAATTTTAAACCGATTTTAGTAATTATTTTTGCAACTGATAAGGACTTCTTGAATGTTGATTCCATTTAAATACAAAAGGCACACGATGGCGCATTCTAAATTCAAATATTCTTAATCTAATGTGTCTACAAAACGTCGGTGTTATATCATGATTGGTGCCGCTGTTTCCGTGACGCAAAGTGTACTCGTTTTGCTCCTCTGTGATAATGCGATTACCACTTTTCATCTTCGATAAAATGACGTTTTCAACAATTTTGTAGTAACAAATAAAATACATTTGAGTCGACGTTGGACTAGTTCACGATACCTGTATGTATCTTCATCGGAGACGATGGAATTCCTTCGCTGCACCTGTGCTATCTTCCCCACCAGGTACCTGGTGGAGCCCTCCTTCCACGTAGCCAGACAGACTAGCTCCTCGACTGGAAAATCATACGCAACACCATTATATTCCATAGGGAGAGGTCGAACGAACTCACTTATAAACTTGTTGCCACGTAGCAGCGCTTGCAAAATTGTTTTACGGTTTGAAGAAAAAAAGTTAGCGGTGATAATGGAAGCGACAGTAACTTTCTGTAATGGTACGGAGACATAAAATCTTATTTTCAAGAATGGCAACAAATGTGGGGTAATATAGGTCTATAAGCGACGGTTACCAGTTTCCAATAAGTAGATTGTCAGTTTACTTGCTATTCAAAAATAGCTAAAAATACTAAGTGCATAAGCCTTAAGAAAGGCAAGACATGGCAGCATGGGCGTGTAGATATAATAGTCCTGTCCAAGGTATATAGCAATCGAGTGGCGTTCGGAGGAATCGAAATCCAAGGAATTTGGCTTTGGAGTGAACAGCTTGGGTGCCCGGTGACCATTTTTTTGTTATCACTCAGAAGATATGTCGGTCGCCGTCAACACTTTGCTTGGGAGCATCTCAGTGAAAGGTTGTGACCGTTTCTTCATCGTCAGGGTTCTCGAGATGTTAAGGACTTTCGAGGGGTACCAAGTACACTAAGATTGGTCTTGCCTGAATCATCATATCAGCCTTTAACTGTCCACTGCTGAACATAAACTTTCCTCTTAGGGAGTTTTACTAGTTGCCACGCTTAGCAGGCGGATTGCCAACCGCAAATAGGCTTTGGAGATATTTTAAGAAAGACGCTGTTGCCCATTCCTCGCCCTGCTTTATTCGGCTCTTACGACACCCACGGGAAAGGAAGGGGGTGGCCTATTTTATGCTAAGACCACACGGCTTGCCTGAATGCAAGGTTTTATTTCATGATCCTGTAAGAGCCAATTTACAGAAGAGTAAATTTACTTGTTGACTGTGTGTACTCACTATTACTCTCAGTGCCAGGCACGTCTGGGCAGGCCATGTACCGCAGCAGCAGTCGCGAGTCGTCCGTGCACGACTCCGCGCGCGACGGTGGGTTCGTGCAGTCGCTGGAACCGCTACAAAACGTACATCCATCTTGATTAGTAATAAGAACAAAATAGTATCTTACAATTATACATGTAACGCGACGAATTCAAATCTGAAGTTAGATGGGACGAAATGGTAACCTAGTTTAAGCTATACGCTAGCGGTATACCAGTGAATGGGTGAGGAAATGAATAATAGGTGAGGATCAAGTGAATTCAGTTCGCCCGTCGTGGAGAATTCACTAGGAACTAATCATGCTGCTTTCCAGAGGAGATATTCCAGAGACCATATGAAAAACCCCTCCCTTATTCATCACGGTGGGCTAAGACCTGCCTTTTCATCTGCACCTATCATCCTTTACTGGTGCCCCGTCAGCGTATTCCGTTAGCGCAGGCGGGATTACTATTCCATTGTCTTATGGATGACCCCTGTCTTATGGATGAAAAAGACCCCTCCCTATCCAGTATCTGTAATTAAGCCCATCTTGACGAATTAATCACGATGAGATGTTTTTTTAGGGGAAACTTATGAAGTTTATCTGATCAGAGTATATTTAACAAAGTAATAAGACTGATTCCTGATTATTTCCCTCTCCCAGGTGTTATTAGTAGAAACTACATATATTTTACTACTGCAAACAGCTTGCTATAGTAAAAAAAAGGAATGTGTCGACCTCAAATCTTGATTAGATTCATCATCATCATCATTTCAGCCAATATCTGTCCACTGTTGAACATAGGCTTCCCCATAGACTGCCATAAGGAACGGTCCTGAGCCACCTGCATCCACTGACTCCCTGTAATATATTTGAGGTTGTCACTCAATGTAATGGGTGATTGTCCTATACTGCGTTAGTCCGTACGGGGTCGCCACTTAAGAACTGCTCTTCTTCATCAGTTGTCGGTTCTTCGAGCTATGTGACCAGTCCATTGCCGCTTCAGCTTGCTTATCCTTCGGGCTATGTCGGTGACACACAAAGGAACTCCGAACATAGCCCTCTCCAATTACCGTTACCGTAAATAATTCGAAGCTTTTGCGTATGGACAACTGCGTCCGTGTTCAAGACTAAAATCATGTCATTAATAAGATTCAGAGCAACAAGGGAGGGAGACTTTGTACAAAAGTCGATTGCTTGGGTACCTCTGTCCCATTCGTGTATCAACCGTGAAGCAGTTGTGTTTGTATGGCTGTGTTTCGGTTTGAAGGGTGGGATATGGTGTGAATTTACAGGGTACAGAGAATAACACCTGAGTGCTCAGGAATAGCAACGCATGGGGGTATCATGGGCAAAACAGTATACTCTGTTATGTCCATGGTACTGCTCATGTCTATAGGCGACGGTTATCACTTTCCATCAGGTGGGCCGTCAGCTTGTTTGCCATTCTAAATAGTATATAAAAAAATCAAATTACAACATTTGCTTAAAAAACAGTAATAAAATATCTCTAATAATAGCAAGAACGTTCACAAAGAGCTTATAGAACTTACCGATTGTATGTAAATGTAAACGGCGCCGGGTGGAAGGGACACTGCTGCGGGACAGGCCGCGGCTCCTTGCGGAACATAGAGTAGAGGGGCGCGTCTCCGCTGATCAGCTCGCATATTGTGGACAACGAGTCCTTCGGTGAACAGTACGCTGGAACACGCAATAGAATATCATCGTACATATTGTTATTATTTTTATGTAAACTTTATTACTCAGCGTTAGCTGGTATATATGCTACTTTGCATATACTGCGTTTACGGGCCGAGACCAAGTAAGTGCAGTGTGTGTTTTTGTGTGTGTGCGTGTGCGCGCCCATGCGTGCATGTGCATGTGCATGCTCACGCGCCTATGGCTATATGTATGCTACTGTTACATTTTATGTCTCTGTGGTATTATGAAATGTTTCGTTTTCATTTATTTGGAGGAATTCTCAAACAAATTCTGCATATATTCTATATTACAGCTTTTTGTAGTGTTGTACATTGTGTGTTAGGGTACATATATTCATCATCATCATCATCATCATCATCATCATCATATCATCCTTTAACAGTCTACTGCTGAACATAGGCTTCTCCCTTGGGAGATTTTCCCAGTAGTTGCCACGCTTGGCAGGCGGATTGGAAACAGCAGTAAAATTTTGGAGATGATTTAAGAGTGACGCTGCCGCCCATACCTCGCCCGCTCTTAGCCGCCTATTACGACACCCAGGGGAAAGGAAGTGGTGGCCTATTCTATGCCGGGACCACACGGGAAACATATAAGGTTTTTTACCCGGTAATGTTTAAACTAAAAATATTTTTCATTGTAATAGGTAGATATACTTACTTTCTTTATATTGTAGTACATATTTATGTTTTTCATGTATAACCATACACCTGTAACAGTCTTCGCTCCTGAAAATAATACAAATAATATATTTAAAACAGATTTTTTCCAATTGCGATAGAAAATAAAGTCTTAAAATTAACTCCGAATTGGTGACGTAAATGCGTAACACGGAACGGACGTATAAACAGAACGTATGTAAATTAATTAATACTCATATTTAAATTAATATGCTGTGAACATTTCATCACAATCTGTCCAGCCATTTTTATGTGAAACGCTAACACATAGAGTAAAAAATAAAAAAATCAAAATTTTCGATTTTGTATCGCATGTACTGTCTGCTTTACTAGTTCACTGCCTTTAAATCAGAACAACTATGCAAGCGTAGCTACTTCAGGACAGTTTCATTCTTCATTACGTTCCTAGGCGACGATTACCACTTTTCATCAGCTTGTTTGTCATTGTAAATTGTACAAAAATAAGCATTTATATGAATAGTAGTTTTAAATAGTATATAATTTATAGTCTTATTTCTCGAGCAAGAATAGACGGACGGACATATATGGACCAAATAGGCGACATACTGAAGGGCCAAATTAAAAGTACCCGTAACCAGCGAGCGTGAATGCAAAGATTGATTGATGAATGTGGAGGAAGCGACAGAGGCTCGTTTGAATCGAAGCATTTGGCGTTCCATTGTTTCTGTCTACTCTAATGAGAGACAGGCGTGACAGATATGTATGTATGTATGTAGTTTTAAATACGTACCTGTCGTATAGCAGGAACTTGTCGTACGACTCAGTCTCGGAGCATTCACCCTTAGACTGTATGTGGGTTGAGTTGATGTCGATCAGGCCGTTGTTGCCCGACTGGAACCACCTGCCGGTCCAGCCTTCGGGGAACGTGCACCCGCCACCTGGAACATTACAATATACATATGTTACAGTGCTAATTAGTCCCAAACTAAGCAGAGCTTGTCCTTTTTTAATGAATGATAATAGAATGGTAACATTGCTTGCACTAACGGTATACGCTGGCAGGGCACCAGTGCCCTCACTGATATGATAGGCGACAATGAAAAGACAAGTTTGTTAGACCATCGTGAAGAACACATCTGGAATTCAGCACGATGGTTTCCCGGGGGAAACACGTGGAGGTCGACCTAACAGAGTACATTTCTAGCAATGGGACGGCAGTTCGCATTACTAATAATAAGTAAAGGTCGAAAATTAGATGGTCAAATATTATAAAACGTGTGGTCCCGGCGTAGAATGGGCGACACTTTAGTTTCCTGTAGCTATCGTAAGAAGGGACTAAGGGAACTGAATAGTCATGGGATGGGCAGTGGCTTCCCTCTTAAAATATAACCAAATCCTAACCGCAGTTGCCAAACCACCTGTCAAGTGTGGCAACTGCTGCCAAACTACCCGAATAGGACGCGAGTTCATGTTCAACAGTGGACAGTTAACGGCTAATTCTTCTTTTCATTCAACGGCTAATATAATAATGATATTATAATTTTTTTTTTCATATAAGCGGTATCATGGGCAAGACAGTACGTTTTGTAATATTCATGGTGTTATTCATATTCATAGGTGACGGTTATCTCTTTCTATAATGTGAACCGTTTACTTGTTTTACCATTATACATACTCCTATTATTTCTTTTGCCTTCTTGTATTTGTTTAACAAGGCAATAAATTATTAATAATTCATAAATTTTTTTTTATAACATTATAATGGTTGGGATGGAACTTTAATTTGTGGTGGGTTGTACGATGGTGAAAATCAGCAGCAGGTATCAACTCAAAATATATTCATAATGTATTATAAGTATCTTGTAAGTATCATCTGAATAAGCTATTCACCATAAACTCCCTTAGTCGCCTCTAACGACTCCAACGGAAAAGCAGGGGGTGGCCTAGTCTATACAGGGAACACACGACTAACGTACTACCACGCACTAATACCTACAATAAAATACACTTCACCGCAAACGTGTCGTGATGAAAAATCCTGAGCGACATACACAGAAGGAAATAAAAAATATATAATAAAAGCGCCATCAAAAATTATTATAGCATACGAACGATAAACCGGACACCGGACAATACAGCTCATAAAAACACCATTAGTGCCAGCCAGGAGCTCAGGAACAATAGTTTTATTGCGTGATAACTTCCTATTGATTTCATCACAGGCTCACACCATGTCCTAGATTGTGTGTAGCCGTATAGTATTCAACATCAAATATATACATATATAGATAGGGTGTGGGTGTAACGATCAATAATGTATGTATAAACTGTTTCAATACATTTTAATAATAATATAACATTGTTTCATTAAAAAAAAAAAAGAATTCAATTACTACAAAACTAGTTATTTTTATTTAAAAATCACTGAACCGATTTTGATAAAATTTCTATGGGACCAATTTGTAAGTATATATGCTTTCAGATAAAAAAGTTTCAAATAAGTTTATAAATTTTAATTAAGTTAATATTATTAATTTTGTTTGTGTACATATTGTTATTTTTTATATTTTTTTTATACAACTTAGAATCGCAAACAAGCTGACGGCCCACCTGATGGAAAGTGGTAACCGTCGCCTATAGACATGAGCAGTACCATGGACAAAACAGAGTATACTGTTTCGTCCATGATACCCCCCATGCGTTGGCATTCCTGAGGACTCAGGTGTTATTCCTCTGTACCCAGTAAATTATCAGTAAAGTATCATTTGTAATGGATAAACTCAATAAATATTATAATTACGTGGTAACGAACATAAAACTTCTTTCTTTTTTGAAGTTGGTTGAAAATTGAAATAAATGAATATTTGATCCGAACATGAGACAGCCTGCTGATGTTTAACAGTAACACAAATCAGAAATCGACTGATTGATTAACCCTTGCTGTGCATAATGGTGGAAATTTCCATCATAACATTGAATGCTCAAAAATTATATAGAAGAACAATTTCACTTTAAGTTGGTCGTGTCTGGATACCTTTTTAATGTACATTGCAGAAAAAAAACATAGCTGTCAATTTTTTTTTTATTTTGAACATGAATTATGTCACCTTGATTTATTATACCAATAAAAAAAAAAAACATGCAAAGAAGGGTTAATTGAATCCGTCCATATTCCCCATTTAGAGAGTGGTTCTGTGAGAATTCCAACAAAATTTGAATGAATAAATGCAAACTACAATAGTTTTCATTCAAAGAATGGTACAGATTATTAAAATTAACAATATATTTGATTACGTATAATTTTTACCATTTATTTATAATCAGTAGTGAATTATTTTGCCGTACTAGGCATTTGCCTGACTGTTGCCCCCAAGATACGGCCCTCAAGTGCCTTTTGTCTAGTTTCAGGCAGTTTACCAGGGGGAGACTTTGTACAAAAGTCGATTGCTTGGGTACCTCTGTCTCATTCGTGTTTCTACCGTGAAGCAGTTGTGTTTGCATGGCTGTGTTTCGGTTTGAAGGATGTTACAGGGTACAGAGGAGTAACATCTGAGTCCTTAGGAATGGCAACGCATGGGGGGTATCATAGGCGAAACAGTATGTTTGTGTACTATTATGTCCATGGTACTGCTCACGTATATAGGCGACGGTTACCACTTTCCATCAGGTGGGCCGTCAGCTTGTTTGCCATTCTAAGTCGTAGAAAAAAAAGTCACAGCTGGAATGCCAGCCTTAGAATAGGTAACTAAATTACCTAATATGCAAAAGTTATTATGAATGTTGTACATAGAATCGGCCCCCGTTTCCTGCCCTTCAAGTAGGTTTTTCTATTCATGGTTTGGTTTTACAAATCAACAATGCAAACAAAGGGACATAATTAACAGTGCGTTCAGTGAAATGCAGTTTCTGTTGTGGAATGCCTAGGTATTTTATTTTATTTCTAGTTTAATTAGTATTAAAAATGAAATTTGTGTTTGGTACAAGTAATAAGAGATATCAGGATATATACTTTAATAAACTAAATTAATCTTGTAAGTATTTAACATCGACTTATATTAAACGCTTTATTAAATGACAGGACAACTATTTTATTATAAAAAAGAAGCATAACCTGTTGAACAAGATTACATAAATTAATTAAATAAATAAATAACTATTATTACTAGTAGACTTTACCACCAAAAAACGACGACATCAATTGTGATAAAGCCTGTTTGTTATATTGATTTAAAAATCAAACTACTGCATCGACTTTAATGAAACTTCTATGAGACCAATCCGAAAATATAGTCTTTTAGATAAAAAAAAATCCAAATGAAATTATAAATGATGGAGTTCTGATGTAGCCAATACAAAAAAAAAACAACTAAGTTTAGAACCTAGAACCTACTCTTTTAAGTTAGTTAATAGAAACATAATTTTAAGGACACTAATAATGCAAATGAAAAATTACATGAAAATAATTATACTCAGGATGACAAATGTGCTATTCAGTTAATCAGTACATTTGTACGCTACCGCTTGTAACTTGTGCGCGACAACTTATCAACACGGGCGCTATTGTATTCAGTGGCAGCTTTGTTTTAACTCGGGAGCGGCCAGGTGTTCGACCGTTTGCGTACACTTTTGTTTTAGTTCAGTACATTACGAATGGGAGTAATACTACGCGATACTTCGAGACAGGTGGTTGGAAACTACCCTTATGGTATATACCGAATAACCAAGAAGGTAGATTATTGAAGGTAGATTCAGACTAAGCGAGAGCACCTTCTTTCTTTCTATTCTTCTAGTTTCGTTGAACCATGTAAATTTGTATTCTACTAGTAGACCCGAGAAAGGCTGTTTTGCGTACAACCACCAACTACTTGGTTCCTTTTTTACTGACTTCAAAAGAAGGGCATTCGGTTGTATTCTTGTTTGTTACCTCATAATTCCGTCAGCTGTAAATCGATTTGGAAAATTCTTTTTCTTATCTGAAAGGATCTATTTATATATTAGTCCCATACAAATTTTATCAAAATCGGTTCAGTAGTGTAGTTTTTAAATCAAAATAACTGGTTTCATCACCCTTTATTCATAAAAACTAAAATATTCTACAAACCTACTTTAACTATTACTGTTTTGTTACTTTCTTTCAAATTGGGAATTTCATGTAAAAGAAAGAGACAAAATTTAAAACTGCAAGTCTATTCTCAAATCTAACATCAATATCAATCCAATCCACTGGCAATTTTGAACTACACTCATGAAATAAAAATTAGGAATTAGGTTAGAATTGGAATCGATTTGCAATAGTTTGTATTAGTAAGTTACACTGACGTGCATGTATTAGAACAATATGAAACCATTACCTTGTTCTTAGACCTTTATATCTTTAGTGTTGAAATTCGAGAGATTTCTTATGCAACTTAGAATGGCAAACAAGCTAACGGCCCACCTGGTGGAAAGTGGTAACCGTCGCCTATAGACATGAGCAGTACCATACACATAACAGAGTATACTGATTCGCCCACGATACTCCCCATGCGTTGCTATTCCTGAGGACTCGGGTGTTATTCCTCTGTACCTTGTAAATTTACTGCCATATTCCATCCTTCAAACCGAAACACAGCCATGCAAACACAACTACTTCACGGTAGAAACACGAATGGGACAGAGGTGCTCAAACAAACGATTTTTGTATAGTCTCTCTCTGGTACAAAACGTCTCAATTCCAATATAAATCTACTGGAATTTATTTCAAGAGTAACCCAACAGATTTATGAGAAGTTTGATGTTTTATAAATAAAGATATAGATAGATAGATACTCTATATTGTTTTCTCTATAAGATTACAATAGTAAACTTATTATAAAAACAAACTATTACAAGACTTTTAATATGTAAGGTCAAATTTAAATGATATAATTGAATTATAATTTTGTTTACTGCTTTTTTT